GAGTAGGAATGACTTACCAGTCAAGGAATAGGACAAATGACGTGAGTTTAACTTTGTTTATTCTATTTCAGAATGAAACAAACAAAACTGAATTTTTCTTTAAACATACACACTTATCACTCCTTTTAGAGAAAAAAGTTAGCATAGTTTATCCTTTACGGATGAAACGGTCCAAGAAAATTTTCTCTAAACATCAACTACACGAGTTTGCTCAACAACAAAATTAGCTACTTTTGTTTATTCTTTTCCGAATGAAACAAAAAGCTCATTTTTTAAAAAGAGAAGACCAACATCCACTTGTATTGCTGCCATAGAAAAATAAGCTTTGTTTATTCTTTCCCGAATGAAACAATAAACTTAATTTCCCCTCTCCTATACTTAAACAATTTATACCTTATTTATTCCTTTTTGGAATAAAACAAGTTGATAAAACCTGCTCTTTTTTCTCCTTATTATTATTTACCTTCATTAATTGCTTTGCAATCGGATGACAAGTAGTTTCGTCTATTCTTTTTAAGAATGACGACAGGAAACTACATCCGACGCTCACTTAGCTTTATACTTCTCAAAAAATCCACGAATTTATTGCCTCCTTCAATTTGCTTACAGCCATTCTCAACTTGTCACGCAATGTCCACGTCTTGCAATGGCTATAACCGGTTTGTAGCGTGACGTTGTATAAAATGCCTGCGCACAAACGAGGCCAACCCGTGTTGAACCTCTGGAAAAATGTTGTTGCTTTTTTGTGTCGGCCTTGCTTATTCTGTTTAGAATGAACCAAGACGACATGAAAACTTAACAAAAAGCTTTCGGTCGTATTCTATTTGGATCAATCGTTTTCGGTTGGTTATGTTAGAAAGGTTTTCCCCTTTTCTACTGGGAGAAAACCGTTTGAAGTGGGGTGATCAACTTTTCCAACCGTAATCAAACCAGTTTGAAACAATGGAAACTCTTGGGTAGCGACCACTATCTTTTTCATGGTAGCATGCGAGTAGCCAGAACTGCGGGACGCGCGTTTCTCCGCTCGCGCGGGAAGACTTGAAACGAGACGGCGTGAGATTTTCGGGGTCTGGCGCTAATACTTAGTGCCAGACCCCTCGCCGACTGGCGTTACCTTGTACTTTCCCGCGGGCGCAGAAACGCTCGCGTTAAAGCGCAAATAATGAGGGCCTGCTTGCAGGGTATATTCGCGGGCTTATTGATGTCAAGCGCGTGCTTAAGTTCCTGGCTGTGATGCTCGCTGTACATAACTTACTCCTGCTCTTTCGCTAGGCTAGCCACGGAGGTAGAATTAATAATCGTTAAAATGAGCGATGATCGCGCCACAAAACAGCAATTGTTGCCTTGATCTTGTGAATTCGGAGAAGCATGGCAATGACATTTAAAAAGAGCCACCGCGTTTCAGCCATAAAAGGGATTGTAATTGAAACGATTGATCCCAATAGAACACGACCTTCCTGTCACATAACAACGACCGCGAAAGATTCGTTATCTTACTTTCGCAAAGTTCACCTCAAACGTGGGTTAACCAGCATGTCAATTACATTCGAACGAGCAGCATCAGAGCTAGCAGTGAAAATAGGAGAGAGCCAACAAAGAAAGGCCTCTTACTTTCAGCAGCTGAAACACAATCGCTGATCGCTGCGACGTCGCCCATGTACGCCTCACCAAGAAACTACTCATAGGATTGATCAGAGACGTCCACCAGCTTTTCGGTGGAATCTTTGAACAGGAGGTCCTTTCCATTGGCATACTTCGATGAATCGAACATCCTAAACCCATCCCCTGCATCGTTTCCATAGTTCATTGACGCTTTTAGTAGAATATTGATATACGTCGCCTTGTTGCTGTGTCCCTTTTTGGTCATCACTGCGTGGGCGGGAACTTTAGCAAGATTGCATCTCACGTGCTGTCCGATTTCTAATAGAAAAAAAAAAAAGAAAAGGCTTCGTTTTTCAGACATGTTGATTCGTGCACCGAAATTTTTTTGTTGAGTTCAGCAAGATATGAAAAGACAAGAATAAAATCGAGGACCAACTTCAGGATTCAAATTGTCAGAGAGACTTTTACGCGATGCTGCTTTTTGGAAGTCTAGTTTAATAAGACTCCAGTTTCATGCATTGGTTTTTTCGAACCTCTTTTGAGAAAAGAAATTTGTTTGATGGCTTGAATTATCGCAACTGAGTTTGAAAAATCAGATAAAATCTTTATAGTGTTTCACTAGGGAGGGGTAGGCAGGTTAAGTTTAAGAAATCATACACTCGGGAGTACATACCACCATTATTTCCATTGTAACATAGGTACATGTAATCATCTGCTTTTGCGTTTGGTTCGCTGGCTACGGTTGTATGCTTTACAAATGCCACTTCCCCCACATCATTCACCAAGCATTTAAAGGCCCCACTGTAACCAGAATATTCTCCATCTTTATCGCATTCCATCGGGCATAGCTCACACAAGTTTCTGGGATTCTTTCCCGTGGTATCAATTTTGGCTTCCTTCACTCCTGGTAAAACAAAAATGTACAATGAAAATAACTAAAACTATAAAACATGGTATGAAATCATAATCAGGTCGCAAATATACGACATTAATATGTACCGGCTCTCTCGAGCTCATTATTAGGGCTGCCAGACGTGCATTTCCTCGCGGGAGTCTGGCACTAATAATAGAGAGATTAAGCACCGCGTATTTTTTTCCCGCGAACGGCAGAGAGGGTCACGGGACCGGACATTTCCCGCGTTTGCCGTTTACCGGCCGCCGCGCCGTTTCTACTCGAGGAGGGCATTTTTCCCGTTTGTAGGGAACGCGAAAACTTGAGTATTTGCTGCCCATTTTTACCGACTATTTCTACATTTTGATGGCTTGCTTTTATAGCTAAGCTTCGTTTATCACCTTACTTTATGAATGGCGATCGAGAACATTTGTTCTGCCGTGTCGTCGGGAAGCTTAGACAGACAAACATCGCGGGGGGAACGGCAAACGACAACGGCTAAACGGCGTTCAGCGTTCGCCGTTTTCGCGGTGCTTAATCTAACTGATGTCAGTGCCAGACTCCTGACAGGCCTCTTGCCGACTCGGGTCGCTCAAGGTTCCATATTTTCTAGCGGGCGAGAAAACGTCGAAGTGCCACTCGAGGTGCTAACCCTAAGGGCCTGCTCGTAAGCTATCGGCTTTAATTAGAAGGGCTTATTCACTCGTGTGCCTCTGAAGAGTTTCTTGAAATATGAGATTCTTTTGGTCAGTGCCACGGATAAACTGAATTGGCTCGACTTAACACTTTTTGAGTACAAGTGTTCGGGGTGAAGCGCAGAAGATCGCAAGCGAGCAAGCTACGGTGGCTTTTTGTTTCACATTTGACTGGTGGAGTAATTTCCAACACTACTTACTTGGTACACAGCTTTTCGCGAAATAGTTCCCAGCTGATACGTACGGGTTACAGGTAGAGTCTTGTGTCATGTACTTCTTAGACAGTAAAGTACCAATTGGTACAACCCAACCAGCGGTTTTTCCTGCTCCTGTGTGACAGGTTTTCTTGCCTTAAAGATCCTGGATCGATTTGACCGAGCCTGACTTTTTAACAACTGCCACAGCATAGTAACTGATACCGACCGGCTCTCCATAAGATTCCGCAACCACAGGAGTCATATCGTAGTTTTTACCTAAAAGAAACAGTTAACCGGAATTATTCAGAACGAAGCTTGACAGCACCGTCAGTAGACGAAAACTGTAGTTATAACTGTAGGCTATAACTTGGCTTTTATGTCTTGCACTTAAAGATTGGAACTAGTAAAATGTTGTAAGGCCTTTTACCAGAACAAGCCCTACATGTTGGCAGTATGGATAGATTTGGTGGTTAGGGGAAGGGGGAGGGGGTGTGGGGTAGAGAAGAGAGTTTGGTGGGCCGTTCAAAGTGCCTAAATTGAATTAGTAAAAAGAACACAATATGAACTCATGATTACAATGATTATATATGTTTTCAGGTGTTAAGTCAAAGGCATAATGTCCAGATTTTCGACCCTTTGCATATAAAACGAGCTTCAAAGTACGCGAAATGCGTCTCCACCTTAGCTTCACTTCTCGTTCTTACTCACGTTTCAAGTCTAGACTAACAATTGCGTATTTGCATTGCTCTATGGAATCTATCCGCTTTCTTCGATTCTTTTGTTGTGGTAAATTGTGATCTACACAACCAATGAAAGAAGCACACAATCTTGACAGTTTCCTGCGTGCAAAGGAATACTAGCCTGGAACTCATTGTTTGAGAATACATTTTGATAGTTTTCTACAAAGTACACCAACGTTGCTACACCTGCCACATATATTTCTCCTCCATCCAGTGTAATAAGATCAGCCTCTCCGTTTTTGATCTTTTCCATACAATCAATGGCATTACTTCCTTGAACGCATTTAGGTTCCAAGGTCATGTTGTGTTCGCTCGATATATTCATCAACACCTTTTCAAAATCTTGGCATTTTTTTTGTTCTTGGTCTTTGATTGTGCACCATCGCATATGGGTAGCATGGCCATGACCTAATAAAAAAAACAAAACAAAATAAAACAAATGAATGAAACAACGATTCATGACGATGAGAGAAAGAGGGATTGTTATAATGACTTCGGAGACTTTGAGGGGGGAGGGGGTAGGGAGAAGTGGTGAGAACCTCTGGCTTCCATACCCCACCCTCCTGCTTCTCACAACTTAGACTGTTGTCTTCCGCCCTTCTCTGAAAAAGACTGCGAATCGAGGATCAACGAATGTCCACATTTTTGCATTTCTTCACCGCTTCCATGCAGCTAAATAAGGTTTCTTCTACCCGACCTTTTCCCTTCAATGCACACATCTAGATTTTGACTTAATGACGCCACAACGCACGTAAAGAGGTAATTTACGTAAATGTAGACGCTAAAATACGCAGTTAGATAAATAGATAAGTAGGTAAATAAATGCATAAATTACGATATGATAAAGCAAGATATGCCAACTTTAAAAATTTATAACAGGTTAGTAGAATGGGAAGAAAATGCTTCAGTAAACTTGTTTGAAGTTAGAGTCTTCATTCTTTCAAAAGTTTCTCAGGAAACTATTCATCTTAGTAGTCACCGGACGAAATTTGTTCGCTGAAAATAGGTATACATGTTTTATGTTCCCATCTAGGTGCAGTCTTCATACGATTTCGCATCATTTTCAAGTGGAAAATTTTTACGCATGTAAAATTTGTCGATTGTAAAGGCAAGTATAAAGTATTTTAATAGTATGTATAAAATTTCATCCCTTAAAATTATTTACGACCAGTTGTTGATGTCAAAACGTGAAAAACGTAAATTCACGCCTAAGACTGAATCTAACAACTAATTTCGAAAAATCTCGGCCCAAGCTCTTGTGAAATTGCGCAAATTACTCTTAAAAAGCATCTTCTCAAAAACCTCTCAATGAACAGCTACAAGTTCTTAGTTTGGCGAGCATATTTGCATAAAGTGGTGTATGACCCATCAGCGAAATTATCTTCTTAAATCAGTTAAATAGACGATGTGTTGGACCGCTAGGGAAATTTAAAGAATCATGACATAGATTTTTGGGCAGCAAAACGAAGAAGATGATAAGCAGAACACAAAAAACTCTTTCGAATTTATTATGTATTTTTACTTGTGCGCTAGGCTCGATCATAGTTAAAGGCTGATAGTTTCGAAAGAAACTGTTTGGGGCTGCGTCGGTGGGAGTAACGAAATAATTTGGATATATCAACAAAGTTGAAATGGTAAATTAGCCACCGTAATGATTATAAAAGCTGACGTTTCGAGCGTTAGCCCTTTCTTCATTCGCTCCGACGTAGGGCTAACGCTCGAAACGTCAGCTTTTATAATCATTACGGTGGCTAATTTACCATTTCAACTTTGTTGATATATCCAAATTATTTCGATGATAGTTAATAGAGGGGACTCTATTAACTATGGCTCGATTAAACAAGAAACCGCCTCTCCGAAAAATACAACAAAGCTGTGGTTTGGGGTCTGTGCCAAATTTAGCCAGGAGTTACCAGACTGTTCTGTTGTTTTTGTTTGTTAGCATTGTTAACAGCACAAACTGTAAGTGGTGGTACTCTGTAACTTCCTGACAATCTGCATACTGTGTTATTTTTTAAACATCCCTCAGTGCCACATTCATGCATTCCCACACGTATTCTAAAACAATTTGAGGCCGGGGGCCATTACCTAGTGAGGGGCCTGCCTCGCTTCGCTTGCTCACTTGTATTATTCAAAGAGTTGCTTATTGTTCACTTCGACATATTTTGCGGCGGTATTGTTTTAGTCACGAACCAGACGGTTGTATTGAGCCTGGGTAAAAATGATTTTTTTTAAAACTCCATCCATTCGGAAGTCGCTGAAACACAATATCTTACATCTAACTTTGAACGGCGAACAGCAAGAGATTTGTGTCATTTGATCACATGCTTGTGCAAAATGGGTGTATTTTATGGGTGTGTTATGCTGTACATTACTTAAACACGACGATTCTCCTTCGCATCATGGCTTTCGACCAATTTGAGTCAAACATTTATGGCTGCATTTTATAAGCGAATAAGGCGAGGAAATTTGTTGCCGATTCTTTGTGTGCATAGCTGTTGATCCTGTGGCGTGTCTAAGAAATCTTTTCAAACGTTTGATCTAGTTCAAGATTTACTAATGATAGACACAGAAATCTGAATTAGCGCGCTACAGTTATTACAAAACGAACTCAGTCGGTTGATCAACCTCTTCATCGTGCTATCAGTATTGCTGTATCGTTTAAATCACCACAGATGCATTCGTAATTTATACAACCAAATTGCGCGTTTTTACACTTATACCCACGAGAAAACCACATCTAATAAGATGTAAAGTAAAAAATCGCTTGTGGGTTTCTCAAACAGCAACTTACCAAGCACAAAAACAAGAGCACTGAGGAAGGTGAGTGGTCCCAACATGTTGAAAACGCAGTGCAGGAAGGTATACTTCTGTGTCAGGGGAAGCAAAGCAAATTGATATTAGCTCCTTGTGATTGACATATCATGCCACTAGTTAACAAAAGGAGTATCCTTGGAGACATCACAGGGGGAGGTTTAATTTCCACCTGACAGCCAATTGCGCAAGAACAATAAATTACGATTGGTCGAGCACTCAACTGAAGATCCTCTGAGACACGAAAGAAATTATCTTTATTGTGAATTGTAAACAAGAAATTTCTCTCAATCTTTGGTTTTCAGCACATACTGGGTAACTGGATTAGGGGTTAGGGTTAGGGTTTCAGTCCTCATGTTTATCTCTGCAGGTGGCTCCTGATTTATACCAGTTTCTGGGCCCTTGACTCACGAAGATTTGTCCAAGGATGGGGGAGGGGTGTGGGGGTGACCTCGGGGGAATTTGACATTTTGACGGTTTCCCAAAACCAATTTTCTCCTATTGTTGGGAATCCATTGTCGGTCAAAATTCCACCCTTGGGAACCGAAGAGGTTGCAAACGAATTTCAGCAAACTCAGGCACAAAAAGTACTTCATCGCAGTCAGTGACTCAGCAAGTATCCTGATGGACCCTGATGCTACCACCAACATTTCTGAATTTCTACCTGGAGAGGGCATATTTCTACACCGTCATCAAAATTTTGTGTAGTGTTTATTTTCAAATAATTCTTTTTCTCATAGATGACCTGTAAGATGTGCAGTCAATGACGTAAACTTTTGTAAGCTAACCACACTGAACGAGCGGTGAGAGAAAAAGGCAGAAAGGCTTGCGGATTGGCATAAACCACTTTCATAAATGGCTGCCTGATTAATACTCTTTTGTTTACATTCAAATTAGCCCTACTGGCCTCGTTCTCCAGTACAAAATTCAAAAGAAACATTATCTCAACCGAGGCCAGAAGGGCTAATTTAAATTTAAAAAAAGAATATTTATACGGTAACCATTTATGAATGTGGTCTATGATTTGACAGGACACAAATCAACTGAGAACCCTGTCGCACCGGCATACCTATACAGAAATATTAAGTAAACCGCCCAAATATGTTCCGGAAATTGTCGATTTTTTTCTAGATATCCAACTAAATTTTCTCCGCAGTTCATACATATGTTTCATATGTTTGTTGTTGTTAAATTTTCTAAATATCTAAAAAAAAATAAACATTTCCTGAAAATTACTCAATTTAGCAAAATGTTCTTTGTTGGCGAATCAAACGTTGTTTTCCCGGTCGTTTCGTACCCAAATGCATTCGATTCGTATCCAAGTTTGAGTAGCTTCGTACGCCGTATTATTCATGAAGGAAACCGCTCAACTTGATAATTGACCCAAAAGAAGGATTGTCGCTCTTTCAGGTCTACTGGATCATAAAGTTTAAGAAAAAAACCTTAAATGTTTTCATATATTATCAAGTCAAACTATCCCAAAACACTCTAAATATCAAAACAAAAATTTCGGATATATGTGACCTACCTACTGGCCAGAAGGACAACTCCGGAGGAGTTCCAGAAACGAGTTTGGGAGGCGTTGTAGCTAAACGTACACGTGATGCAACACCACTGTATTCCTATTTTTTGAACAGATAACCTCCCAGGTAGTAAGTGGGCAATTTTCTTAAGAAACTGTGGTATGAGAAACTCTTTGTCAATATCAGTTCTAAAGTTGGCTATCCTAATGACTTCTAGTGGTTACACTTGGGTGCGTGCGCGTATCAGACAGGCTATTGTGACGGCAAGTGAACGGAAGCAACACAATATACTGATGATAGCGTGAGGCATGCCGAAACACGCCTTTAAAAGCTCTGGTCATGGCAGACCTCCTTATTCACACTTTATTTGTCAATGTCTTAGTATTCCAGAAAATTCACGGAATTGCATCAGGGTAAATTGAAATTTGTGCTTTGGAACAGGTTCACACCTAAATGACTGTAGACGTTCAGTACCTGTTAGTAAAACATACTTTAGTTCTTTGAATGCTGACAAGACTGATTTCACTTCTTTATTTTACTTTCTGTGAAATACAAAATGTACGTTGTTGCCCACCGGTGTTTCATGAGTTACTTATTTCTAAGACCACCAGTCAGGTTAAAAGTTGGTATCTTTTCTGGGGTATGTTTTGCATGCTTAGTCTGCTCTCGAATAATAATCATATGACTAAATCCGCACTTGTATATACTGGATCCCCATGGGTCCATTTCTGTTAGCGGATTCGGACATGGTGGGGAGGTGGGGGGAAAGATCTAAATTTGCTGAGACACCAGCTTACTTAATTAGTTTTGCTCAAATTATCTCCAAGGTAACCCAACCATGAGCAATCGCAAGCGAAAGAACAGGAACCAGCAATTAGTATTTAAATTTGTTGAGCCACCTATTCTTAAGACAAAGGGCATTCTAGAGCTGGTGGGAGCTTTAGTGCTTAGTGCCTAAAACGAGAGAGGCTTGGGTCGGATTGCGTAACAACTCTTCGCGAGTCTCCCTCATTTGCCGTTTACTTTTCTGCGAATTAATTCATATTCCGCTCCGTTTCATACCACTCCATTTACTTTTTAATACAAAAGTATCACTGAAATAAAGCAAAGAGAGTGGGAAGTCATCTTCACCTTGCTGTAAATTATCAAACCCTTCCATTAAGGCAAGTTTAACTTAATTTATTCACACTGAGTCTCTACAGACGATCGGCAAAGGCAATGTTACCTCATTTTAAGCTGAGTAACCGAAAATTTCTTATGACTTCGACACTTACGGGGTGCAATTTGCAACGAATCTTACTTTAATATAATTGAGTGTAAAGAATTTCCTATTTTCGAAAGTGGGTGTGTAGTTGAATTGCCAAAATAAGACAAAAATAAAAATGTTAAAACCAAATGAAACCCGATCCCTGCCAAACGATTAACAGGCAAAATTTTATTCAACTCTTACCACTTCCCCCTTAGCACAAACTTTCCTGAATTAAATAAAGAAATATTCTTCCCCTAAAAAGTGTTTTATAACCAAAAACATTGTCTCTTAACATGATAGCTTATGGGGACATTTCTTTAGTTTATCACTCAATATTTTAAAAGAAATAGAAAGCACTGTTAATTAAAGAAAAACCTCACCATTTAACTAACTTTAAGAGACAAGTTAGTTTTACAAACCAATTGGTACCTAAATAGTTATTGTAAACTGAACATTTACACCAAGATACAAACATTACAATACAAATGGATAGTGTCCAAAAATAAAACCATTATGTCAATAAAGGCTGATAGCTTCTAAAGAAACGGTTTGGGGCTGCGTCGGTGGGGGTAACGAAATAATTTGAATATATCAACAAAGTTGAAATGGTAAATTGGCCACCTTTACGATTATAAAAGCTGACGTTTCGAGCGTTAAAGCCAATTTGCTCCGACGAAGGGCTAACGCTCGAAACGTCAGCTTTTATAATCATAACTGTGGCCAATTTACCATTCCATTATGTCTATACACCGGCTTCATTTAAGCAAACAATTTCAGAGCATACTAAAGCAGCTTGGAAATGAACACTGTAGAAAAGTTACTTCCAACCAATGGCACTGCTTTCAAGGAGAGCCACCAGACCAATTGATACAACATACAGTGAGCCAACAATAATACCAGTCCACAACTAGGAGGAAATTTAGAAAGATTATCAATTGTTAGACTGGTATCTACATTTTGAAGGGGAAGCAAGTATTTAATTAGGTCAGATCATTTTCTACCCTCCTTAAGGATCAATTTTCATAAAGAATGGGGCATTACTAGCAGAATTTTTAAAGTGTCACTCATGCCATCCTGCATTAAAGGTAGAAGTCAGTCTCAAAATGGCAGTTTACATGGGATAAATAATGAACATGTAACCCTTTGACAATTGAGAGCAACTAAGTTCTCTTTACAGTATTGCCCCTGAAACAAACATCAAGATCAAAAGGAAAAAAAGAAATGATCACCAACTAAAGAGGCTCTCGACTGCCAACAAATTCTCTTTGTCAGTATCATAGAAAATGTATAGAGAACAGTATGGAGAATATGCATACTGATGTTTGGATGTAAAGGGTTGTTCTGCTGCAAAGTTGTTTACAATACAATACAATACAATGTTCTTTATTTCAAGAGGGAAAATACATGATTAATCCAGTAAAGAGTTTTCTAACACATGGCCCTCTGTAAACCCACCCATCCCACCCAGGGAGGACATCCATCACACAGTAATCTTGTGTTTGGGAAATTAACGTCTGCTACCCCAACCCTGCAGGAGACGGGACCTCCATTTATTCGTCTCTATCCGAGAAGACAAGAATATCTAACCATTTCTTGATGTTATAGAAAGGCAGCAAATTCTTCTCAATTATTTTAAGACCCCGAGTGTTGGTCTGGCCGGGGCTCGAACCCTCGACCTCCCGCACAACAGTCTAGTGCTCTATCCATTGAGCTAACTGGGAGGCAGGTGAATGTTGATTTGTTACAAATCACTGTTTTCCCCTTTCCCAAAAACAAACAAGATCAAGTAGGGGTATTCTCTAGATAGTGGGGTGAAGCTTACCTTGTATGTCAGACGGAAGCCAACAATTCCAACGACCCACTGCACAAAGATTATCACAGTCACCTCTGCAATTAAGGAAAAATTGTATTAAATTAGTTTTATCGATAAATATGATAATCTGATCATTTAGTTAAAATAGTTTGTCTACTTTATCAAAACGGTAACTGTTTTTTGGACAATTGTAACAAGGAAAATAAAATTGCTTAATCTTCAGTCTTTCATTACACAGTAATTACTTCAAATAAATATGTAATAGTGCAATTTATCAAGGGTGCAAAAGAAATGAGTTAAAAAACAGTTATGAACCATTGGACATTTTTCTGACCTGCAGAGTAGTACCACTTCAACTCCCTGAAGTACACAAGAGCAGCAAAAATGCCAAGACACAGAGTGTTGTTCATGGTTCCAGCACCATACAGCTAAAGTGTAGAGAACAAAAGTTTTCAATTACTGTAACTTCTCCAATGATTAATACTGGGTGATTATTAAAAATATTGACCAATTTTGCTGTTCCTGAAAATACCCTTGGCAATTCAACAAGTTTTTAGTTCAAGTGACCCACCCGTCTGAAAATTCCTTGTCACACCACCCTCCATCTCCTTAGGGTGGAATCAGTATGGTTTTCAGCCATTTAACTTCCAGAAGCGATTAACTTGTAACTTCTCTTTGCGATTCCAATACATTATCTTGTAAACAGGTTGTGAGAACAGAGATGCTTGTCGGCTCAAAGGTGTTACCTTGATTTAAAAAGGAATTCTCTTGTCTAATTTACAAGGGGATGTATGGCTGTCACTTGGGAGATTAACTACTTAGATCTTGGGAGTTAGAGGGTTAACAAAAAGACAAGCCCTAAAATGGTCATGATAACAACATTAGTGGACTGGGCCAATGAGAATTCAAAGTAAACTGCACTCAAGAGCTGTGAGACAAAACAAGTTTACATCAGCGATGCCACCTGCAATTCATTTTTATGCTCTGTATATGATAACTGTTCATGAAGGTTCATTAACTATTAACTTTACCTGTGCAAAGGTCATGGAAACATTCTCCTTCTTCTTCTTGGAGGCAAAAATTAAAGAAGACACAAGTTCTGAAGCATTTGAGCACAGTGGAGTCACCACAAATGACACATAGAAAGCTGCAAACAAATGAAAAAATTAATGTTACACTGTTGAATTAAACACTGATGGATCAAACAAAACAATACTCAATAACTAACTAATAATGGTAATAGGATGGAGTAGAGTCTACGTCCATCAGTAATCATGAGTGATAAATAAAATCAGACAACCACAAAGTGGGAGTCTGATTTGTTTATTTCTCTTTACATCAGGCAAACAAGGAATAAGAAGAAAGAAAAATATCAATTAAGGATTTATTGGCTGATCCCATGCTGAACTATGCAAGCTAACATTAAAAGAATCAGATAACAATAATGAGAATTACTAAATAAATGAGATCTTGGTGGTGAAAGGATTCAAGATTTCAGGTTTCCAAAAAGATTGAAATAATCACCACTTAGACTTGACTTACATGAAACAGGAATAAATGACTTGTTGTATTTATTTGTAAGGGAATCAAGCACATCACACATTGGATCAGCAAATACTGTCACCTGTTGACATAAAAAATGTTCACAATCAAATAAAGCCGACAGAGGAGGGTGTTACGAAAACTAAGAGCCTCGAAAACTAAGACCCAAGACTTAAGACCCATCTTAGGGCCTGTTCATATGGAGGTGTGAGACCCCGGGAAGGTGAGGTACCACACCTCGGTGGGGTTACCAATCTTTTCATACAATCTCTCTTTATTTCTTGATCTTGTTCACATGTGAAGTGGGGTACCTCACCAAGGCGGGTTGCCTGGTCAGCTGAGGTGGGTAACCCACTTAGCTGGGGTGAGTTTTCTCCTTGTGAATGCTGGAGGTGGGGTGGGGTGATGTTCATCCGGGCAATTGTCTCTGAATGCTGAATTCTGCCAAAGCCCACCAAAACAACATGGCTGTTAATCAGTACAAGCATGGCAAGCTTTTTTGCAGATATCACCTTCAAAACATCGACAACAATGCCATTGAAGAAAGTTCTGAAAGAGTTGAAAGTGCACTTGTCGAGTCTGATAACCAAGCTGATCTACCGGTCTTGGATGAAGGTAAAGTCGTGCCCGTAAGAACAATGAAACAAAAAGCTTCTTCTGCCGAAAATATTACTTAGTGACCATGCGATAGCTTTTTTAAATCTCACCCCAGCACCCCAGGGTTGCATGTGAAGGCCTATTTTTTCTGACCTCAGGTAGATGGGGTACCTCACCTTCCCGGGGTCCCCCACTGCCATGTGAACAGGCCCTTAGTTTTCGAGATTACGAAAACTAAGACCCCCTTAAATCAAAGCAGTCGAAATATAAAGTCAAATTGTAACCAAAACAGGTCTAATCTGTCAAATTAACTCCTGTCCGATCCTTTCCACTGAGTTTCAGGTATAATTTAACGGTAAATTTAGGGGTCTCAGTTTTTGTAAAATTTCTCAAAAACTAAGACCTCTCTTAGTTTGCGTAATTACGAAAGCTAAAACCCCCACCAAACCATTTTGTAAAAATTTTTACTAAGTCGAATTATGACCTTTCAAAGACTAATCCATAAAACAACCAAAAACTACTTGATGATCCAAAGGGGGCCCATACAATCTGTTTGTGTAGGTGACTGTTGTTTTATAGTGAATGTACCAGATTTACCATTTGCCTCACCTATAGTGATATATTGCTGACTACACGCATAAATCATTGATAAATAAACGTTGAATTACTTTACCTGTGGTGTATAGTCGTCCTTTCGCCTCAAAAATGTTTTTTTGAGCAATTTTGAGTAAGTCTGAGTTCGTCGTTAATGTAATGCATTACATTTTACCAGTTTATTCCTTGCGATTTACCTTTCAAGTTTAAACACTTGATTAAAAGTTTGGGCGACATGACTCAAAATATCGGGCAACATGACTATGAGTTTCGGGCGACACAACTCTGGTTCCAGGCAACATGACTTCGGGCGACTTGACCGGTTACCTTTGTAATACCCCGAAGGGTCTTAGTTTTCATGACACCCTGACAGAGGACTAAGTACCTTATGATGACTAGCTCAAGTTAAAAGAGAGGCTGAAATTTTGATCCACTCATCACAATGTAAAAACTACATCTTGTAAAACATGCCGAAATCAGACTTATTGTATACTCACCAAACCAACTCCAATAACAAGGAGGCTGACACACTTAATGGCCAAATAAGTTGTGCTTTCCTCTTCTTCCTCTTCGTCCTATCAGAGATAAACAACAACAGGAAAGTATTACAAAAAGTAATAAACAAGTAACTTCTTCCAAAATGTCCACGCATTATTCAGCACCGATTTGAAATAACTGATCATTGCTGAATAGTCCATTTTACAGTTGTGTGCTTGGTTGCCAAGCCTTTGAATGGGAGTGAGGCTAGGGTTGACCTTGTTATGATACAAACCTTGCTGCCTTTCAAATGTAAATCAATTTGTTATCATGCTAACTTGATACAGGTCTCTATCACAACAAGGTCATCTTTAGCCTTACTCTGAATCAAAGGCTTGGCAACTAAGTACACAACTGTAAAATGGCCTATTTTCACCAACCAATTATATACCAAAAGAAACCAATCACAAGTTAATACTTTTTTCAAACAGAGCAGAACAACACTCTCACAATAACAATAATACTGGAATGAACTATTTAGTAATACATGGACAAGATAACAACACTACCCCTTAGAATAAGGTTAGGTTGAAATGGTTAGTATATTATCAACATTCATTAGCCATTAATGCAAGGCAATTGCAGTTTAGTAATTGGAGGTAAGATAATAAAAAGAGAGAAGTAAATCAGTGGGTTGCAGCATTTATTTACACCAAATGAAATGTGTTCCAATTTTATTTTGATGAATTATGAAGCAACAAATTACTTTGTATTTCATGAATGATTTTTTATCAGTGGTTTTAAAATATGTTTATGAAATGATGAGGTGATAAAAATAGTGATGGAAAAGATGAATTAAAGTTACTGTAGTTTTGACAAAACTTTGTTATAAAGGTTTAATTACTAAAAAAAGGAAGATGACTCATGGAACATGGTTGTTACATGTAAAAATGTACAAAGGATCAAAGAAAGTTTAAAGATAGATGGAGCTGAGAAGAGGAAATATACAATGACGTCAGTGGTGTTTCTTGAATCTTGCTTCTGTGAGGGGATATACTCACCTCAATTTCAAAAGAATCTTTGTGAATAAGTTCCTGTTAGGTGGTAATAGTAAAAGAAAACAAATTCAAATTTTGCAGGACAATTCTGAGCCATTTTCATTAATTCATTTATCTTTTATTCTGACAAAAGCCATGCAGGCATGCATAGGGCCACCACAATTTTCTTTGAAAATGAAATATGTTTGATGGAAATTGTAAAAATTAATTCTCATGTAATAAAAGTAATTACTGGTTAGATTTTAGTAATTTGATGTTAGAAGTGAGTAAAGCAAGGAAGAGTTATAGAGCTGAAAGCTAGCAAAGCAACCAGCTTAATGTCACTTGACTCAGTGATAATGCTAAAATATTTTTTGTCTACCTCTTTGTCATCTTTAGGCATAATAGGGTCTGTCTCTGTTGGCTGCTTTTTATCCATGCCAGCTCCAAGACGCCAAGCTTTGAAGTACTTCTTCTGGACATGAACTTAATCAAAAACATATTGCAATTGTGAGTTAACATCCTACATAAACATTTATCACACACTAATTGCGATGACAAAGCAATTTTTAACCTAGTACCATGATCGTAACATAATATGATTAGTACCTAATTTCTCCCCATACAATCACCCCTAAATCAAACCTTAACAAATTCTCTTCATCAGTAAAATTGGAAATGTATAGAGAAAAGTATTGAGAATATGCATACTGATGAAAGGGTGTAAAGGCCGGGTTCCGGGAAAATCACAACAAGCTAATTAATACGGCCTCAAAGAAAATGCAGTCAGGTTTGTTATCTGACAAGAAAAAAATCCAAGCCAAGTTAAAATTGGTGACATTAGTGTTGAACATGATTGGTTGAGGGTGGTAAATGTTTTCTGGATCAATCACAAAGCACTAGTAAAACAAAACCAAAGCAACAGTTTTTATTGGACACTCCTAAAAATTAAAAGAAACTAGCCGTAGTGTTCATGTTTCCAAGATAATTTGCCTCAAAGATTTACTTACAACTTTTTTCCTGTACATGACAACAAAACTAGCCAAATCATGTAGGATTTCCCTGTTTTACACTTAGAGCCATGATTTCTGATTTTATACTTACTTTCTTGTGCAGCTTTATCTTCCCCATCAAGTTGATCAGTTCTGCCAGGCATTGTTTTCTTGGCCATCATGACAAAACGGTGCAGTACCCTTCGCTGCATCCTAAGGTCAATAACAACAAAAAACACCCACATATCAAGATAAAATTGCACCACATCAACTGCTATATCAAGGTAAAATGCAAATTAGCTTCGTTTTTAAATTGTTAGTTGAAATAAAAACTAAGGTTGACTTACATTTCTTGACGATGCTTATCTGCTCTCATTTGGGCTGACTTGCTGTCAACAAACTAAAGATTGAAAGAAGATTTAGGAAAATTGAACTAGTATAACTATAATACCTACTCTTTGCAGTCCAAAGTAATGTTATATTCACAGGCAACCTTCTTTGTTCTAGCCTATCTGTTATTAGTATAATTTCATAGCTGAGCGAAGAGTTTCCAGCAATCTGATTGGTCGAGCAGTTCCTTATATGANAATGTTATGATTTTAGAAATTTCTCTGTTGTTCAGCTCTGAAATTATACTAAAACAATTATTTACCTCAGGTTCGGTGATTATTGTAGAATAATTCGACAATATTCACCCCGCCTTCCGTGAATAATTGTTAAATACTTTAGTCACTCAATCTGTTTCACTGTTTGCCAATTGATCAATATGCCAGTCAGCCAGCCAACTTCCCAGGGTCAGCTAGCTCACAAAGTAACTGGCAAGTTAGTTGGCTGGGTAAACGACTTACTGTCTTGTAACTCAGTACCCGGGTTTTCCAGTCATCTAGCCAACAACCCAGTCACAGTTGAATAGTCAGCCAGCCAGCCAGCCAACAGCCAGTTAGTTGCCAGATCCAGCCAGCTCATCTACCGGTCAATAAGTCAATGAACTTCTTTGTTTGTTACCAGTTATTCAGTCCACTAACAGTCTCTTACATGGAATTTGCATTATACAAATTTTAAATACTATTATTATTAAAAGAAAAACTAACCAAGAAAATCAGATAGGCTACAAAACCAATGAAGCAAATAATCATGGTTGCCAAGGCAGCCTTGCGTACATAAGGGGGCTGATCTCCAAAGTTATGTGGACCAAAATGCCAGTCTGCTCCTTGTACAATACTAAAAGAGAGTGAACATTCACAAGTCACAACTGTGAAAAGCTTTACAATATTATTGATGAAATTCCTTTTTAAATTTGAGCACTTACAAGTATGAAAGCGATGTAAGCAACATAATTCCTACAGCTGTCTTGACACTAGGCAAGATTGTCACACCCTAAAATACAATTACAACAGCTGAGTTGGAAAAAAATCAAAACAAAAATGAAATTGAAAAAAGAGAGACATACTTATGATCTTAAAAGAATTTTAAAAATGGAAGGGAAAGCCTAAATTATTTAACTGCCGCATCCTAATGGTGCCCCAACAATAAACACTTATGGGGGGAGGGGACTGTGGGACAAGTTTACTTGGATTGTTAAATTACCACATTGCTACAATCCAAACAGAACTTGAAATTGTTGGTAAAAGATACAAGACTGTTGTACTCAGTTTACTAGTACTTTCATCATCACATTTGATAAAGATAAGCGAATTAAGATATGTTTTGAAATATTACTGACAGCATCTGTAAGACTTAACACAAGCAGGGGTCTCCCTTCATATATTTGAAAGCATTTGGAGTAAGTGCCATTATTTTCATGAGCTCTCAGTCAAGTTTTTTTTTTAACTACCTACATTTCAGCAGCGTGATAATCAAGGCTGTGATATCTCATTTTTTTCTGCCAACATGAGAAATTGTTAGCAAGCGCAGGCTGGTTCCAGATAGAGGTTCAAAACTAACAGCTTAAACCGTAGTAGGTGTATCCCTTTTCTAAACACCAGAGCTGTTTTCTGGATCTGAGTTACTGAACTCTCCAATTGCCAAGACAATGAAGATAAAGAGTATTTGATGTTTGGACTTACTTGTTTGTTACAGCTGATCCTTCCATATCCACTGCCTTCAATGGCTTCACCATTAGCATCAAGGTCACACTTTCCAACTGCTAAACTACCGGCCCATGCTGCTGTTAGTAACATGATGGTACTACCTGCCAATGTCCTGTGCAAGAAAGGCAAAAAAAATATATCTGAAATAATTTTATTTCTACAGGTTGAGGAAGATGACATCTGTTTTAAAGCTTGGCCCTCATGGAGAATCAAACCATCTGATTTTTCAATGGTTTTTTTAACCAATGAGCTTCACAGATCTCTCTGTGTTAGCTGAAACAAACAAACAAGGGCCAGTTGTGCACAGGGCAAATGGTACTTTCCAGTGGATAACCATTATCAAAATGTACTTGGCTATCCATCAGCTGGGTCAAACAACTGAGTCCAGGTTCCTATATGACAAACATCCTCCATGCTACCAGGATCAGCAGTGTTAAAAATGGATTTATGTTGACCACAGGGATATTCTAAGTCAGTTTGACACTTAACTTGTGCTTACATTAAGCACAACTTGGAAGAGACTACAAAATATTAGTGCAGGAAGATGCTAAAACAAAAGAGAGGCCAAAAAAAATCAAGAGGGAAGAAAGTTGGCCAGGGAAGGAGAATATTAAAATGGATTGTTGAAAAAAAAAAACTTGAAAATTCAGGGTAATGTTTAATTAGATGTACACAATTCTGACAATGCTCATTGTCAAATCAAATCGACAAAACAAAACAACCAAGCAAAAACAAGAAAGACAAGGGCAGTTTTAAGTTTTGCTGGAAGATTGCAAATTACTAATTTAAAACCAAACTTGAAAACCTACTTTCATTTAGTAAGATTTGTTTTCTTACCCCATGCCAACAGACAACTTATCCTGTGCATCATCTCCCAAACCTGATACAATGATAATAGCAGAGTCTGGTACAGCTCCCAACAAAGGAAGAACAATACCACCTGGAAGATAAAAAAAGCAAGTAGTTCTATCAGTTTATCATACTTTTTGAAACAATTCTGTTGATCACTTGTGGGAGAATCAATGCATGGCCTTGTGGTTAATACCCTGAAATCCAAATTAAAATGTCCAGGTTTGAGACAAGACTAGTTTCACTGTGACACATTCTTTGGTGAGGCATTTTCCTTGCATTGCCACCTTTCACCAAGGAATAGTCCCTTTTACAGTTGTGGGCTTGGTGGCCAAGCCCTTTGAACAGGAGTGAGGCTAAGGGTGACCCTGTTGTGATAGAGACCAGTATCTAGTTAGCATGATAACAAAGAAATTTGCATTTGAAAGCAGCAACATCTCTTTCATAACAAGGTCACCCTTAGCCTCACTCCTGTTCAAAGGCTTGGCCACCAAGCCCACAACTGTAAAAAAAGGACTATTCCATTGGGTACCAGGATCTCTCTGGGAATGCTGACACAGGCTGCTGCAAGGAGTTTTACTCATGATGTACAAGCACCCAGTCCACACGAAGTTGCTGTACTCCTTAATGCGAATCAGTCCTGAATAAAGATTCTCTCATTCATGTTTTTCAATCATGGCTTACTCTAACAAAGTACTCTATAGTGAGTGAACATTCACATACAGGGCTTCACTACAGGTACTTGATTGTTCTATCATTTTGTTTAAATAAAATGTTGCCTCTTTTTCCTCCATAGTCCTTGAACCTCGAAAGATGATTGCCAGTCATGTTGCTTATTGCAAGGACAAGAAGCATGGTAAGTGCAGGTATGGTGTTTTGTAAAAACTACATGGTTTAAAATGTAGTTACAATTATAAAACAGTGACGCCTTTTTACCAATCAGAGAAGGGTTACAGCCAAGATCCAACAACAGTTCAGCGCCATCTGTAATAATGAAAAATAGACAGTCAAAGACTGCATGTGGCCACTGGTATTGTATAATCTTTATAACTTTGAAAAGAAATAGAGGTTGTATAACATTTCAAAACAAAAAAAAAATTAAACTACATTTATGTAGTGTATGCGGTTGGTCCTCGTAAGCATGCGCACGTGTGCGCATTATGTATTCCATGTGCTTTCGACAATAAATCTAAAAACCGAATACATGACAATTTATTTATTGACTATGAACAAAAAGAAAAAACAAAAAAAACAAACAAACCAGAAATGCATTTTGCAGCAACTCCAAGGATTGCACCATAAAACACCATCAGCAACAGGTTACCAGTTATCTGCAAAGATGATGGCTGAAATAAGCACATCTACAGCCAACATTGAAATTTGAACCTTTTGATGCAAGGTCAAATATTACTTCTGCATTAAACAGCAGCTTTTAAGTGTGATGTAAGTAGTAAAGGTATTTCTATAGCATGAATTATAGATCAGAAAAGGCCATGCTGACAACAGGTTTAGTCAAGAAATCCACAAAAAGTTACTGTGCCTTTTGTTTAAGGCTGGCTGATAGCTGAATCATGAGTGGGTCAGATAAAATTAGGAATGTTTCTCATCCTCCAAGAAGGGATGCTATCACTTTGTAACTCTATATAGACTATTATCAAGTTATACAACTGACAGTGATTAAGCTGTGACATTTTTGCCTCCTGAGCAAAACTGTTGTACGAAACTTTATTTGCCTCAAAAAACTATTGAGGGACACATGACAAAACCAAGACCCAATTTGACATTTCAAACAAATATCAGCATTCTACAAAGCCTCCTGCAAAAAAAACAATGCAAGGATATCGTTAGGAGTTTGTCATTCCTGTAGAGATATCTAGAAAATTTCTGTGGTCAGGTGTGTCCTTTAAACAGCCACTTCTTTTAGGAACTTTCAAGAACCAAGAACTCTGCAGCTTTTATAATCACCTATTCATTGGAAGCAACCAAGCTTAAAAAACACTTAGCTACTTGGCTTTTAAATTGATTAGATGGATCTGATGAAAACAGCTGTACTTGCATGTAAAACTGAAATAATTGAGGTATACAGTGTTCCAAACATACCAATATCTGACTATTTACTTCAATCAAAATTCAGATACTCGAAAACATGGTGCAAATATATTCTAGATAGTTGCGTGTTAACCTAAATTTATAAACTTAGCATACTCCAGAGAGAAGCGAAAACAAGTATTTGCATATGAAAGAAATACTACTTTGGGCGTCCTTCTTTTGAAACTCAAAGACGCCAAACTAACCACTGAACTGGAAAAAAACCAGCCTTTTAATTACTTTTTTCACTTCAATGATTTTTGCAAATCAAAGTTTCAGATTTTTCGCTGCCGCGCCTGTTTTAATTTTTCAGGACTACATAGGTAGAAGATGATCAATTTACAATTTTAAGAGTTCATTAATCACAAAACGATCGAAAATCTGTTTGTAATCTCAAGAAACGTGCGTGACCATTTCTATCATTACCATCTGCATCATATTTCGTCAAAATTTTCGTAATCTCTGCGTAGAATTTGGCAACAGGAAACGGCTTTTAAGATCGTCAGAAATTTTTCAACTTTGATAAACAACCCAATACACGTAGCAGCATCTAGAAACTCACACCCTCGTCTTAAAAATCAAAATATTTTTACACTTCAATGTGTGCTATTTTCGGTTTTATTTTCACATAAAAATATTCAGTGTGCTAGTGGGGAACTCTAGTTATCCAGATAACTCGTAATCGAGGATCATAACGAGCAAAACAACACGTACGAGGCAAACTCAAGCTTTAAGGGGAAAAAAGACATATCTGTAGTATTTAAACAAAGACTGTACAATCAAACAGGTGTAATAGACCATCAACAAACATTTGGTATTTCTGCCTAGAAACTTAGAACTAGCAAACACAGTATACCCTGGAAAAAAGACGATTGTATATTTGTGGGCAACACCACTACATGATATATCTCTAACGAAATTGCTTCCAAAATCGAATTTTTAAATGTAGATCAATGCCCGGGGTAAAGCTTAAATGGGCATAATAAATATTACCATAAAATAGTTTACACCCCCGTTTCGTCAATTACAGAAGTGTACAGTCAACTTTGACGCGAAGAACAGATCACAAAACAGTACAGCAGCCTTTTTAGGGCAATCACACTTTTTGGCTGTCATTCTCTAGGTGGCAAGAGCCTACAAACAATTTACTTCTACGGCCACTTTATTTAAATTGGCGGTAAATTATTTAAACCTCATGCAAGGATGTAATCGCGGTATTGCAAGGCTAAACTTCGATTTTTACGCAAGAACGATCGCAAGCGACGATGGAACTCTTGATCTGATGCAGCTAAAATGAATCAAAGTTGCCGCGACGAGTCCAACAGATTTGAACATTACCAAGTGCTGAAGAAATATTCGGTATTACTTTTAACTTACCGTAGACGAACAAGGATAAGTTCCGTTCATGTCTTCCTCGCATGGAGGGCGTCCTTCCGAGCTGTTCGTCTTTTTCTCAGCATTCTCCTCGGCCGCCTAAAAACCGACAGAGACAGTTGTTTACACACAGCCAAAAGTTAACATGTATGGTTGAGGCGCTTGCCGATGACCCAAACAACGATACTTAAATATTTTTTAACTTGACCTTGCTTGTAAATAAATAAAATTTTAACTTACCCGCCTAACTCTGCTAAAGCTAAACAGGGCACGTGAATCCGATGGAACAAAAAACTGGCAAGAAATCCATGTGCCAAGTAGAATTAGAAAGTAAACTTTCGGAGTAAAGCACACCATCTTGTCCGAACTAAAGTCTTCCAAGCGACGCCTAGCGCTAATGCCGATGAAGTTGCTGCTTCTGGAATATTATTACTGACTAAAAGCACTCTGGGCACGTAGGTTTGCTTTGATATGGAAATTAGATACCTGGAAACACCTCAATGAACATTTAACACACGCTAACAGGAACTGATTTTGTGTAATTTTCGATGAGTGCGTGCTATGTCAGATTTTTAAACAATCCTTTCCGTGTGTCAAAACTCACCAAAGTATTACCGACATTTTCATTAGTCGGCGAATGACAATTTCTCCGGTGTTTCTGCATGGACTCTTGGCAGATTCATTGCATATTCATTGAAAAGTCGGGTACTTTTGGTAATGCGTGATTGAGATATGTCAGGGGTGGGGTAGCAGGGGCTTAACCTGCTGGCCATCACTCTCTCGATGTGACTCTGTTACTAAAAACTGAAGCCTTTTTACGCAACTACAACACTAGTGACGACTATGGTATCCATTGTGAACATCTAAAACAATTCATAAGACTTCTGACAACTTTTAAGCTTCCACATAGGGTGCCATGGGTACGTCGCGCGAAATGTTTTCTGTCTCGAGAGTTTCCTTTTTTCGCGCGCGTCGTTCAGCATCAATACTTCTCTGTTGTAGTCACGCGCGAGAAAAGTGAAAGCGCGCGCCTCCATTACTCGCGCATACGTGGGAGCAGCCCTCTGGCAACTTACTTTTGCTATAAAGACTTCCATTTTTATAGCTAAATTTTCACTTTGTTTCTCGTTTTGAAGTTAGTTTAAAAGTTCGGGACACGAAAAATATGTATTAAAATTTGTCAGAATTAAGGATATCAAGTAAATAAATTCACCAGTACTTAACCAGTTAACGCTAGAATGCTCACAACGGTTAAATATAAGTCTTGTTTCTTCAGCCGTATCCCTCAACAGGTCGCGATGATGATTTATATTCACAAAAAGGCCCAACACTTTAGCGACTATCCGAATTCCTTCTGGAATTTTAACACCCTCAAGAATCAACCGCTAACGATTGAGAACTTGGCGACCCATAAACAGAAAGAATACAATTATGGAGATATTTAAGGCTAAGGATCTTACGTATTTTTTAAATCAAGGAATGTGCATGAGAAGAAATAAAATTTGATTCAAAGTTTTTGACCCTGGAACATTGTTGTTTTGACCCCTGGAACATCGACTCAATGTTCGAGCACCTTCTTTCTCCAGAATTGACGAAGGAGAACTAGGCCTCTATTCCCTGAGTGCTTCAGTATGTTCAAAATTAAACTGTTCATCTTTAAACGTTCTGCAATCCTTTCTAACCTTCTGTAAAATGCTACCAAGAAGGAATTAAGCAAAGTAATGACTGTCAAGTCTGGATTCTTAATCAACCTTCGAAGTTACCACACAATGATTACAATTATTCATAACAAGCTGCCGTCTGCGGCGCAAGCCGAGATTAGCGCTGCATTTAGGATAATGCTATGGTAGTTACGCAAAACGTTTAGCACTCTTTCTTAGCATGGCAGTCTTTTGAAAACTTGACCGCTTACTCTCTTTCGAAAAATATCCCATGGAACAGGTCACAGCCATAATGAAGAACAAGGACATAACACTTTTTTGCTACAATACAATACAATACAATGTTCTTTATTTCAAGAGGGAAAATACATGATTAATCCAGTAAAGAGTTTTCTAACACATGGCCCTCTGTAAACCCACCCATCCCACCCAGGGAGGACATCCATCACACAGTAATCTTGTGTTTGGGAAATTAACGTCTGCTACCCCAACCCTGCAGGAGACGGGACCTCCATTTATTCGTCTCTATCCGAGAAGACAAGAATATCTAACCATTTCTTGATGTTATAGAAAGGCAGCAAATTCTTCTCAATTATTTTAAGACCCCGAGTGTTGGTCTGGCCGGGGCTCGAACCCTCGACCTCCCGCACAACAGTCTAGTGCTCTATCCATTGAGCTAACTGGGAGGCAGGTGAATGTTGATTTGTTACAAATCACTGTTTTCCCCTTTCCCAAAAACAAACAAGATCAAGTAGGGGTATTCTCTAGATAGTGGGGTGAAGCTTACCTTGTATGTCAGACGGAAGCCAACAATTCCAACGACCCACTGCACAAAGATTATCACAGTCACCTCTGCAATTAAGGAAAAATTGTATTAAATTAGTTTTATCGATAAATATGATAATCTGATCATTTAGTTAAAATAGTTTGTCTACTTTATCAAAACGGTAACTGTTTTTTGGACAATTGTAACAAGGAAAATAAAATTGCTTAATCTTCAGTCTTTCATTACACAGTAATTACTTCAAATAAATATGTAATAGTGCAATTTATCAAGGGTGCAAAAGAAATGAGTTAAAAAACAGTTATGAACCATTGGACATTTTTCTGACCTGCAGAGTAGTACCACTTCAACTCCCTGAAGTACACAAGAGCAGCAAAAATGCCAAGACACAGAGTGTTGTTCATGGTTCCAGCACCATACAGCTAAAGTGTAGAGAACAAAAGTTTTCAATTACTGTAACTTCTCCAATGATTAATACTGGGTGATTATTAAAAATATTGACCAATTTTGCTGTTCCTGAAAATACCCTTGGCAATTCAACAAGTTTTTAGTTCAAGTGACCCACCCGTCTGAAAATTCCTTGTCACACCACCCTCCATCTCCTTAGGGTGGAATCAGTATGGTTTTCAGCCATTTAACTTCCAGAAGCGATTAACTTGTAACTTCTCTTTGTGATTCCAATACATTATCTTGTAAACAGGTTGTGAGAACAGAGATGCTTGTCGGCTCAAAGGTGTTACCTTGATTTAAAAAGGAATTCTCTTGTCTAATTTACAAGGGGATGTATGGCTGTCACTTGGGAGATTAACTACTTAGATCTTGGGAGTTAGAGGGTTAACAAAAAGACAAGCCCTAAAATGGTCATGATAACAACATTAGTGGACTGGGCCAATGAGAATTCAAAGTAAACTGCACTCAAGAGCTGTGAGACAAAACAAGTTTACATCAGCGATGCCACCTGCAATTCATTTTTATGCTCTGTATATGATAACTGTTCATGAAGGTTCATTAACTATTAACTTTACCTGTGCAAAGGTCATGGAAACATTCTCCTTCTTCTTCTTGGAGGCAAAAATTAAAGAAGACACAAGTTCTGAAGCATTTGAGCACAGTGGAGTCACCACAAATGACACATAGAAAGCTGCAAACAAATGAAAAAATTAATGTTACACTGTTGAATTAAACACTGATGGATCAAACAAAACAATACTCAATAACTAACTAATAATGGTAATAGGATGGAGTAGAGTCTACGTCCATCAGTAATCATGAGTGATAAATAAAATCAGACAACCACAAAGTGGGAGTCTGATTTGTTTATTTCTCTTTACATCAGGCAAACAAGGAATAAGAAGAAAGAAAAATATCAATTAAGGATTTATTGGCTGATCCCATGCTGAACTATGCAAGCTAACATTAAAAGAATCAGATAACAATAATGAGAATTACTAAATAAATGAGATCTTGGTGGTGAAAGGATTCAAGATTTCAGGTTTCCAAAAAGATTGAAATAATCACCACTTAGACTTGACTTACATGAAACAGGAATAAATGACTTGTTGTATTTATTTGTAAGGGAATCAAGCACATCACACATTGGATCAGCAAATACTGTCACCTGTTGACATAAAAAATGTTCACAATCAAATAAAGCCGACAGAGGAGGGTGTTACGAAAACTAAGAGCCTCGAAAACTAAGACCCAAGACTTAAGACCCATCTTAGGGCCTGTTCATATGGAGGTGCGCGACCCCGGGAAGGTGAGGTACCCCACCTCGGTGGGGTTACCAATCTTTTCATACAATCTCTCTTTATTTCTTGATCTTGTTCACATGTGAAGTGGGGTACCTCACCAAGGCGGGTTGCCTGGTCAGCTGAGGTGGGTAACCCACTTAGCTGGGGTGAGTTTTCTCCTTGTGAATGCTGGAGGTGGGGTGGGGTGATGTTCATCCGGGCAATTGTCTCTGAATGCTGAATTCTGCCAAAGCCCACCAAAACAACATGGCTGTTAATCAGTACAAGCATGGCAAGCTTTTTTGCAGATATCACCTTCAAAACATCGACAACAATGCCATTGAAGAAAGTTCTGAAAGAGTTGAAAGTGCACTTGTCGAGTCTGATAACCAAGCTGATCTACTGGTCTTGGATGAAGGTAAAGTCGTGCCCGTAAGAACAACGAAACTGTGAAAAAGCTTCTTCTGCCGAAAATATTACTTAGTGACCATGCGATAGCTTTTTTAAATCTCACCCCAGCACCCCAGGGTTGCATGTGAAGGCCTATTTTTTCTGACCTCAGGTAGATGGGGTACCTCACCTTCCTGGGGTCCCCCACTGCCATGTGAACAGGCCCTTAGTTTTCGAGATTACGAAAACTAAGACCCCCTTAAATCAAAGCAGTCGAAATATAAAGTCAAATTGTAACCAAAACAGGTCTAATCTGTCAAATTAACTCCTGTCCGATCCTTTCCACTGAGTTTCAGGTATAATTTAACGGTAAATTTAGGGGTCTCAGTTTTTGTAAAATTTCTCAAAAACTAAGACCTCTCTTAGTTTGCGTAATTACGAAAGCTAAAACCCCCACCAAACCATTTTGTAAAAATTTTTACTAAGTCGAATTATGACCGTTCAAAGACTAATCCATAAAACAACCAAAAACTACTTGATGATCCAAAGGGGGCCCATACAATCTGTTTGTGTAGGTGACTGTTGTTTTATAGTGAATGTACCAGATTTACCATTTGCCTCACCTATAGTGATATATTGCTGACTACACGCATAAATCATTGATAAATAAACGTTGAATTACTTTACCTGTGGTGTATAGTCGTCCTTTCGCCTCAAAAATGTTTTTTTGAGCAATTTTGAGTAAGTCTGAGTTCGTCGTTAATGTAATGCATTACATTTTACCAGTTTATTCCTTGCGATTTACCTTTCAAGTTTAAACACTTGATTAAAAGTTTGGGCGACATGACTCAAAATATCGGGCAACATGACTATGAGTTTCGGGCGACACAACTCTGGTTCCAGGCAACATGACTTCGGGCGACTTGACCGGTTACCTTTGTAATACCCCGAAGGGTCTTAGTTTTCATGACACCCTGACAGAGGACTAAGTACCTTATGATGACTAGCTCAAGTTAAAAGAGAGGCTGAAATTTTGATCCACTCATCACAATGTAAAAACTACATCTTGTAAAACATGCCGAAATCAGACTTATTGTATACTCACCAAACCAACTCCAATAACAAGGAGGCTGACACACTTAATGGCCAAATAAGTTGTGCTTTCCTCTTCTTCCTCTTCTTCCTATCAGAGATAAACAACAACAGGAAAGTATTACAAAAAGTAATAAACAAGCAACTTCTTCCAAAATGTCCATGCATTATTCAGCACCGATTTGAAATAACTGATCATTGCTGAATAGTCCATTTTACAGTTGTGTGCTTGGTTGCCAAGCCTTTGAATGGGAGTGAGGCTAGGGTTGACCTTGTTATGATACAAACCTTGCTGCCTTTCAAATGTAAATCAATTTGTTATCATGCTAACTTGATACAGGTCTCTATCACAACAAGGTCATCTTTAGCCTTACTCTGAATCAAAGGCTTGGCAACTAAGTACACAACTGTAAAATGGCCTATTTTCACCAACCAATTATATACCAAAAGAAACCAATCACAAGTTAATACTTTTTTCAAACAGAGCAGAACAACACTCTCACAATAACAATAATACTGGAATGAACTATTTAGTAATACATGGACAAGATAACAACACTACCCCTTAGAATAAGGTTAGGTTGAAATGGTTAGTATATTATCAACATTCATTAGCCATTAATGCAAGGCAATTGCAGTTTAGTAATTGGAGGTAAGATAATAAAAAGAGAGAAGTAAATCAGTGGGTTGCAGCATTTATTTACACCAAATGAAATGTGTTCCAATTTTATTTTGATGAATTATGAAGCAACAAATTACTTTGTATTTCATGAATGATTTTTTATCAGTGGTTTTAAAATATGTTTATGAAATGATGAGGTGATAAAAATAGTGATGGAAAAGATGAATTAAAGTTACTGTAGTTTTGACAAAACTTTGTTATAAAGGTTTAATTACTAAAAAAAGGAAGATGACTCATGGAACATGGTTGTTACATGTAAAAATGTACAAAGGATCAAAGAAAGTTTAAAGATAGATGGAGCTGAGAAGAGGAAATATACAATGACGTCAGTGGTGTTTCTTGAATCTTGCTTCTGTGAGGGGATATACTCACCTCAATTTCAAAAGAATCTTTGTGAATAAGTTCCTGTTAGGTGGTAATAGTAAAAGAAAACAAATTCAAATTTTGCAGGACAATTCTGAGCCATTTTCATTAATTCATTTATCTTTTATTCTGACAAAAGCCATGCAGGCATGCATAGGGCCACCACAATTTTCTTTGAAAATGAAATATGTTTGATGGAAATTGTAAAAATTAATTCTCATGTAATAAAAGTAATTACTGGTTAGATTTTAGTAATTTGATGTTAGAAGTGAGTAAAGCAAGGAAGAGTTATAGAGCTGAAAGCTAGCAAAGCAACCAGCTTAATGTCACTTGACTCAGTGATAATGCTAAAATATTTTTTGTCTACCTCTTTGTCATCTTTAGGCATAATAGGGTCTGTCTCTGTTGGCTGCTTTTTATCCATGCCAGCTCCAAGACGCCAAGCTTTGAAGTACTTCTTCTGGACATGAACTTAATCAAAAACATATTGCAATTGTGAGTTAACATCCTACATAAACATTTATCACACACTAATTGCGATGACAAAGCAATTTTTAACCTAGTACCATGATCGTAACATAATATGATTAGTACCTAATTTCTCCCCATACAATCACCCCTAAATCAAACCTTAACAAATTCTCTTCATCAGTAAAATTGGAAATGTATAGAGAAAAGTATTGAGAATATGCATACTGATGAAAGGGTGTAAAGGCCGGGTTCCGGGAAAATCACAACAAGCTAATTAATACGGCCTCAAAGAAAATGCAGTCAGGTTTGTTATCTGACAAGAAAAAAATCCAAGCCAAGTTAAAATTGGTGACATTAGTGTTGAACATGATTGGTTGAGGGTGGTAAATGTTTTCTGGATCAATCACAAAGCACTAGTAAAACAAAACCAAAGCAACAGTTTTTATTGGACACTCCTAAAAATTAAAAGAAACTAGCCGTAGTGTTCATGTTTCCAAGATAATTTGCCTCAAAGATTTACTTACAACTTTTTTCCTGTACATGACAACAAAACTAGCCAAATCATGTAGGATTTCCCTGTTTTACACTTAGAGCCATGATTTCTGATTTTATACTTACTTTCTTGTGCAGCTTTATCTTCCCCATCAAGTTGATCAGTTCTGCCAGGCATTGTTTTCTTGGCCATCATGACAAAACGGTGCAGTACCCTTCGCTGCATCCTAAGGTCAATAACAACAAAAAACACCCACATATCAAGATAAAATTGCACCACATCAACTGCTATATCAAGGTAAAATGCAAATTAGCTTCGTTTTTAAATTGTTAGTTGAAATAAAAACTAAGGTTGACTTACATTTCTTGACGATGCTTATCTGCTCTCATTTGGGCTGACTTGCTGTCAACAAACTAAAGATTGAAAGAAGATTTAGGAAAATTGAACTAGTATAACTATAATACCTACTCTTTGCAGTCCAAAGTAATGTTATATTCACAGGCAACCTTCTTTGTTCTAGCCTATCTGTTATTAGTATAATTTCATAGCTGAGCGAAGAGTTTCCAGCAATCTGATTGGTCGAGCAGTTCCTTATATGACGCTATGTAAACTGCTCCACACAGTTTATATAAAATGTTAAAAAAAAATGTTAATAAATGTCACTAAAATGTTATGATTTTAGAAATTTCTCTGTTGTTCAGCTCTGACGGGGCTCGAACCCTCGACCTCCCGCACAACAGTCCAGCGCTCTATCCATTAATCCATTGAGCTAACCGGGAGGCGGTGCTAGAATTTCTGTTGAAGGGACAGAACATACTACGCAACATTTTATTCCCCTAACATTTGCATGAAATCCCGCTGAATTCAGGCCGTGGAAATAAAGCTTCAGAAAAAATATTACCACAATTAAAACTCTCTACGTCATTGGACAAATTTCCCAGTCACCTTATTGGTTCAAGTTTTCAGCGAATAAAAAACGCACAAAGTTTGGATATCTCCATGTTATTACAGTCAAGTGAAAATTAAAAAAAAAGGGTTAAGTTTTATGCAAAAGGATGAACGAGTAATGATGAAGAGTAAATTAGTGCTTGATTGGCCTCCACCTATTTAGTAGATCAAACAAATTAATAAATGGGGTAAGTTTCTAAAGAAACTGTGGGGCTGTGTCGGTGAGAGTGACAAGGTAATTTTGGTTTTATCAACCATGTTGATAATATACATTGGCCAGCAAAAAGAGTCTTAAAGCTGACGTTTCGAGCGTTAGCCGCCTTCGTCAGAGGAAATGACGAAGGGCTAACGCTCGAAACGTCAGATTTGAAACTCTTCACGGCGGCCAATTTACATTAACAACTGAGTTGCTAAAACCAAACAAACAAATTAATACTTTTGCTCGAATGGAGACTGTCTCTGTGTTGACTCTATTCGTGCCGAAGTCATTGTCTGACTCACTGACCTGGGTTTTAAATTGCCCAAGCCAATCGACCTTTAATTTACATAACATCATTACTCGAATTCTTCTGCATAAAACCCCTTGACACCGTACTAGCTTATCTTAACTCAGCTGTTTTTTTTTTCCTTTAAATTCTCACTTGACAATGATATCGTATGATATAGAAAAATTGTGTCAGCAGCTGATTGGCGACATGATAGGAGCGCAGTTAGCTTTTCTCAGGGCTGGAAATCCTTGTTTTACACTGTAGTTTCTGCGATAATATGCTTTATAATTAAAACCCTCTTAGTCTAGGTTCTCTGATATCTTTCTCGTGTACGGTCAAAAGAATAAATGCGACATGTGTCCTGTATGTACCGACCTCGCCATTGTCCAACACTGTCTTTTGCGCTATGCTTCACGTTGATCAATGTGATACATTGTAAACTCATCGTCTTAAGCTCGACAAGCCTCTCTTTTTAATACAAAAGATCGTGGCAAATGTATGCAAAACGTTTTTCCATGTGACAAAATTTTACAGTTACAATTTTCAGTAAAAATATAATTAGATCTTTATTTTTTACGGGCAAGTTGAACCCTCTAACATTGGCCCCGCTCCCAACGTGTGGCTTCGGACCTCGGTTGGTAGTAACGCCCAACTAGTATGTGGAAAAGCCTGGGGTCGAATACCGTGAAAGCCTCACTTTTTTCTGGCTTCTTTTCTGCAATATCTTAATTCGTAGTTCGCCTGCCTAATAAATGTTGGAAAAACCGTTTAAACTTGATACAAAGTAAAAAAAGCCGTCTCATCAACAAGGAAAATTCCCCTTCAGATCAAAAGTTAATCATGTAAATTTTTAGACTGAAAAGTTACTTAAGTATACATGCCTCTTAAGGTTGTTAAAAATTTAAACAACTCACACTGAGTGATTGTAACTGAAAAAGATGGCCGTTACCTTGAAACATGTACTATAAATTCGAACACACTGATCAACCTGCTGTTTTCCTGACCGTTCTTTTTCACGAAATTATCACAAGTCACCATAAAAGGATATGGAATGCTCATATCTTGCATTGTGTTGAGATTGTGTTAAGTTTAAGCCATATTGATTTGTTTGTTTATGCTTAATCATAAGATTAGTCAGGCATCCCTAGCTAGGATAGCCACGGAGGCTGGGAACGAAAGAAAAAACATTATGGGATAAGTAAAAAAAAGCGCATGGTGAGAGAGTTGGAAAACTGAGAGAAGTCGGAATAAAATTGTTCAGTTTATTCAATCAAAGTGAGTCGTGAGTATATTGTCAGAAGAAACATTTCCGACAGTTGGTACGTTCTCGCTCTCAATTTGAATGAACAAACAGCACATGATAAAATACGCTGTGACCAGTTTCAAGAAAGACACAAGAACTTTTGACACAGGATTTTTAAAAGTCAAATGAAGAGTTTATTTGGAAATGCCTGTGCACAAAGATTTTGCACTGCGAGAAAAATTTTAAATACGCCTCGCAAGTACTGTTATAGGTTGACTGACATGAAAAAAAAAAAAAACAACAACAACACCATAAGTCACAACGTTTCGATATTTTTTAAGAACTTGTTACAAATACTTTGTGCCCTCACTCCTTAATTTTTACTCAGTTTTGTGACTGGGCGACGAGGAACTTTGCTGGATTCCATAAGTGACGAGCTAAGAGTTTAATAGAGAAACCTCGCAGAAATATATCATATTATGTGCAAAGAGAAATTATCATTTCATTGGTCAATTCTCGACCTTGTCACTAAGAACTTTAGACTTTCCCTCACAAAAAACCTTTTACATGCATTTAAGATATCAGCAAACGAAATTCATTCCGGTCTTATTATTTTCCACATATTTATCATATAGCCATTAGCGAGCGATGTTTTAATGGCTAAATTCATTAAGAGTTATCAAAATCTATCCCATACCAAGCTGAGACTTTAGAGTAGAGACCTATAGAGAGCAGAAAAAAGTTGATTAGGTCCTATTTCCTAACATGGAAAAAGGAAATGATGGCAAGTAAGGTCATATTTCCTAATATGGAAAAGGGAAGATAATAAGGATAATGCTGACGCTGATAGTTACAACGACAATGATGATGAGGGAGTGATGGATGGAGAGAATAATGGATGGAGGGAATGACGGGTGAAGGGAATGATGGACAGAGGGAATAATGGACGGAGGGAATGATGGATGGAGGGAATGATGCATGGAGGGAATGGTGGGCGAAGGGAATGATGGACGGAGGAAATGATGGATGGAGGAAATGATGGATGGAGGGAATGATGGATGGAGGGAATGATGGATGGAGGAAATGATGGATGGAGGGAATGAGGGAGGGAAGAAATGATGGATGGAGGGAATGGTAGATGGAGGGAATGATGGATGGAGGGAATGATGGATGAAGGGAATGATATATGGAGGGAATGATGGATGGAGGAAATGATGCATGGAGGGAATGATGGATGGAGGAAATAAGGGAGGGAAAAAATGATGGATGGAGGGAATGATGGATGGAGGAATTGATGGATGGAGGGAATGATGGACGGAGGGAATGAGGGAGGGAAGAAATGATGGATGGAGGGAATGATGGATGGAGGGAATGATGCATGGAGGGAGTGATGGATGGAGGGAATGATGGATGGAGGGAATGAGGGAGGGAAGAAATGATGGATGGAGGGAATGATGGAGGGAATGGGGGAGGGAAGAAATGATGGATGGAGGGAATGAGGGAGAGAAGAAATGATGGATGGAGGGAATGATGAATGGAGGGAATAATGGATGGAGGGAATGATGGATGGAGGGAATGATGGATGGAGGAAATGATGGATGGAGGGAATGATGGACGGAGGAAATGAGGGAGGGAAGAAATGATGGATGGAGGGAGGGAATGATGGCTGGAGGAAATGATGGAAGGAGGGAATGATGGATGGAGGAAATGATGGCTGGAGGGAATGAGGGAGGAAGAGAATGATGGATGGAGGGAATGATGGATGGAGGGAATGATGGATGGAGGAAATGATGGATGGAGGGAATGATTGATGGAGGAAATGATGGATGGAGGAAATGATGGACGGAGGGAATGATGGATAGAGGAAATGATGGATGGAGGGAATGATGGATGGAGGGAACGATGGATGGAGGGAATGACGGATGGAGGGAATGATGGATGGAGGGAATGATGGATGGAGGAAATGAGGGAGGGAAGAAATAATGGATGGAGGGAATAATGGTGGAGGGAATGATGGATGGAGGAAATGATGGATGCAGGGAATGAGGGAGGAAAGAAATGATGGATGGAGAGAATGATGGATGGAGGGAATGATGGATGGAGGAAATGATGGATGCAGGGAATGAGGGAGGAAAGAAATGATGGATGGAGAGAATGATGGATGGAGGGAATGATGGATGGAGGAAATGATGGATGGAGGCAATGATGGATGGAGGGAATGACAGAGGGAAAAAATGATGGATGGATGGAACGAGGGAGTGAGAGAGGGATGGATGGATGGATAAAAAGTAAAGAGAATCCATAAAAGGAATATAAATACAGTGCGACAACTGATGCTTTGGTCACTTGCTTGACCAAACTGAATCAAACAGGAAACATGTAGGAATCCAAATTCCTCCTCATTTTTTCCGATACATTTGCTTCCTTGGTCTTAGCCACTGATTGGCGAAATTCAATTCACTGGTTGAAATCATTTTTGTCCAATTAACCTCGAGAACAGTAACAAAATAGTTCTCTTTGGAGATCATATTTCTTAACACACTAACGAGACTTTCTTTCACGTATATGACACACCAATCACGCGTCACACTTAATCACACTTCACATTTACCTCGTTTTCCATCAGCTTTCTTTTGGTTAAACACAGTTGAGCTTCACTCCTATTCCCAGCTTTCAAAGCTAGTTGCGCCTTGGCATGCTCTTGAGGGATTTTCGATTGAAGTTGACGAATGTAGTCTGTCGGATTAAACAATGATTGCATCAAAAACTGTGGTGCTGCATCGGTAGGGTGTTACGAGATAGAGAGTTTCCAAGACTGACTTTTCGATCGTTAGCCCTTTATCACAGCGAATGACGAAGGGCTAAAACTCAAAACGTTCGCTTTAAAAAAATCTTTACGGTGACCATTTCAATAAAACCAAATTATCTTGTAGTACCCTCCATCGACCCAGCACTACAGTTTCTTTCGAAACTTACCCTCTTTATTACAAAGTAATTTGATTTTATCAACGGAGTTGATGAAGTAAATTGGCCAAGTTAAAGAGTTTATAAAGCCGAAAACCGAAGTTCCGAACGTTCAACCTTCGTGAGAGTAAGGGGCTAGCTAGAAAGTGACGAAGCTATTTGTTTTATTCTTTGCCCACTTAAATGCAACACGCATCACTCCTTTCTTACAGCGCCTAATGAAGTAGTTCATTCTAAGATGTGGGAATTTTACCCAGCCCTCTGCATCTATCTGGTTTTCGGCGCAAACCAAAGATAATGTAATCTACTTTAACTATTGTGGTTAACCATTTTAACTCCCAAAAGTGATCGACATGTAACTTCTCCCTATAATATCCTTACGTTTATCAGCAAACAGGTAATGAGAAAACTCAAACTTATCAGGTAGTTGTTATCTTGATCTAACACTAGATTCTTGTAACTAATTTAAAAGAAAATGTGTGGCAACCATCGGATGTTGGAGTCCAAGAGACTATCACTGTTGCCAACGCATTCTGCGCAAAGCATTTACCTCAGCTATTCCCTATTTTACGAAATAATCTAAAGAAGGAAGGAGATAAACTTGTACCCACGTGTCAATATGTTTTTGTCACCACTCGATAGAGTCCTTTCCCCTTCAGCTATCTTCTGTTGACATTGTTTGCAGCGCTGTATGAGGGCTGGGGGAGGCGTTTCTCCTTTAGCTTTATGACCAGCAATCTATGACGAAAAACGAATACGATCAGCATCATCAGAATCAGTAGAGAGATATGCGTTGATACAGTCACAGGATGGTGTAGGGAAGGTAAACCAACTCTGGCAAACAGCTGTTTGTGCCTAGTGTAAGTTTGTTTTACTGTTTACAATGATTGGCTGAAAAAGTGTGCTTCATCAGAGTGAAGATGCACCGATTAGTGGCGTCACGCCATTGACCTATTTGTACAAAAAAAAAAAGTCAAGGAGCCTCGACTGTGCTCTGTTCTGTTGTAAAGCACGTAGAAGGTGGCTATAGCACGAACAAAGTGAAGGGGAAACTCTACTTGTTGGCTGCTTTAGCCGCTTACCAAGTGTTTTACTACAGAACAGTGCACAGTCGAGGTTCCTTTATTTGTTTTTTTGGTACAAATGGGTCGATGGCGCGACGCCACTACCCCGTGCATCTTTAATCTAATGAAGCACGCTGTTTCAGCCAATCGGAACGCGTGCCATAGTAGTAAATCTAATGCAACGTTGGCGAATTCGAGAAACTGCAACAAGCAGCAACTTTACAGACCCACTCGTTGAGTCGCAGTTGTTGTATGACTGTAATACTGTTTCCATTCCAGTTAAATCGTGGAGAGAAGGGTTGGAGAGAATGGTTACTTTGGTAATCAGTATTTTGCACAAGCCTGCACTGTGGATAGGTTCAGCCCTGTCTCACTCAAAACGGTGTTATCTTCCCAACCATGTTTGTCTGAAAACATGCCAGAGCCCGCCTCGGAAATTGGTTCTGCACAGTGTACGAGCACTCCCCGTTTGCATGACCTTCTCTATCAAACACTTATTAAATGATTAACAATCTACGTTCACCTGTTTTTCGGCGATCTGTTTTTCTAGTTTCAAGACCTCCAAGCTGGCAAATTCCGTCGCAGTACTAGGAAGGAACAGCGTAAAAAAGATTACAAAGTAAAACGATGCTAAAAAAGCAGTTTACACGAGAGAAACTGTTGAATGAAGGTTGCCAAAACCGCAAAAATTACTGAAAGGAACTCATCCTCTGTGATCAACTGAGGAGAACATATTAACCATGAGCAGTCTATTCATCTCATTTCATTTAAAACCAGAGCAACCTCTGTTAATCGTTAAGCCCCCAACTTGGCGATTCGGAGGACAAAACTTTAATCGTTTGGGGTGGGGTAGGGGAAAGCGTTTTGTTCACTGTACCGCCCAACTGTCCTGTCCACTGCCCTTCTCCCACCCTTCTCGCTGTATAATTTACGAAAGGAATTTACAAGAGGCCTGAAAAATGATTTTCACCCTCTATCAGAGGTCATTTAATTATATCTTTTCTCAGAGCCTGAAACTGCATCGTCTTATCTAAAGATAAATAGATAGAAACTTTTTTAACTTGTCAAAGAACCTTCTAGTTTGGGAGATATCCCATACTAATGTAGGGACAAATAAAATGGATAAAATTTATTTACAAAGAATATAACCTACTTAAAAATAAAATTAAGTCATATCATATATGAAAAAATACGAAATGAATTAAGAAGTACATAGAGCACAGCCCCTGCAGCTATCATCTAATAGGGAGCTGAGGTCATGCTTATGTATGCGGTTTTTGAAACTAGCTGATGTTGTGGCTGATCTGTCATAAGTTGTCAGTTTAAAAAATGTGAAATGTCAGCGTCTATGATAATCCCTCTGTATTATACCATCTGTTTCATAAACAAGTTATGCCGGAAAAGTTGGTCTATCTCTGTTTAATTATCTCATGTAATTTGCTATGTAATTAAGAACACTTTCGACGTAGAAAGCCTAACAATAGACCAAACCGGAAGCGGCTAAAACGTTTTTTTGTTGTAATTCATACACATTTCACTGTCTTAATCCACTCTTTTCTCAACCGTTATTTCACACTCGTGTTAAAATTATCAGTCAACCCATACTCCCACATATTTTTGTAAGAGTCCTAGGTTTCCTCCACAACAACACCAACGACGACGCAAAAGCATTTCTATATAGCGTTTCTATACATACAAACACGATGTGTAAGCTCGTTAGAGCATTTTATACAGTACTGAGTTTAATTTATTTATCTACGAACCAAACTCCTAGAGAACTTTTTAAGTGAAAGAACTAGCCTGCTAGCACACAAACATATGGGAACCGTCGAGGAACATTTAATTGATTTTTATCATCATCAAAATCAGGCCTAAAGACAACGAAAAAATCTGTTACTCGCAGCTTAGATGAAGGTAGAAAGTTAGAGTGTTTTTTAACTACGATACGCTTCCCCTAACCGAGACTTCGACAAATATGATCCACGATTTTTTGCTAAATTCAAGCACAGTACCAACTGCACTCGTTAGATTCTAATAAAAGCTTAACTTTTACTTTAAAACTCGTGATGAAACAACGCTGGTAAACAAAATGTCACGTACTCCTAGAGACAACGTGATGACGTACGGAAGCCTCAATTTAGTGTAGATACGCAGTAATGACGTATGAAAGCCTCGATATGGGGCATAGAGGAAAACGATGCGCTTGGAATTAACTTAGTCGAGCTGCCAATGCAGGATTTCTTGGCTGACTATCAAGTATGGTTTTTCTTCCGTTCAATCCTCCCTCTTGGAGGAGGCCACGAGCTTGTCAACTGACAGAACAAACTGCTGATTTGGCGCTACGAACGAAATAGAATGAGAAAAAAATAAATGATTTGAAAGAAAATGGGAAACCCTCAAATACGCTCGAACAACTTAACAGTTTCAGCACTGATAATGCGAAGAAAATTTACATTGTGCAACAACCATATTTTAAAAGTGACAATCTCTTTTATCTGCCAACTCAGACCATTTCGTTTAACAATTTTTTTTAAGTCGTAGAAAACGCATCTAGTTCAGCTTGCGTTAGAGTAATAAAGATGGCATTTGCGCCTGGCTATCAAGAAGATTGACCAATCACAAAGTTTCTTTTTATAATAAAGTGTAAAACTACTGTTTTACCATGTCATTAGCTCAAGAAAGTTCTTAAATGACTCAAAAATGCGATACTTTGCTTTTTCTAGCTACTTTTTTTTTCCACCAAGCTCTTTATTGCTTCACAACGCTTTTCACGAGAAAAGAATGAAAACCGGTCATTGAAAATAAAAGCCAAAAAGAGGAGTGCTGGTACATAATTTTAGGTTTTCACTGACAGTAATTTCAGAGTACAGCCGAATAACGACTGAAAGTTCTTCCTGTAAACTTGAAAAAGTCAACATTATCATGAGTTTTCAAGGTTGGAAATATTACAAACTTTAGACTGAGAAAGAGCAATTATTTCGAGTTGCAGTGTTGTATGGTCATCAGAGTTCACCCAAATTGTAAACAAGATATTTCTTTTTAACTAGACGTATTCTTATGGTTTCCAAAAAATATTGCGCAGAATAAGCAATTACTAACTAAGATAGTTTTCTACTCGTTTGTGGACTAGCACGCTACTCCTTCTGTTGTCGTTAGGTCTGCAGGTGAATACTTTGCATATCATCGTCATTATGTGTATTATTTTTTAAGATATCGTGGACCGTTGTTCATAGGGTTGGAGTATGTGGGTTGATAGAGCGTGTCAAACAAGGACATAATAAAAATAATACTACTAATAATAATAATAGTGAATAATAATAATCCGGTCTCATTTCAATACACAGATAATCTTTATTTCCACTCTAGAAGTTACTTCAATCATAAAGGTGGTAAGTTTCCAGAGAAACTGTGTTGCTATGTAGGTGGAATGAAATGGGATATTTTGGTATTAACAACTCGGTTGACAAAGTATATTGTGCACCGTAAAAAGTTTCAAAGGTGACTTTCCGAGCGTTTTCCGTCCGTCTGACGGAATGACGAAGGGCTGACGTTCGAAACGCCGGCTTTGAAACTTGTTACGGAGGCCAATTTACTTCATCAACTTACTTCAATCATAACCCAATCGTGAACTGCTCGTTCACTTGTTTTAGATCAGTTTTTACCAACAGAAGATTCAATCAATATTGAAATCAAATAGCGATCAGTAAAAAAACAATGTACTCACTCTGGTCTTCTTGTGACTTTTCCAGGTTTTGCTGACAAATTAGCGGGCTCCTAAGAGAGAGGAAACCAATCCATTGTCACTCTAACTATCCATCTAACCTTGTCGCACATACCTATGACCGACCAAGTCACAGTTGTTGAGAAAAAATAGTCTTTATGTCTCTTCTATAAACACTTGGCGAGGACCAACAACGTGAAGGCAAGTCAATAAAGAGATTTAGCACCGCGTTTACGTGAAACGTGAACGGCAAGATTGACCGCGCGACCTTGTTTTTCCCCGCCAGCTTGCGCTTTGCCGTTTCTACGTGAAAGTAAACTCTTTCGCGTTTGCCGTGTACGAAAGATTTTCTTCACTTTTTTCTGCCAGAGAGTAGAAGTTGACTGCTGCAAAAAGGGCACCAAAACTATTCCTTGTAAGTCATACAAGAGCGCCTTCAAATCCACCATGACGTGAGTTCACGCGAAGCTAAGGCAGCAAGCTTCACGCTATTTTACGTGAAACGTGGAAGGGCAAACTCACGTTTGCCGTTTTACGTAAACGCGATGCTAAATCTCTCTAATGTTTCCAGTTAAACCTTTAACTTCCAGACGTGATCAACATGTAACTTCTTCCTATAATATACATTATCCAGCAAACAGGTAGTGAGAATACTCAAACTGATCAGGAAGTCATTATCTTGATCTAAAACCAAATTCTCGTTACTAATTTACAAGGGAATGTGTAGCAGATAGAATGGAGAATTTACATCAGATCTTGAGAGTTAAGGGTCAAACAATTGGTCAAACACTTGACAATCTATTATTCTATCTTGCCACGCTTTCTCTTGACAAACATTCTCAGCAATGTAGACTGGAGAGGTTAAGAGAATATCATTTAAATGTTTTCCTCGTTCAAAAATATAGCACATCAACATTTAAAAAAAAAAGCGAAAAACAAAAGTCCTATATGTTTAACCAGTGAATAAAAATTTTTCAGGAGTTAACTTATCAATCAAATGGACAGTTTTTGTATGTATGTTTCACGATAAGGACTGGTCGAATAGAAATTTGCTGACGAAGAAGACTTGAAAAGGACACTTGTTCGAAACATTTTATGGTTCCTTTGACAAGCGTCACTGGCAATTAGTTACCATTTGTTGTAAAAAAAAAAGACGAAAAAAAATCACTCACCTTAGGTACAGCGCCTGCCTGTAGACCAAACAAAACACGTTAACGTCTGACTTAGTTTTAATTTGCGCAAGACTGAAAGAAAGATCGCCGAGCCCTGAAGTTCATAAAAAATCTGCAACATCTATCTCGCGTGAAATTTTAGCCTTGAATTTCTGAGACAAGCTGCTCAACCTATTGACGTCCAGTGCGCCCGTATGCGCCCATGTGGACCCACACCCTTTCTACGCCTTGTGACGTCATCACTTTTAACCCTGGAGCACGACTTTGAGCACGTACTTGAACAGGTTGAAAATATCTTACAAACGATTCCAGAATGAGCGCAATTGAGTGAAGGAGAAATAGCCAAAAAACCATGTAACTTTGACCTGAAAACCTGCACGAAAATCTTGTTCCATTACCCACATACCTTTCTGAGCATGTGGTTTGAAAATAATGAGTAGTTTCCTAAAAAATCTCTACACCAAAATGAAGCCTACTAAATTTCCAGCAAGTGAGGAGAAACTTCAGGCAAGGAAAGGGGAAAAAAAGGGCAGGAGAAAGAGAGAAAAGTAAAAGTCGTAAGTGGGGCATTACTTTTCAACCCAAAAACGAAATTTTCGAAATTTTGCTTTCTGCGCGTGCCCGAGATTTTCAGGCCGCCATTTTGCATTTGGATCGAAAGGCCGTCGAGTGTACAAGCTGTCAATGGGGTTGTGGTCAGTTTGAGCTTTTAAAACCACAACAGTGACCCGAAATCTGCTCGACTAGCTTCAAAACACAGTTTTTCACAAAAGCTGCGGCTATTAATGGGTTAATACATATCTGGCTGAAAAGCCTGCCTATAAAAACTCAGTTTCTGTAGCTTGAAACGATCAGCCAGAGACCGGTTGGTATCAAATTGGTTTGAAAATAGGCGCCCGTTTCCCAGGGCAGTCACAATGCGCATGCGCGGCAAAAGAGCCCAATTTGGACACTCAACCAAAACGAACCAAAGCAGCGAAGTTTACGGATTTTTAAAAGTTTCGTCAACAATTTGCATAACCATAATTTGCAAACCGTGTTGATTTACACCACTCTTGGACATGTTTTGCCATTTTCTCGTTACTTTTTTCCAACATAACGGTAATTGTTCAGAGGGTTACGCCATTGTAGTAGAACTCTCCACGAAATAAATATCATGAGCAGGCCCTCGTTATTGTCGCAGCAAAAAGCGCGTTTTTCTGCCCGCGGGAAGATGACACGAGTCGGGGAGAGGTTTGCCGGGGATCTGGCACTAACAATCAGTGCCAGCCCCTTGCACACCTCTCGCCGACTCGCGTTGCTCAAGCCCTCATACATTCCCGCGGACCAAAAATCGTTCGCGCCGTATTTTAAAGAGGGCCTGCTCGTACGCTAACAAATCATCAAACACACTTACCCTCCTGGATGTCAAGTGAACATCAATAACAAGCCATTTCCATTTTTCAACTTTCACATCTTTATCCACCAGTGGCTCTCTGATTCTCATGTGAATTTCAAGTTTCCCTCCGACCGCTTTTCGTCCACGGTCCGTATCCATTAACTTCAGTGAAAACAAAAGAAAGAAAAATAAGAGATTTGTGCGAAAATCTACGTTGCAATCCAGCGTGGATTAACCCTCTGACCCCAAAGAGTGACCAGCAGCTAATTTCTCCTTACAAAGTCACCCCTAAATCAAAAATTAAGGTCATGAGAATAACGGAAATAATCACCAACGAAACAAGCTCTTGATTGTTAAACAAATTCTCCTTGTCAGCACCTTAGGAAATGTATAGAGAACAGTATGGAGAATACGTTTATGGATTTTAGGGCGTAAAGGGTTATGTTTCCATCATAATGGCATCAGTTAAGGAATAGACGATATTGACACTTACATCAAAACAGTCGTGAATTTCACACTTGTTATCGAATGGGGTAAGCTTCACTTGAACTTGTCCTAGAGCCTTGTCACCTTTGAGGAAGCCCCTGGAAGATAATATATCAGCATTCATAGTCAATGTAAAATCTAAAAAAGAACCTTGTCCTAAATCACCCCCTTATTTCTCCTGCCAGAAACACCCCATTCACATCCGCAGTCCGTCAGAAATGGCTGGCAAAGAATATTTTAAAACAAATTTTAACCTGACACTTAATTCTCACTGGCAGGAGGGATGTAGCTGTTGTAGTTCAATTTTCTCCTTGGTTCAAAATTTATTTTCCTTTGTTCTCGGTCATGTTAATGTATGATAATGAGATTGAAATAAAGGAAAATAAAATTTGAACCAAGGATTTAAATTGAACTACAAAATAGCTACCCCTTCAATTATCCATAGCACGTTCAGCAAAAACGAGACGACTGCTAACGAGAAATGAGGTATCTATGAAAAAAGTATCTGATCAATTCGCCACAACAACTAACTCGCCACTACAAAACTCGACATCACTCAAAGTGATGTCACTTAAACGTTATGTGTACCTTATTGTGTTAAACTTGCTTCAATTGAAAGCTAGGATGTAGAAGTAAATTACGAAAAGGGAAAGGGACACAGAAGTTATTTGAGTTATGCGAGTTTGTTGTGGTGGCGAACTCATCGTAAACCATAAAAACAAGTAATGCCACAGAGTCATACCTTTCATATTTGACTTCAAATTTGACAGGCTGTCTCTTGAAAATTCTTCCTAATGATCGATTTTTTCTATCTATCTGTACTTTGAAAACCTCATTATAATCTGTAAAGAAATTTAAAACAAGGAAGAAGGAAGCGGTTAGGGCAGGCACTGAAACAAAAAAAAAATAGACAGCCTGAAAAAACAAACAAACAAAAAAAAATGAACTAAGAAAATTTACCTGGGTTGATAGAGTGCTTAATAGTTTGTGTCCTGCCAGTCTGAGGTTCATCTGCCTACAGATTAACAACAGTTAGATATTCTAAACATCTTTCATAAGTCAAGTTAAGTAATTTCGAACATACGGATTAACAAATGGCCCTTTAAGCAGAGAGAGTAAAAAACACTGGGTTAATATATCAAAAACTAAGGAAAAATAGTGTTTTGATGTTCAGAATTGTCTGCCACAGCCATTCTTTGGTGTCCAGGTATTGAATGACAAGATCGAACAACGCTACTCAGAAGAACAATTGACAGTAACAACTCAGTAATTATGAACTTACACTTGGAAAAGGAAATTCATAAGATACATAGGTGTACATGTCCTTTGGTTGATAACCTGTTTTAAAGAGAAAACACCAGAAGATCAACATCCCAAAGTAAGCCTACCCAAAATTCTTGGCAGACGTTTCATATTTACACATTTCGAGGCTACAATAAAACTCTTCTGATAAAAGGTGATCGAGTGTTTCCCTAAAAGAAACAAATCCCATAATTGGATACTGTTCACTTACATTTTCCACATCCTACATTTTATATCGGCTAACATGTACTCTAATTTGCCCCAGTGGGGAATTCTTACAACTTAGGAAACCTTGACTGAAATTGGACTAGGACAGTTAGGAGGGCAATCACAATTTTTGAGTAGTCACTCGAATCTTAGTAATTGAATTTCTTCATGAAAAGTGTTGTATAAGAATCTGTCATTGACGTCTTCTCTGTCCGGAGAAACAGATACTTAAACCAGTCAAAAATTCTGGTTCCCTTCTATACTGTTCCTGATTCATTTGAATCAATTAAGGCTTTTTAAATTAGGAGAAGGCCCCTATGGGGCCAATCATGCAAAATGCATGATATGCAAACTAAACTGGTGAACAGTGAGTTTTCAAAAATTATTTCATGATGTCAGTTAAACACTTCCGTGGCCTGCTGTGTTCACGTTGACCTGCAGTCAAGTGGCTGGCCCAAAACAGCCTTAAAAGTCAATATTTAGCTCCTTAAGTTTATAGAATTCTCTTCCGAGTAACCCTATGAAATTTGAAACCCTATGACATTAACCCCCCTGGGTTAATAGACACACAATGAGAGTAAAGTGTTTTTTCTCCAAAAACACATCATAATTGACCACTTTCATAAATGGCTGCCGGATTGATATTCTTTTGTTTAAATTTAAATTAGCCTTTCTGGCTTCATTCTCCAGTTCAAAATTCAAAAGAATGCATTATCTCAAGCAAGGTTGGTGAGGCTAATTTGAATTTAAACAAAAGAATATCAATCCAGCAGCCATTTATGAAAGTGGAGTATGACCCTGGCAAAGACTTAGCTTGGACCCAGACCTCTCCCAGAGGCTTTGAAGCTTTCATTGGTAATTAATTTGATAGCTAACCATCTATACTGCACATTACATTAATATTTAATGTAATTAAGGTTTATGTAATAGTTTTCAGTTCATTACAGAAAATCAAATTACTTACCTGAGGGGAGAGGTATATTGAGCCCTCTAACAATTGTTAACTCCACCTCTGAATCACTCAGATCTGGAAATGAACTGCACAACACAAATTATATGCAAAATGAGCAAAAGTAGGTTTTTTGAAGACTTAAAAAAAAGGACGAGCTTGTGGGCTGAGTGCAATTTTGCAGTCTTGAAACATTTTTCACTGCTTACATATTCCAAATCATTTTAATAATTACTTGTAAGTAGTCTTCATTTTGTTTCAACTATCTGCATTGTTTGGTATTATTTACCTGTTTCCATCTATTATTTTTTTTATGAACACAGTCAAACAGCATTAAGTGGTCAGCCACAAATGGCTAGGTGACCGCTTAATACAGGTTCTAAATAATAGGGGTGACATACAAAAAGATGAAAAATGCCATTTCAAGCAATGAAAATCTACAAAAAAAACTTGCTCAGAAGCACTACTAACATTGATTTCTGGAGAGAAATATGGATTACATTTTACATGAAGATTATTCTTAGTTTTATCGGGTAGTTCTGCTTTAAAATACCACTAAATATAGGTGGAGGACAATACAAACAGACTGCTGGGACCCACTCAAAGGTGACAGCCATGGCTTAGTAGAGGTGACTGCTTAAATTACTGTGATTGATGTGAAAGAAATTTGGGACTTTGACAACTGACCCCTTAATAAAGGGAGACTGCCAAATAATGGTGCCACTTAATGCAGATTTCACTGTATGCTGAATTTTTCTAATGGTTTTTATATTATAAGAAAACGAATTAGTGCTGCAAAAACTTGTAAATACATTTTAGCAAGTACAATTACACTTTCTGAGGAAGATTTCAGGGGCAGATCCAGGAATTTTTTGATAGGGGGGTCCAAACTTTGGTTCAGAAAGGACTGTTGGACTCTTTGAGGCAAATTACTTCTCCCCCACACCCCCTCCCACCAGTCGTGGTTGCACCTTATAATTCCTTGGCTGCTTACTGTTTACTTGGATTCATTAATTTAAAAAATCAGCCAGTTAAAAAGTGATATACGATCCTTTGGATGTAAGAATTTCAGTCTCAAACTTGTAAGCATCAGGTCTGATAGGGGGAGTCCGGACCCTCTGGACCCTCCCCTGGATCCGCCACTGGATTTCAAGAATGAGAGGTGAGAGAGGTGATGCAATATGATACGCACATGAAAGATGAATGTTTCGTCTTTGCTGACAAAGTTGGAAAAATGTTGCTATTTCATTAACTGCAGCTTAATGAAACTTTAATATTAAAGTTCCTCCATTAATTCTCTTTCTCTGTTGTTTTACTACGGTCACTGTGATTCAGATAATACAGAATGCTTATAGCATTCAGGACTTACTCCACAATTGTAAATGATCTGTCTTCATAATGGAATTTCGGTGGAGGATCCTGGTACTTCCGTGCACTTTGAACTGAATCAAGGTCCTGTCGTAAATTCTTTGCCATCTTATCAAAGCTTCAGAAAGAGAGTGAGAGGGAAAATGAGAGAACAGAGAGAAACAATTAAGATCACAGCTAAAATATTTCACATTCAAAAGGCTTTTTTTAATACTTATCAAAACATAACTATGTTCCTTTAGACGTCTGAACTGTGGATTCTCACTTAAAAAATTCCATTCCTTTTTTTTATTGACAGAAGTCTCCTTGTGATGGCCTTGTCAATATTCAAACCTTACTTTTTAGTGTTGGTTATATCGCCCAGCTTCTGGTAATGTTGATTATTTCTGGCACACATCTGTAAAACAAAATATACTCTTAAACATTACATAAGTTTGGAGCTTCTCCTACAGAGTAAAATATGAAGATGCAGACATATTGTCCAAAAGGAACAATTTACTGGTTTTTTAAGCCCTCTTTAAGAACATACACCAAAAGTCTTAGTCTAGCTAAAATCTCATTCTCAGTCTGCTCTAACTCTCACTCTGAAAACCACTAGTAAAAGCTAACAACATGAGAAATGCAACTCCCAGTCACAAGAAATATGGCAGTGGAAACTTGCACAAGAATCAAAACTCCAGTTTGTAAAACAGAACTTAACAAACTCTCTCTGCAATTGGAGTTTCTGATAACCTTTTAATAAATATTTCAGAAGGAGCCAGAGCTTATTAGCACTTTCAAGTGATAAGTACATTACATTTACCACAGTGACCTTATGAAGTATTTCACCTCAATTTGTTTAATAAGAGCATCCTCTAATCTTGAAAACAGCTCAGATATTTACTCTGGTGTCTGAGGATTTGGCTCACAATCTTCATATTGGACCATTTCAAAGCTTAGCTCTTTTGTGGGTGCAGGTTTTGAAGCTGCAAATGGAGAGGGGGGGACCTTCATAGGAAACACCAAAACAAAAAAAGAGGAGATTAGGTTTCTTTTTCCTTATACATTCATTACATTATGCAGATTCTTCATACTGTTCTCTACACATTTCCTAAGGAACTGACTAAGAGAGTTTGTTAAACAATCAAGAGCCTCTTCAGTTGGTGATCATCTCCTTTATTCCTGTGCCCTTACTGTGTGATTCAGAGGTGATGATGTAAGGAGAAATTAGATGCTAGTCATTCTTAGGGGTCAAGGGCTTAACATGCTTATAAACTATTCTATCGGAAAATTCATCACTTGACGAGGGAATTTCCCATTAAATTGTGCGCAAAAACTGATATTGCATGAATCGCGAGGCGATGAGTGCGATATCAGTTTTCAAGTGGAATTTAATGTGGAATTCACGAGTGAAGTAATGGATTTTCCTTGAATTGCATAACTGAATAAAAATTAGTAAAAAAAGGAAACAGCATTACTTAAAATTATTATTTTTACGTAGATGCGAAACAATTTTACTTGGCCTCGTTTTCAACTTGCAATTCCATGCTAAATACCTTGCTTTGTTAACCAATCAGAATGCAAGATTTTATTCAATAATGCCATTCTATATTAAATATTTTGCACAAGTAAGTCAAGAAGTAACCATAAATTTAAAACTTAAAGGTAAATTTCAATCTCAACCATGACGTAACCCAGAATAAACTAATGAGGTACCTAGCCCATTTGGCAGGTTTTGGTGAGTGGCTGAATCTGCAATAGGTGTGTTGAGGTAGAAATGTATTCAATGTATTCAATGTATTCATCACAGACACTAACAATTTGGTATTTATTGGGTATTTCTTTGCACTTACAATACAATAATATTCAACTTAAAACTGGTACTTACATGTCTATCATAGACAACACACTCCACATAAATCCCCCCCCCAAACATGTACATTAAACTTACTGATCCTAAGTCAACTTTAAGTCCATTCTGAGCACTCAGAATCATTCTATCCAAACCCTAAGAAACAGAGGCGATGCCATTTGTCAGCATCGGTTTTTTAAACAGTGATTTTCACCAAGTAGTACATCCAATGACAATACTGCTGTGAATCTGAGAATTTTAAGTTACAAACACACAACAGCCCCTAGGAATTGTGATAATCACAAATCTTGTTGTTTTGTTGGTGTACATAATGTAAAATTTTAATAACCTCTTGTCACTATACTGACCTGAAGGTAGCCAATAAATCATTGTGTTAGTGGCTATCTGAGAATCTTCCACCATACCCTCTTAAGAGGGTACTCTTAAGAGGGTAGCAGTTAAGTCACTACATTTGTTAGTAGCTTTATTATGGCCAGTAATAATAATATTACATCACATCTGACAAACTTGGTGGCTTCAAATTCTTACTTGTCTTCCCCCTCCCCACCTACCAAAATCAAAGTGCCAGTGAGTTGAAAATTTTTCTTTTTTATATACATAATTATAACTGTTTGAAGTACATGTATCTTCCATTCTAGGTGATTCAAGAAAAAAAAAAACATTATAATGGTTATAACTAAGTTTTTCCTGACCTTGCTCATTCGCAGGTAGTTTTTGGCACCTTCAAGATCTCCCTGTTTTTTAGACTGCAATGCAGCTGTCTTAAACTCCTTCTGTCTTTCAAGCAAATAATTGAGTTGCTGTTCATTGCGGCTGGGAGATTTACGAACAGATGAGGTGGGTTGGAGAGCAGGTTGAGGAGAAAGACTTGTGGCAGCAGGGCTGGCAGCACCAACAGCAACCAAAGGAGAAGCAGTTGTTTGGGGTGTTGCCCCTTGTCTTGGCTCAGAAAACTGAGAACGTGTTAAAGGAAGGATTTGCAAATCAGACGTCTTTAGGTCTGAAAGGGATTTAATGGGAATAATAATGGTTGGAACTTAGACGTGGACATTCCACAAGGTGCCTCTTCTTGTGCAACGTTTCCAGGTCAAATTGGAAATTAAAATTATAACGTTTTATGAGGAGGGAGGAAAACCAGAGGACCTGGTGAAAAAAAAAACCACACAGGAAGGACAAGAACCAACAACAAACTCAACCCCCATGCGATGCCAGCTATGGGAAGTGAACCCAGGGCACAGCGGTAGGAGACAAGCACTGTCACCACTGCACTATTCCTGCTCCCCTTAAACATAAACAATGGCCCAAAGTACAGAGCTTAAGACTACAGTTTCGGATTGAGAAAATGAAAGAAAAGAAAACAAATTAAAACAAAAAGAGAAACAAACAGTTTAACAGGTGTATTTGGCATGTCACGCCTTTCTTTTGACATTATTCTAGTTGGCCCCAGTGGGACATTTTGACAATTTAAATGCTTTGACTCAAACAGGTCAAGGGGGAGCATAGAACACTACCAGAATTTGTGAGATTCACTTGACTCTTCGTTGCTGAATTCATCATAAAAGTGTTGTATTAAAATAGTTCGTCATCTAGCCTGCAGTGCAGGCCTCTTATTAGGGTGATTTAACATTAGAAATGCATGATTGTTTATTTAATTGGCCATGTTTAATTTGATGTCAGAGTTGATGGTAGGGGGGCGGGGGGCAGGAAGGGGGTGAGAAGATTCACTCCCCCACCCCAACCCCTCTCCTTATCTTTGACTGTCACTCACCCCCTTAATACAAATTTCTTTCTCTCCCAGCCTTCTGCTGCCATTAAAATCAAAGATGGCAACCATAATTTGCTAAGAAAATGCTGAGCACTTGCTGGCCTAAATTATGCCTGCTCTACAGGCTATCTGTCATCTAAACAGATATCCAATCCAAAAAAATTGAACAATAACTTATACCGGTACTTTACCTCAGGAACAGAAAAGTTTTCACTTGGTTCATCCTCTGGAGCTGCTACTCCTGGTATGGGTGCATATCCAGGGGGGGTTGGTAGTTCCTCATAGACCACAGGCTTCCCAGCCTTGTGGCTTTTGATAGCATCTTGATATTGCTGTTTTTTTTTGTTTTTTTTTTGTGGTAAGTATAAAAAATATTTCATTTAAACTTGTTGTCATGCATCATAAAGCACAAGTACTTGAGCCCAGGCATTTGAAGAAAGGTAGCCACTTGAAACATTAATTGAGAATAAGGACTAGCAAACATGTTTTCAAAGCTGTTCAATCGCACTGAAATACAGAAACAATCTCCAATAACTAAAATTGCTAGAAGTTGACAAGCAGTTTTGCATTGGTTCCTTCTGCTTATACCTGTCCTAATGATCCAAGGTTTTCAATTATAGGACTTCAGAACGGAACAAGGAATTAATTAAATTATTCAATATTTTAAAAAAATAAAGTGATACAGAATGATGGTTACTCAGTAACTGAGCAGAATTGACCTTGATAGAGTCATTTTTAAAAAATCAACTTATAGTGAAAAATAAAATGATAAGTACTATCATAATGGTAATTATGAACAGGGATTTCAATAGCAGGCAGGTGGCTGTACCTGCTTGCAATGTGCTGGCTACATTTTGTAGCCTTTACAAAAATGTCATTGTACTATCTACTCCTGACAAACATGAAATTCTCTTCAAATTCACTCAAATTGGTTGACTTTGAGGAAAAACAATGTAACATAGAGATGAACAAAACCAAATTTCAATAAAATGCAATAGTTCTTTTTTTCAGTTGTGGGCTTGGTGGCCAAGCCTTTGAACAGGAGTGAGGCTTAGGGTGACCTTGTTATGATAGAGGTGTTGCTGCTTTTCAAATGCAAATTACATTGTTATCATGCTAACTAGATACAGGTCTCTATCACAACAGGGTCACCCTTAGCCTCACTCCTGTTCAAAGGCTAGGCCACCAAGCCCACAACTGTAAAAGGGACTATTACAAGAATCTAAGAAATTAAAATTTTTTGCTGGGGGAGTCCTCAACTCCCTCAGAACAAGAGGCTCTCCAGGCTTTCAAAACTACCTGCCTGCTATTTTAAGCACCTGTTTTCACCATTTTTTAAAAACCACTGAGGAACTTCTAAGAAGAAATGACCTTAACAATGCGCCCCATTCTTCGCGCCTTGCTTGAGTTCCCTTCCTGTTTGGCTTGGTTTTCAGCTTGCTGGTATTTTTCCAATCTTTGTTGCAAAGCCTCTGCAACATTTTTAGGGGGAGGGGGAGGCTCCAAGCTTTTGGCTGAACTACTTTCCCCTCCTGCATCTCCTTTAGCTGCACTGTTTGGTGCAGTTTCAGCAGGGGGTGCAACTGACTCTTGGGAGGCTGGTGGAGTCATAGCTATTAAATGCAAACAGGCAAGTGAACATCAGTTTCAGTAACAGAAAATGATAATCAATCACTTCCATTTGAAGACCTCTTGCAAAATGTGAAAGTGGAGTTGAGGAAGTAATGAACCCTTAAAACCCTAAGAATGACCAGCATCTCCTTTCTCTATCTAGAGTGATGTTCAACAAAATTGTTATGGAATCAAAAAATGCACCGAAACAAAATTCATTTAATCAAGGCATCCTGACGTTCAAAATTTTCGGGGGAGGAGAGGGGAATACCCCATTCCTCTGTGTAGAAGGGGGTGCTCCTCTCCAGCACCCCACCCCACCCCACAAGGCCACTGTTATTGCAATGAAATAGTGCTCTGGCTACTTTACAATTTCCTCCTGCTACTTTTTTTCAATTTGATAACTCTGTGTACAATATCACCCCTGAATGAAAAATTAAGGGAATGATCACCAGTTAAAGCAAGTCTTGATTACAAAATGAATTCTTCTTGCCAGTTCCAAAGGAAATGTATAGAGAAGAGTATGGAGAATATAGACACTGATGTTTGGTTATAAAGGGCTAACCTAAGAGTTCAACCAACAAAATGAACAAGTAAAAATTTCGTTTATTCATAATTATTTATAGTTCAATTCTGTGTGTGTGTGTGTGTGTGTGTGTGCGTGTGTGTGTGTGTCCCGACCCTAATATTGTAATTCATTCTATGTAATTTGGCTTCCTAGCCTTGTTAACCTTCTAGTTATTTTAGGAAGCCAACACCCTCTTAGTTTTAATTTTTTATTTGATATTAATTTATTCTTCTCAAGAATAAGGGTGAATAAAGTTGTTGTTGTTGTTGTTGTTGGCAAATATTAAAATGTGATAAAATATGTAAGAAAGTGCTAAAAATATTTATAAGGTAAAAAAAAAACCTAGTGGAATTCCTCATAAATATTTTTAGCACTTTATGTAGTTTATCACATTTTAACGTTCACCACATATTTACCCACTTTAACTTTTCTACACTTTTATGCTAATTTTAGAAGACTTTTACTCACTTGAAAATGACCACAGAGAGTTTGTTGCTAGTTTTTGTCTCAAAATTGATCTCAAAGAAATTACTTATTAAGAAAATCAACAGAGATAGAAGAAAACAAATTTCCGAAACAAGGATGCCAACAATCAATGAAATTGAAAACTATTCAATCCCATCACTTGTGTAAGAATTCTTGTCAAAGAAGACCACTTTATAACACCAAGCATAAAACTTAAGCGGGATAACAATCAATAACAGTGTTTTGCTACAGTGAACAACTGAAATAAGTTTATTCCTTGCCTTATTGTGACAATTGCCACGACCAAAAGTATGTGCCCTACTACAATAGTAGCGTACATACCTGATGATGCTTGTGGAACAGATGGAACTGGAGGTAACTGTGAAATATCCACTGCTTCACCTTTTTCTAACTTTTCAATAGCTACATCTATTTGCTGGTGAATGTAAAACAAGTACATGTTGGAATATTACAATAAATATTCCTACATCCAAAGTATTATTGGCCATTATTATCTTGAAAGCTGCATAATGGAAATATGAGAATGCAGGTTTGCTACGTACCTTTGACACTGCCAAAAACTGTTTGGCTTGTTGAATTTCTTCAGCTTTTTTGCATGTCAAGGCAGCTACTCTGTACTGATTTCGTCTTGTCACAAAAAGCTCTTTATTTTGAGCAACTTCACTTCCAGGCTAAAACAGTAACATTACAACAGAAAACTTATTAGAACATAGCTAGCAGAGTCGGGCAATCAAATTCATTATACATAAGCGTGCTCAAAATCCCGATAGTGCACGCTGATAGTGTCAGCAAATCCGACCTCGCCAGAAAATTTTTTTTTTCGTGCGAGCGGCCATTGCTAGCGCAGGGAAAAATAATACATTTCGCGACTATAATGGATACAAACAGAAACTCGGCCTGCTATTCCGAAAACAAAGACAATGTTTTCACCTTTTCCCATGGGCTAGAGTTCTTAAATGAGGCAGAAAAAGAGAAAAACAAAGGAAAAGGAGACTCAGCATCAGCGCCGTCACAATTCGCTTCAACTGACATTGTTGTCCGTTTTTCACGTTGCATTTGATGCACAATTCCACCGGCTATGTTCTAAAACAATTGGTTCATGCTTTCAGCTGTGCACTATCGAGTTACGGAGCACGTGGGAAGTTTGGAGAGCACTCAAGAAGCTAGAGTTGCCCTCGGCTATCGCCTCGGGCAACTCTTACGCTTCTTTCGTGCTCTCCAAACTTCCCGCATGCTCCATAACTCGATAGTGCACGCTAAAGCATGAACCAATTGTTAATTAGTAAAAACTTAATCTACTCAATAATGTCAAATCCAGGATTTTTTCTGATTGAAAGAGATGACTATTCCAAAAAGGAGAGTATCAAATCTAATGCTTATTGTGCATACAGCAATGCACATTTCAAAATTTGATGCTAACAGCAAAAGTTGAATTTAATTTTCAATCAAAAATTTACTTGTGAGTAGATTCTTTGGCAGTGCAATTGATCTGTATGCAGGCACACAATCGATACTTAAGAAAGTAGTGTAACTGACTGATGAATGAGAAGTACAAACAGTTTAATTCTAAAATTTGATGATTAGAAAATGACCTGTTTCCGAAATATGCAGCCACATCAACATTTTAGAGAGGGTTAGGATCTTAATTCCCCAAAATGATACTCTTTCACTGGGCTCTACACACCTTAATCCATTCCAAAAGAGCTGATAGATTTCAGACTTTTTTTGCCCAAACAACTCACCACTACATAAATATATATTAAATATATGTAAGCGTACCTTGGATTCCTTAGCCTTTTGACTGCCTGCATTTAAAGGTAGATAGATAGAGAGATAGGTAGATAGATGACCTTTAGTTATACACAATAATATTTCAAGTTACAAGCTTGTGGGATCGTGTGAAGAGAATGGAAAATTACACATTCTGTAAATTATAACTTACAGTTACTTAAATCATAAAAAAGTAGTCAGACTGATATATTTATACTTCCACCTACCATCTTGGACAGGTCTAGAAACATCATTTCCAGATGTTTCTTCAAGCCTTGTAGATTTATAATATTTCTGATCCACTTGTGCTGCAGGAACAGAATCCTGGATTGGCTGTGAAGCTGGAGCTGGAGCTGGAGCTGGAGCTGGAGCTGGAGCTGGAGGTTTAGCAGCTCCAATGGCCACTGGCGGAGGAACTGCATCCAGATCAACAGCCTTTCCTGCTTTGGCTTGCTTGATCATCTGTTCTATTTCCTTAAAAAAAAAGATAAAAACAATTAATGAGGACCTTGTTGGTGTAAACTCTTCATTCTGAGAAATAGATGATGGTGTATGCCCATAATTAACCCAATAGACCCTTAGAGTGACCCTACAGTAACAGTACTAAATCATTCATTAAGATTGTGAGGATTAAGAAAATTATCTCAAGCCAAAGAAGCTTTCAGTATGAACAAAAATTTTCAAGTATCAAATGAAAAGAGTATCATGAAGAATATGAATTTTAATGCTGGGGTGTAAAGAGTGAACAAGTCAGTGGGTTAGTATGCCCAACTAAATATCATTGTAAAGCTGTCCTGTAAAAAATCAAATTTTATCACACACAACTGGAAGCCATGTTGAGCTGAATCACCCAGCCTGACCCTTATTAGAAAGTACCTGTCAAAATATCCCAACATAGCAACCAACAGGAAAAACGCTCTCTAGATTACGTGCCTTTAATAAAACTGATCAAATTAACTACTGAACAACCAACTGCCATAATGAAAACCCTTAGCCAACAAAAGCTTTGCCGTAGTGAAAGACACTGAGGCAGCTTAAAGAATGTGGGGGGGGGGGGGGGGGGGAAAAACAGGTGACAGTAAATGGCAACAAGAGAAATGGTAAATTACAACGAGCCATATGATTAGACCTCCCCTGCACACAAGCACCAAGATTCTCAGAGAGAAAAATGTGCACAAAAAATATGAGGAAAACGTTTTCTGCTTCTCAACTCAAATCAAAATAATTTATTGCCCCCATTACTTCTCAATCTTTTGTAACAAATAGCCAGATTCACTGCTATGGCACCAGAACAGCCAGTTATTATCAAACACATTAGTGTTGTACAAATTCTAAGTAACTTTCAATTCTCTACCAAGGTGACAGTCCTAAAATGTGGAAGTCTCTTCTTGTATTTAGTAACTTGTATATCAAGTCTTCTTTCCTTTAAGATCATTGTGAGAGTTTTTACTAATTAAAAATAATCACTGAATTGGCCAGGCTGCACATTCACAGCAGTTATTTTATAAATAATATGTTGTTGGAAGTGAGGTGGCCTCTTCCATAAGCCCATTGGTTTCTTGGGGTCTCCTCGCCTTATAATCATAATACTGTAAATTCCTTTTTTTTTGTCATTGTTAAATTAAGAAAGAATTAAATAAATGATTATGATGATGATGATAATTAGACCTTGAGCCCTCGGCCATATCTCCTGGCCTTGCTTCCTTCACCAGCCTTATTTGCATTTTCTATAGCCAACTTGTAGTTTTTCTCTCTTTCTGACAACAGGTCAATATCTGAAGAACTCCCTTTTGAACCCTAATGATAAAAAATATAATAAGTATGGATATAAGTGGGTGACTTTCCAGTTTTACGTTGAGATCAGGCAACTTTTGATGAAGTTTTTTTTTCCCTGGAAGTACATGTAGATCATTGTGTTTCACAGCTTAAGTGAAAAGTTCAATGCTCTTAATGATTGCTTCTCATACAAGAAATTAGAAAATAGAAATTAGAAATTAGACTAGAAAAGTGTGCACTTCTGCATAAATATCTAAACACAGGTGTCCCAAGCTCACATCTCGAGAAAAAAGCAAAAGATTCAGTTATATGAGGATCCTTGAGAATTTAACACATTGTCAGGAAAACCAAGGGAAATGAAATATGGCTGATTAACAACACTAAATATTTCAAAATAAGAACATTTTACATGAAAGATTATTAAAACTTACTCCTTGTTGGTCATTTGTGGTTTATGGTGATCTCTGATAGCAAAGCAAGCCCAAAATAGCAGAGATCACCAAAAACCAAATACTGTTTTTTGAAGCTCCAACTTGCCTAGGAAGATAAGTCCCTGGCAAATATAGATCTTACGTACCTCAACAAAAACATGTTCAGTGTGTAATCAAAGTTTTATTTTCAACTGAATCCTCTTATTATTTCTGTTATATTTATTGGTAAAAATTATACAAGATAGCAATAAATGATAATAATGATTTATCATATAATAACTAAATTATCATTATGCAAATTTCACCAACTGTCAGCATCCATTGGTCTCCTAAATTATCTAACCTGATCACCACTGGTTAGTGCTGGTGCAGTGGGAAGCAAGACTGGGGTTGGATCACGATGCTCAGTGCCATCTTCTCCCGGAGCAATACATTGAAGTTCAGCCTTCAAAACAAAATGCAAAGATTACCATGTGTGAACTTACCTTATAAAAATGCACAATTGTACATACCTCTTAATTACTACCTAGTTAGACGTCCATCCTGTAACTTATGGACTAAATTTTTTCTGCTTGGATTTAAAGCCCAAGCGATGCAAGTGCAGGCCATTAATCTAAGTGGAATAAATGAGGTTCTATAACTTACCATACAGACTGAGAAAATGAGATTAGTAAGAAATTTATTTTATTGCTGGGTTCAAATAGCTGGGAAAAGTTTCAATAGAAACAAACTTGAATTTGGTGGGCTGTAATTTGAAATACAGTGATGTTATGCTTACAGATGTCATAATTGTTTAAAAAAAAACTCATTTAATGAATGGAAATGACTCTTCCATTACATGTGAGTCCACAAATTTACTTGGTGTTTAACACACCCATTCATAAATTCTAAAGTGCTGGTGTTGGATGAAAGATCGGTCACACAGCATAGTTACTATACTTATAAGGGCCCTACCAATAACTGTGGGTCATTTTCGTCGACATCCTCATCGTCATCATCTCCAAAGTCATCCTCATCTAATCCAAATGCATATCTTCCTCCTGGTTCTGCAGAATGATTAAAATAAATAATACATACAAAGGATGATTCTTTGTGCCTAAGTGCCATCCATACTGTTCTCTATACATTTTCTCTGGTATTGACTAGGATAATTTGTTTAATAATCAAGAGCTTCTTGAATGGGTGGTTCTTTCCTTTAATCTTGTAACTTTAATGTTTGATTAAGCAGTGATAATGTGTAAAGAAATTAGATACTAATCACTCCTAAGGGGGGGGGAGTGGGGCTAAAGGGTAAAGGTTGAATTAGAATAATTTAGAGAGGCAGTGGGTTTTTGTGGGGGAAAGAAAAATGGAGAACCTATGGCAGTGAACTTTGATCAAAAGAGAGAACTGACAAAAACCTCAGTCTGTATGAACAGTGAAATACCTGTTCTGGGAATCAAACCTGAACCAGAGTCAATTTGTTCACTTCTCATGAAATTTTGAAGTCAAAATTGGCAAAAGGTTGATAATTTTGAAGAAACCTAGTTAATTTTCCTATCTGTTACTTAATCATGTGTCAACTAAAGAACATCATCAATGACATAATACATGGCATTTACTTTTCTTCTTTCCTCTAGATGATGACTGCCCTTGTAGAGCTGCTAGTTCTGCTTCAAGGCTTTCGTCATCCTCCTCCTCATCATCGTTATCATCATTACCAATTCCTATCCCCCCAATACCTAGTGCAGCCATTTCATCTGGATTGATATCAAGACCAAGCTGAATCATGAACAGCAAAAAAGAGATACAAAATATAATATACTACAAATTTAAAGAATAACCAAATGAAATTCCCAATACACCCAATAGTAGCAAACAAAAGAGTGGGACTAAGGATGTTTATGTGGTAGAAAAAATCAGGTGCAGACCCCCTTAAGAAAAGATTATGGTCCCAATTTTTTTTGTTAGTGAAAACAAGGTATGTGCACCATATTACTTTGGGTGGGTACAGACCAATGTTTTTTAAGGTTTGGGTATCTGTGCACCCAAATCTTCAAAAAATTTTGTTCTTTACCACTTTCTTCATTTTTGATAGGTTTGAGCCTGTTTTCATGCTGTGTCAATGGACTTCAACGTAATAAACTAATTTTTTTTCCCAAAAACTTTTGATGACTTAATTTACCAAAAATATTTGTTACAAGTCAAGGTGGGTACAACTTTAACTAATAGAATGACATTGAGAACCACTTTGCAAGTGCCTCATAGCCAATGGGGACTACTATCAAGGGTGCAAAAAATCAGTGAACCTTCTCCAACTCTTTATTATTGCCTATGATACAAGCCTGTCACATCTGTTTACCACAGAAACCAAACCTTCTTTTATCAAAACTGTAACTAAACAAAGTCATGCTGTCGTTGGCTTTTTAATGTTTGCAGGTTTTTTTCAGTCATTTGTATATCCATCTATGACACCCCTAATATAGTTACTGACACTTCTACGCGACACTAAGAACATCTGAACTGGCCACAACGTATATGTCACATGGACACCAACATTTAAATATATCACCTGGATTGACCTTTACCGCAGTGAAAAAAAGTTACCGATATTTTACAAGCCTACAATTTAAAAATATTATTTGCATGACTTCTTTAACACCTAGCTTTCTTTTAAACACTGATGGAACAGGCAAGTTGGAAATTTACCGTGTGGTACATTTGCATGTTTCAAAGCCTTTAACAGCGGATGGGAAAGGATAGCAAATTTACATCGGCTACACTTAATAACTAAGGTATATATCAATTATTGAGGCACTATCAAATCATGTCAAAGTCGCCGGACACAGCATCGTATTGGCAACAGTTCTCACTGGTATTTAGGTCTTGGAGATCTGAGTCTGACGCCCCTCGCAACCCAACTTTAATGACACAAATTTAATGAAAAAAAAAATTAAAATGCAATATACAATACCAAGTTAGACAGATCGTTCTTCTTGTGTCCTTCTTGGGGAAGGGGGGATTTTTTTCTTCTTCCAAACATTTCGCCAAAACTCTAAATTTAGTGAATTTTGTAATAAGTCCTTTTCGGTTTCCGCGTTCCTCGCCGAACGCTCAGCGGAGTTTGTTTTTATACAATCCATGTTATGTATGTATAAACAGATCAGAATATTAAACTATCAAAATGGCGACGTAGACATCTACCACAACAAAACTAAAACTCGCTCAGATATTGTGATCGCTTGGAAATTGGTCAGTCTTTTGAAACTTGAAAGGAAGATGCCTGTTCTGATTGAAAGAACTCGTCCGACAAAAGCCCAATTGAGGGCTGTGCACGCATATATACGGCGTCAACGCGAGAAGGGAAAGCAAGCACTGGCCGAAAGCAAGGCAAAGGAAGAGGAAGAAAAACAGCGTAAAAAAGAAGAAGAAAAAAAGAAAGAAACAGTAGAAGATGTCAAAAAGGAAATCGCTGAATTAGAAGCCAAACTGGAGCAACTGAAGCAGAAGAAACACGATCTTTTTTCTCAGTTCAAAAGAGCTTTAAATTATGAAAACGAATTGAAGAGACAACAGGAGAATCAAGGTGTTTTGAAGGCATCTGTTCATATTACAACCAGTTCTAGAGGTGTTCTTGGTTTACCAACTGGACAGCCCTTTATTTCGCAAAGTGTACCTCCGCAACCTGGATTGATGGACACTGTTCCCAATTCAGGTACGTGTGTGATCATCTTGAACAATAAATTCGATATAATTATAAGAAAAGTAATTTTCAAAATCAACAGCTATAGCGGAACACTTTGGTTGAAAATGGTCACAATTCAAATTCTCGGTGAGAAAATCTAGTCCGAATGGTATTCCAGCTGCTAAGTCTGTCTAACATCAAGAAGAATTTGGTGGCGAACTGTAAGCAAGAGAGCTTCCTAGTTTCGCTACAATCATGGCTTTTCTGAACGCCAATTCCCAGTAAATAAAGTACATGTATATTTTTTAACATAAACGCTAGTTTTGCTAGTGGTTAAAATGTGCATTCGCAAATTTTTTTTGAGTCTACCACTCTATACAGAGTGGGTGGCAGGTTTCTTACTTGGAAAATTTTCTTGCAGACTGAGGTAAATTTCGAATTAAGATAAGCTTCCCCTCATGATATTTCCTTGATTTGTAGCTCTCAGCTTAGAGAAGCAAAGCTGATATGTCACTAAAGAATAACTGAAATCTCATAAATACCTTTTATTACTTGTTTCTTGCAGTAGAGCAAATGGTTTGAACCTGGAAGTAATTTGATTGGGGTTTTGGGAATGGCTCAGGGGCAGTGCAAGATTAGTATCTTGAAGTCACAATCTCAAGTTTTCTTTCAACAAACACAACTATTTCATTTTAGTCTCTCGCACTCTCTCAATGAAAAAACACACTGAAAGTGACATGCATCACTGAACTCACGTGCAGTGTCAATCAAACCCAACCAGTAAAGTTCAGGCCCAGTCTCCAACTTGTGTAACAAACAAAACAAACAGACATATCATCATTGCCTTGCATGACCAAGTTTTGTTTCATGCAAGTACAATTTAGCTCTTGCTATCATTCAAGTGTTGTTTTCATTTATTACCAGGTGTGATCAGAAGACCAAGTAGTCCTTCACGAGCACATCCTCTCTCAGGTTTTATTCAGGCACAAATTCATTCTCAACAGTTGCAAAACCTTCAACTCCCGCATCCCCCCTTTCCATCCCAGACAGTACAGGTGCATCCAGCAGCAATTGCAGAGAGATTTCCAGGGTATTCACAAGTACAGGTACCTGTTACCACAACAAATCAGGTGGATAAATGTGTATTTAAAATGTATATAATACTTGGTCTGATAAAAACACCAAAAAATGAACTAAACTAATAACAAGATCCTGTCAAAAGGCTCTCAACATAAACTAATCTCGAGATCCTTTTCAACAGTTCTCTAAAAAAACTCTTCTGCAGAACTATAACACTGCAAATTGACCATCAATTGCCAACAAGATTAATGGACAAAAGTGTCACCAGGTTGCATACATCGTGCAACAATAACAAAAGTTATTACATACTTGTCTTTGTTATTATAAGTTCTTGAACACCTTTTGCACAGTTTTTGTAATCAAAGTCTTTCCAACAATACCAGATATTTTTCTGTGTCTGGGTACAGAATGCCCCAACTTTTTTCTTTGAACAATGAATTACTTTCTTCATTAAAGTAAAGTGCTTTCAAAATACATGTATTTTCAGTAGCCATGCATAAATTTTCTGGCTGTTCTTCAAACTGGATCAAGGAAAGTAATAAATTTTCAACCTCTTCAAAGGATTACTAGTGTGTACAGATCAACTTACACGTGTTGTCAAATGACTTATTCCAGAACCTACTGGGAGATTTTTGTCGAACATGAGGGAACCACTTAGTATATTAAGCATACCACCCAGTGGGTTTAGACGTCAATGCACTTTGAGAATTAACTGTGCCATAATTAAGGGTAACCATAACAGTTTTTCTTACTCTACAGCCTGAAAATCGTTTTCCAGGAAAGCAACATCCACCTTCTCAGCTTCCTTCTACAGGAAGACCCCAAGAATCACCAGCTCCCTTCAACAGACAGCCATCACAACAAGGGGGACTACCTCAGCAGGTACAGTATAATGAACAATTCACCTTGTGACTCAAGGGACACCATTTTCTTCTTATAACATAACCAAAGTAAAGCACGTGCTCTGATTGGTCAATTTAGCCTCCCCCATTTGCCCATGGGTGTACGCTTCTGATGTGAGCAAATGCAAAGACTATTTTACCGCGCGCACTTGTTTTTTCTGGTCACGTAAGATTTGTTAAATAAAAGGGAACTCTTTAGCTACAATGTATCAATGTTATGTTATAAAACAAATGGTAAACACCACAGCGTACACTATTGAGTTATGGATGCACTTGGGAGGTTTGCTAAGCACTCAAGAAGCTAGAGTCGCTCTCGGCTATTGCCTCGAGCGACTCTTTCGTTTCTTTCGTGCTTAGCAACCTCCCGAGTGCATCCATAACTCAATAGTGTATGCTGTGGTGTTTACCATTTGTTAATTACAAGACATCTTTCTACTAAAGCAATAGGTGTAGGCATATTAGAGAGATAAGGGTTTTTTCGCCTCTCACTGCTTTAACCTTTTAAACACTACAAGTGACTGGTTTCTAATATCCCCTTACAGTATCACGTCTGAATCAAACATTTAGCTTATGAGAAAATAAGAAATAACCTTCCACCTAAGAAGCTCTTTATCATTAAAAAGATTCTCCTTGTCAGTACCTTGGGAAATTTATAGAGGAAGGTATGGAGAATATGCATACTGATGCTAGGGTGTAAAGGGTTTATGGTTTCAGTTTCTAAACCTTGAGTCACATGAGAGTTTGTTTTGTTGTAAATTCTTGTCCATCTCCCCCTCGTGGCTCTGCAGTGGCATACAATGCTAGTGAAGATAACAAATCTCATGGCAAAGAGTTAATTAAAATTTTTCTGTGAAGTAATTAACAAAACTGCTAGCTCACAAAATTATTTGGAAAATTCATCTTACAAAACTCTTGAATTTCAGTGTAAAAGTAATTTCTGATTTTGACTGTCTCACATCTTCATTTTTCAACACAACTTGATATGTTAGATGGTTTAATGTACTGGTACTTTTTAGGTAATAGGGAGGCTGCCATGGCAATTACATGCACCACAATTCAATGTATTAAATGTATTTATTGTCAGTGAATTGTAATGTTACAGGAAAATCCGCAGGGATTTCCAAGTCACCAATTACAACAGCAGCCACCACAACATCAACAGCAACAACAGCAGCAGTTTCCATATCATGCGCAGCTGCAGCAACCAGTTTATCAACAGTACATACAACATGGCAGTCAGAAACAAACATTTCAACAGCCTCCACCACACCCACAACAACAACAACAACAACAACAACAACCAAGTTCAACACCACATAACCAAGGAACTCAGCATGGGTACCCTGTGCAACTTTCTGGCCAGGACCAGGCACATCTCCAGTCTTATCCTCTACATGGTGCTGGTGTTCACCAATTGCAATCACAGCAGTCCTATCAAGCACACCCTCAGCAACAGGGATACCAACCAAAGCAACAATCTGGAGCATATCAAGTTCAGCAAGGAGCAGTAAGCAACCAGCATGGTTACCATCTGCAGCAGCAACAACAACAACAGCAGCAGCAGCCTGCGCAGTTCCCTGGAATGCAAGGACAGCAAGGGCAACAGCCTGACCTAACACAACACAGGCAGCAGAGCATGGCACCACAGCAGTATCACCAGCAACAAGGCAGTCAGAGTCAAAGTCGACAAGTGCCTTATGATGCAGGACATCAATCACAACAGATAGCGCTGCCACAGCAGCAGCAACAGCAGCAACACCAGAAGCCAGAACAAAGACCAGGCTCAGGACTTGGGTATTCCCAAAGCTACCAGGTACATATTTGTCTGGTAAATGTTTTAGGCAAGTTAGAACTAGATTTAAGGAAATTTGAGTCAAAGAGGGGGGTTTGGCCTATAGCGGAGAGTTTTCAAAACAATTATTCTTTAGCACATTTAAACAATACCAAATGAGCATATAGTCACTCATGTGCAGAGTGAAGGTGAAGACACACAGCAAAGAATCGTGGCCACATACTTTTAGGAACAGGGTGGCTCCTAAAGGAACAATTTGTTTGTTTGTATGTTATTTTCTGGTGGTTTTTGTGCAAAGGTTGATGAAATTTGTTACTTTCAGCTCTTATACCAACCGAGGGATGTTTTGAAATGAGGATCTTCACAGAATTCTTTTGCCTTTCATCCCAACATTAATCCACTGACAGCTTTTCCTGTATAACTGGAAGGGAAAATGTTCAAATATAAAACATCAAAGATTCTACATATTTCAAAGATGTTTTGATGCTTTCAGAGCATTGACCACTGAAAATCTTTCTTCAGCTAGCTTGGTAAAAATGTGTTGTCATATGATACCACTGTAGTTTTAAGAGTCACACTATTAACAGAGTCAACATGATTTATAGGATTATGGCTTATATACTGGGCCTTAACACCGAAAAAGCAAGCTTCTCATCGGAAACGCTGTCAAGCTAATGTGTGTAAATTAACCTTTCATTTCTTGTTTGATAGCATGACTATCAACAGCACCATCCACAGGGATCCCAACCAACAAAAAGGGCCAGCCACAAGTTCAGTCCTTATCCATACTCTGGATCAAAGAGCCATCATCAAGGAAACGTTGGAAAGAAGTACTCAGGAAAGTACCAAAGCTCTCAAGAAGTAACTTCATCTTCAGGATCTTACACAGGCAAGTTTGAACGAAGTATGGTTGTGGAAAGTGCTCACTTGCCTTCCCTGTAGCTGTGGTTTGGGAATCAAACCCAAACTGGTAAACGTGATTAAAAGGCTGAGGAGAGGAGAGGGGAGGAGGGGGGAGGTGGGTAAGGGCTAGTTTCCCCCTCCCTTAAAGGGAGAATAGTCTCAAACACTGTTTTCAGACTTACATGTAAGCCTTCACTAATTGGATGAATTGGTCTTACGTCATAGGGTCTTCTGGAAGTTCCTGTCACTCAAGACACCATCATCATCAGGGTAGCAGGAGTCACAAGCCTGGAACAGGATACAGTTCATCCAGTAGCCAACAAAAGTCATCCAGATATTACCAGTAACAGTGCATATGCACTGTCGCTTTACGCAAACGCGTGCTCTTATGGAAATGCTGATCTTCTTTTTGTATTGAGAACGAAACCGTTAAAAAACCGTGAAGAGTTTTGTCGTCCATATGGCGACGTTTTACTAATGAAAATATGCATTCATGTAGGTATAGTATTCTGATGTGCAGATGTCTGGCATCGTCTTTGAAAATGCAACCGATGCTTAAGACTTACATGATGTTTGGGACTTACCAACAAGAGTAAAGAAAACCTTGTGAAAATTCAAGCTTTTAGAGATAGTACCAGTAAAACGCATTGAAGACAATCCAGGGGAGCTGTTACAATTTCAAATTTCTCAAATCAGAATACGCCAGAACTGCTCCTCGTATACGGCTTGTGGTGTGCAAATTTACGTAATTTTGCATGCTTTGATGCGGACTTTTGAGCCCACACTAAAGTTTGGTCTAGTTGATTTCCTTATGCCTTGGTGGGAGACCACTAAGAGACCTTAGTTATACGTCAATATATGTCAGAACTCTCTTGACTCTAAAGTTAGGCAAATATGATTGAACGGGGAGAATTGTTATCACTGGTCTCGTTATCTTTAACTAAGATTTTGAAAACCAAAAATCTCGACATGCACTGATGCTTTCAAGCTTCTGTGTGAGAAGGGGAAATGAAGATGAGGTGACAATGACGAGGGGCTCGATAACGTTATCTCTTATCATAAAGGACAGTAACACGATTTGAGTCAAAGCGAGGCTACCCTTAGTTAAGTTCAGTTTTAAATGCATACTTTATTTCAAATACGTTCGCGTATTTTATCCATACGTGAAGGATCAAAACGATCATTAATACGGATACGCCAGTTTAAGGTCTCATTTTAAATTAATCCACTGTTGAGTTCGAAAACAGATATCTATTCCTTTGATATATTTCAAAGTGGACAGCCTTACAACGGTCAAGCTTAGAAATTTTTAATTTTCCTTTTAATCTTTTATATAACAGCTTTATCAAAGTTATCGTTTCTGTGTTACATAATGCATTAAAGCCTTCCGTTGAACACTCAAAAGATTAAACGAAAATGTTAGTGGTTTTAAGACGACCACGCCCTTTTTTCGCATCCTATTTACAGTAAAGCACCAGAGGTCTCAGTTACAGCACTGGACTGCAAAATGGCGCGTAAACTACGAATGTGGATTATGATTCAAGAACAGATCAGTGGAATAGTTTACTATCGGGTAGTTGACATCTAACAAGAGCTCCATCGAACTGGGCTTTGCTCTCAAAATTCTCAGCGAGAATGATCAAGATAAAGGATGTGTTCCCTTGCCCGCAACGTGACAAAGGCGAATTCATTTCCTGTTATTGAATGATAATTTGAAAATACAACGCAGTATTTTTAAACCTGCTGGAGATTTGATTTCTGAAACGGTATTTTTGAGCGTTTTTGAACCAGAAACCTGGCTGTTTGCTACATGATGACGATCCGCTCCCCTTCCTTCCCCGCTAAGTATGGATGGCCACAGACTAGGCGAGTTTGGTAGCCGCGTCACTTTTTCCCGCCAATTTGTTAACTGTTCTCGATAAACAGTCCGACACTTTTGGGCCGCGATGAGTATTCTCAGTCCATAAGTTTAAGCTTTTTCCAGTTTATCTTCAAATTACTTTTTCGTAAGAGTGAATTTTGTTTTACATTTAAAGTATCACAGGTTAAACAAAGCTACCCTATAAATTATTTAAAGCTTGAGAGTTTTGTTAACAATTCGCGATGATACCTTTGGAAAGAAATGTTTTTTGAAAACGTTCGTAAGTAAATTGTTTTTCTTACTTTTGGTTTTTTTTGTCCCTTGTCTCAGGAATTTGCTTCTTCCCCTTTTTAATTTTGCAGAATGCAAGTAAGAAGCTAGCCAGCTTCGTAGATTCCTAATTATGGACGAACCAACGCAAAGGTCATTCTATGATGGTAAGCAGCCCTATTGCAGTACCAAGTGTGAATGAATATTGCAGGCATATCAGTCGGAAAATTAAAGGTCAAATTGGACGTCCATGTATTATTTAGGTATATTAGTCGAAAAAGCGAGGGTTAATTTGTGTTATTACAAATTTTTTGTCGAGTAAAAGATGTCGTTTAGTAAGAGTAGTTTTTCCAGTGACTTCTTTCGAGGTGAAATTTATTTGGACTGCATGCAGTTTCGTCCAAGGAAAAACGAACCTGGCTAAATGAGACTCTCGTACTGATTAAAGGCAGACCTAAAAAAAGCAACACATTTGAATCACATCAAAATATGTGGAAAGCTACAAGAGGCGAATTTCGTCACTTGGAACTCGAGGGGTAGTTGCATAATGCTGTCTGGTACGAGAGGTTAAATGAAGTATGCAAAAGTTATTGTTATCTTTTACTTTTGAACTGGATATAATTATACTGAACAGGCAAACTGCTATAAAATGAATGAACAGTTGTTTTAACGTTGATCTCCCAGACTCTTACGGTACTTTTTGCGAGGTATTACAACATCAGCCACAGTGGAAAAAATACCTTGTTTGAGGAGTTTTATCGCAGATTATGGCCTCATTCGTTTTCAAATCAAGCGGCCAATAAAACTTCATGCCTTTGTCTCAGACAGAAAAGCGATGATATATAATTCCGTCCTATTTGCCTCCAATTATGAAGTCCTGTAATGGTTCTTAAGTGTATTACTAAAGTCATTATTCTGATTAATTATAAAACATCAAATAATTCATTATTCTGTTGGAAAGCAGTTGCCTGACAACATTTATTAAGATCATCTGTTAAATCTTAACAGATAATCTTCAAGTGGGCGGAATTACATCGAATGTTTTAGGAAAACAGAAGGAGGAAAGGCAGGTCGCCTTTAAAACCAGCGGCGAGCAACTGAGAGTAGGAGCATCGCAATCAATCAGTCATAATGATGAACAACGCATAAACGATCACTGTGAATTTACAGTCCCTGTTTATGAGGAGCAAATATGCCAATTAGAAACACCACAAGTCACAGAAGATCACAGAACATTATCAATGTCAAATCCTCCAGCTCAAGATCGAAGATCAATGACACACGCCGGGTTAAGTGCTGAAATGCTTCTGATAGAGCAGTGGACGGATCCACGTGAACTTCCCGTGAAGTGTGTAAGTCGTTCACCACCACCTGTTGCCTGCTCAAACGAAAGCTTCAAGGACAGCAAAGATTACGCGGGAAAGAAATCAGTCGCTATGCAGCACGAATTCTACTTTGATTGGAATGTCCGTGGGAAGTTTGAACATGATCTGATAAACAAAGGTTAGCGAAAACGATGGGTGTGCTATGAATGACATGTTAAACATTTAAATTAAGAGCACAAGAACCAGAATAATTTTCTCCTATCAAAGTGCGTTGACTTTCTTTGCCTGATCCACTGAGTTGTTCCTTTGTCAGGGTATTTCAAACGTAACTTTTCAAAAGCAGTAAATGTGTTATGATTAACTACAAAACTGTCGGTTAACACGCACACCGCGCTATAAGAAAGCAGAGACGTCAAGGGATCACGAATAACTCGTGGTATTTTTATTTTTCAGTTCCAGTTGTTTGGCCACCCATCGGAATCAAGTCACCAGCAGTGGGGAGTAAATGTAAGTTTGCAGTATTTCCTTATTTGATGTTGCGGTCGAAGGTGAATCGTTCATTATCGATGCTGACAGATCAAAGGCTTGGACCTATGTTTGATTCTCAGTATCATTTTGCTATATATTGATTATAAAAAAGCTGTTTTTTTTCCTGTCTCTCAAACCTCATTAAGTTTACCCTTTCGCTTTTCGTAGCTACACACCGACCCACGATGCCATTCCTTGCTATGGTTGAAGAAGCTCATCTGTTAACTAAGGAACAAATCGAGCAAATAAAGAGTCAGTTCCACAATGAGCACTCTGATCAAAATCCCAGAGTCCTGAAGAGAAGGAGCCCTGTTCATGAAACAATTTGCTTACGTGCCGAGAAGTTCGGCAAAATGGATTTAGACGATGACATAGACAATTTCACCGAGGATCTCGAGCTCTTTTCTCAAGAAAGAACGAATTCTGATTGCGATCTTGGTCCTCGCATTGGCCTTGATCAAGAGGTACCTATTCAGCACGAAGATGGAAACTCCAAGGAAAAGACACTAGGAATGCCAGACGGACAATTGCCTAGAAATACATTTATGAAAGTAAGCTCTTTCAACGAAGGACCATTGCTTAACTCCAAAAAGAGTCGACTAACCTGGCAGAATTCAAAAGCAGACCGCTTTCTGATTGGAAAGACACCACATTACGAAGAACAAAACACCGTAGTATCATGTTCTGATTCGCTTCGCCCAAAGTTGGCCAAGCAAAGCTGCTTCCCCGGAAGTGATGAAAAAGGTTCAAAGGGAGCTATCTTGTCTGGATGTACTGAAGCTGAAGTATCATCAATGTGCTCAAAATTTCAATGTGGTCAACCATGTCTCACGGCCGACCACCCTGCGGGCAACTCAGAACCTGCAGAGAAGGAACATGTGTTCAACATCATCAATGATGACTCGACCCATGTTCAGTTATATAAAGCGGCCAATAGTTCGCGGCATGAATTTAATTATTACGACAGAGGCCAGTATCCCCCATTAGCTCAGAGAGTGTCCATCGACATGTGCTCGTCTCTTCGTGTAATAGGTGAAAATGACCTGATAACAAACGTAAGTAGCTTTTAGATAAGGTAATGCGAATATACAACTATACATGGAGACTAACTGATCAGTTAGCCGGGATGGTTGATAAATTCTGTTCAGGTATCTAACTGGTTGCACCAAGTTTATTTGCCCGTTGTCTAACCCTTAGCTTCTCAGGCACAACATGATTATAACCACAATGTTACCTCCAAGTGTTCATATAACTGGAACTTCTTTCTCCATTTCTGCCGAAGTAAAATAACACTTAGCGTTTCTGTTTAAATCCTGTCGTTGTCATATAGGTTAGCTTTGACGACATGGATATCAGTACGTTACAGTTGGGAAGAGATTTAATGAAAGGAGAAATGCAGGTGTTGCACGAACGAAAAGAGGTCATTGACTGGATGAGCCGCGAAACTATAGTGTCGCAAGACCGACTTTTAAAAGGTTTCGAGCGCTTCTCTCCGATCTCACCAGAGCACAGCTTTAACCATGGTACTCTTTTAAATTCTGAACGTTTTGAAAAAGTCAGCCTGGATGATTTTTCAGACAACTCCTTGGATACTCAATCCGTTTCCCTCACAGAAAAAGCTCTAAGTCAAACTGATAAGGTTTGTGAGGGTAACCCTGAGAAACACTTGATCACAGGTGTCCCAGTCGACTCGCAAGAAACGAATCGTCCTCAAGCCATTTGTGATCAAACAAGGATAGAAAAGATGGAAACTGAAGAAGTTGCAGACCACCGAGAAAGAGGGATTATGAAAAATTATCCTTGTAAGGTAAATGTGAATCAGACCACAGCCGCTTCTGCTTCAAATGGCGAACAGGGGATGGCCATTTTGAGAACGGACGATCAGCACCCATTAATGGAAAGTAAGGAGAACGTGGACGAATTCAATTATGGTCATCAAGAAGATCAACCTCTTAAAGCCGCATCAGGTCAGATATTAAATTATGATATAAATACCACTAAAAGCTATTAAAGTAGGAAGGGAGGCAACATGCTCTGGCGCTTCCGCTTTTAGTTAAGAACAATTACAGTCACTTTCATGAGAGCTAGATAGGTACGGTACATTTTTTTTTTTCAGGAGAGATGAAAGATGAGAAGGAAAGCGATCACTTTCGAGCCGAAATCGAGAGGGGGATGCTGGAATTGGATGGCCCTGAGCTGCTTCATTTTGCTATGATTTTTGTTAAAGGAGCTTTGGAAAAATCTCAGGTGTGTTAGCGTTTAAGAGTTGCTAGACAAGTTGTTAGCTATCTCTCTGTTTGCCTCTCTTAGTTGTCGAAATCCACAAGCAAAAATAAATAGAGAGCAGGTGGTAGAAACATGTTGAGTGGCTATTAACATTATGTAGTTACTATAGCTTCTTTGAGACACTAGCTCCGCGAATGTAACTCGTTCCTTCATTAGGCCAATATCGAAGAAATTTTCATAGGCGACTGGCGAAAGAAATCCGGATGGCTTTCATTTTGCTTAGCGTCACTCTGTGATTGGTCTAGAAACTGGCGCTACCCTCAGACCCAATCAGACGCGGAACTGAATCTATTATAGTCAATCGCGTTTTCGTGCGCTTTAAACAGTTTGCTTGATTTCACTTCGAATCCTCATTGGCTTGTAATGCTCTGTTGCAATTTAACGATGTGATTACTCTGGCTTTGATTTTACGACACTGAATCTACTTGACATACGATCCTAAATTTGTGTAAAAGCATTTCAACTTTTACTTGTAGGACGAGGTAAATATAAAGAGAATCGTTAACACTCAAAGCTTTTTTCACAGATCGTGCCTAGCTGCAATGGAGAGTTCAAAAGCGAAAAACGGAGGAAGAACATGCACAAAATAACACCTGCGTTTTCATGGAAAAATGACGTTCTTTATCAAAATCAGCAGGCAAAAGCCTCAAAGCCTACAGAGAATTACACCCTACTCACTGGACAAGGTATTACTTGAGTTTCAATGTGTCAAATTGTTGAGATAAACCGCAAGACAAAACAAACTGACCAACCAATCAACCGTATAAAGCAAACAAGCTTGCAAAGAACTACCAATAGTGTTTTTCGTTATGAGGTTCGCGTAGCGTTTAAAATAATTACTAGTTGTCACTACTTCTCACGAGGCAACGAAGATTACTCGCCGTCCTGTTAAATTGGGTCTTACTGTTTAACTGATGATTTTATCTGATGTGGTGGGGTAGTGGAGTGAAATGTGTCAGGAGTTGGCATGACTTGTCATCTTATCGACGGTTTTTTACCGTTTTCTTTAAGGAGACAACGAATTCCAAGAGAGTGGTGACTGTATGGAAACTGAATTCAAAGAAGGAACACCATTCCTTGTCAAACCATTACCAAAGGCTTCCAACAACCGACCCCTTCGACTCGGATTATCCAGAAGACACAGAAGTAAATCTTTACACCCTTGTTTTAGAAGGACTTTGAACGAGAACCTAACAGACATGGAAAGTCATCATAGCGACTGATATAATCTACAAGAATAGTTTCTCGATATAGAGCTTGGTGTTTGCCAATAAGTGGAATAACTTAAACCAAATGGGCAAGGATTTTCCTCTAACGAGTCTGGTTACTCGTCCGTCACAGCTTAACAAAGACGAACGGAAGAAGTGTTTTATTCACCTTTAACTAGGATATTGTTAATGACAAATTCGGCATAGCCAGTATCAATTTGCTGCTTCAAGCATCGAAAACTTAACAATTTTCTCAGGAGGCGTTATCAAAGATATTTATGAAGTCAATACTGTCACAGTGCAGTGGTCCCACCAGGTCAAACAATACACAAACTCTGCAAAAATAGGTTTAATGTTTTTACTTTCGCGAATCGTTTACATTATTTCACTAATATTTCATAGTTTTAGGTTCAGCCCTCTAGAGTATCAAAGCTAATTCAGTCAGCGAACCTACTTTGGTTTAAAACCGATTCGTTTAATGATTCGCATGAAGCAACCAAGCGATTCTAAACTATACTAGGTTAACAAAGGTTGCATCGGTCGCAACACCGCAGTTGTTACCCTTCTGAGACATGAGGACGTAGCCATCATTGCCCCAGTGTGTGGACCACGAATTCTTTACCAGCCAGTAAGCTTGCCCATTCATGGTGCCATAACCAACGGCTAGCACTGCGTGATCCAAGTCTTCAGGACTATTTCCTACCAGAGAGTAAAACGATTTTTTTAAGACTAAGAAAATCGACTATGTGCACACATTGGTCTAAAAATCAAGTCCCTCTTCAAAACAAACCAACCAACAGACAAAAAGGGTTAGAAAATATAGGAGAACTAATGAGTACCTCATGAAGATTTAATTTGGAGAAGTGAAAACCTCTGATACTTATTGCAAAAGATCCATTGCCTTCTTTCACTACACTACATTATCAAAAACTTGTTTTTAAGGACTTGCTAATCGTGGTTGGAGATCTTATAGCTAAAGACGCACCACATTGAGGCTCGTAGTACACTCCAAAGGAGTAGAAAGCAAATGACCGGTGCGAAGCATCTATTCCAACTGCTACTGGCCCTTTCTGAGCTATGGCAACCTTGAGCGCTTTAAGATCTCCTGAGGTGACGTTTACATAGCTTGCTATTTTGGCACCAATGGTCCCTGTGTGACATCTCCCATCCTGAGAAGATGGAATAAAAAAGAGTGAGAAAAACATAGGATACCATTCTACTAAATAGAATTTCCTTGATTTTTAAAACACTGACCTGTGCCAGATACTGTCCATAGCTATATTCCGTCGCTATACCCCCATGATTCATTATCCACTGATATGATCGGAACTCCTCTCCGCCATCACATCCGTTATTACCATAACCCCAAGAACAATCGATCAGATTTTGTTGAGAAAGGCCGACAAGTTTCTTTGTCTGCAAGAATTGTAAATCGTAATGATAGTCAGGCTATCCTACCAGTTAAGCATAAATGTCTAACAGTGGTAGAATCTGTTTTGAAAAGCGCTTGTAAACAACTTGTGATGGATCACAAGGCAGGAAAATCCGCTGCTTAAATGTGTATAGAACCTCTGTTTCGATACGCTTAGAGTTCTGAAGGCACATTGAATATACCCACCTTGAGAAACAAAGCACCTTCGATTGTCCCGGTCGTGCCAAAACTCCAACACGACCCACACACCCCTTGATCTTTAACAGGGGTCACCGCTCCTAAAATTGACGTAAACAGCTACTTTAATCTGCATGTCTTTAAACTTAGTACCACACAACTTTCGACTTTCAGCCGACGTCAGTTTAATTCTCTTAGCAATGAGAGAGCAAAGAGAACTAAATTATTTTATTAGTACTTCTCATAGGATGCATAACTTATGTAACTTACCTGGTGTCATGTTAGCAGAGCATGAAAAATCCTGCGTTTTTCCACAGTTTCCAAAATCTCTCAACTTAGTGTGTGGCCATATAAAAACACATTTTACAAACCAACACATAACTTGCCCCATAATTAGTGTTTTTAAAAATTAATATGTGATGTCATGGGAATAATGAAACGATCGCTAATGGCAAAAATCTACCTTTACGATCAAAGTTTTACTCATAAAACTACTATTACATTATTTTATTATATGTAAGTGACGTTACCATAAAGTCGCCAGTTCATAGTGTCCGGGACATCCTTCAAAGTTGACAAGTCTGGTTTAAATGGTAGCCCACCGTTATACCCTTCCGTATGAGTACGCCCCCTAAGTAATCTGAGTTCTTCAGGTGAGCGGTCCGCCAAGTGATTTACAGCAACTTGAAAACCAACGTGCTTACGATTGTGCGAATTAATGAACCTACGATCAAAGTTAGGGTCCACATAAGAGAATTTTAAACTGTTTCCCTCCGAAGATCTAATTAGTAATTCTCCTTACTATCACCATACAATTCTTATGATGTTAGTTCAGAGAATTTGGTATTGGATCTCCTAATTATCCCCATATTGATATTTTTCTTTATTCTCGTCACTTGTCTGCTTGACATTGTATTGACAAGAGAAATTCTGTCTTGATCACTCATAGCATAATGGGTTGAGGGATCACAGACGATTACATAACTGGATCAGTTTCAATACGATATTCACCAATGAGGAACACCACCTGCTTCTTGCTTTTTATGAGACCTCCTTAAACACTGGAGGAAAACTTTGTTCTATCACATTGTGATGCCAATGTGATAGAACAAAGTTACTTGGATTGATAAAAATAATCAAATTCAATAGGGGCAGCTTCACTAAATCTGCCAACCTATCAGGCAAGCTACAGAGCAAAGCACACCATGACATTCATCAAGTATCAAAGCTTTCATCTTTACCTCAAATTTTGTCGAAAGATGTTTCTGCGCTTGTTATGCTCCTCCCTCTGCACTGTATTGGCATATCTTTTGGGGTGCTTGATTAAGAAGTGTTCAAACAGCTCATGTACTTTTTCATGGCCATAAGGTTCAACAAACTCTTGCATAGGGTTTGCCAATAAGCTTGTCATTGCCCCAGGGCCAGGGAAATCTCTACAAGTCATACCTAATTGAACAAGGAAAATTTCAAAACAACAGTTAAGCAATGCAAATGTCTTCATCCAAAATACCATTTTTTATCCACTATATTTAAAATGAGGTGGAAACCAAATATTATCAGACCAGGGAAAAAAACAAACAAAAAATAAACAAACAAACCTGGGATCTCAAACACTTTCGCGGGTGGCATTTGAGATGAATAATCCATATAATCGATCAAATATTTGTCATAGTGAGAACCCAAAAGGGTATCGTAGCCGAGCATTTCATAGCGAACAGGATTTGGGGGTTTAGACTGGGATGTATACATGTTGTATGTGTTAACTTTGTGTTGTTCTGTTTGATTGTAAGTCCATACAGTGCAGTTGCCTGAACGACAGACACCATAGCCACCAAACTGGAGAGAGAGAAATGTGAAAACACAAACAGACAAACAAAAATTTTAACCTTAATTACTTTATTTGACATAAGAAGTATGTCTAGGACTGACCATTAACAAGAGGCAATCTCTTTAAAATGCACACCTCAAGGTGTCTAATGTAACAAAATTTCACTGAAGCCAATATATGGCTATGCCAAATATGATGTTTCTGAAATCACATTCTTACTTGAAGTCCTATGAAGTGTGCAGTAAGTACTACTTGTATTCAATCCCAGACATAAATGGGGCACCAAAACCTTATCACAACCATTGTTTACATGCATGAAGTGAGGCATTGTTCTTGCAAAATGCCCTCGTGAAGAAAACATCACGGCTTGTTACAAAGTGCAAGACATGGGGTGTGGCATGTGAGGCGATGCAAATAAATTCTTTTAAAGAAATCTCAGATGGAAGTACGTATTCTAAGCAAATATTATAGTTTAGTTTTGTTTGGCTGCTGGAAAATGCTTGCAGAATGAACATTGTCACACAACATTCAATGGTCACTCCCAATTTATATTGAGAGCACAAGAGCCTGGGTTGAACAGCTCTCCTCTCCTTAGATGGATTTTCTTTCTGCTTTGATTCCACAAATCACTTGATATGTTCTTGATTGGTGTCTTCTGTAAATTAGCCTCTAAGGATTTTGCAGCATTGTGCATATTTTTCACAATTTAGTAGCTCATTAAAGGAAGCTATTACTACATTGGCATTATGGGAAATTTGTAAAATGTGACAGGAATTCCTGTGACCCATGAAAAGTAAGCAAAACATGACAAAATAGCAATGTTCTTTGGGTTACAAAGTAATCCCTCAGGTTTTTTTAAGGTAGTATTAAGGACATGTTGTTGCATTGTTATATGTCTGTTACAGCACAGGTGTCCCAAGCTCATGTCTTGAGCAAAAGTGAAGGATTATTTCATGAAAGCGTCAAGTGTTGTGTGACGCGGTGTTAAGTTACGCGAGCAACCATTGAGAAATTGAATGCAATATAAAGAATAGTATGGGGAACAAAATATAGTCAATTTAATTAACACACTAAATATTCTGAAATATGAACATTTAAAGTGCTACTGAAACAAAATTTTCGTATCTGAAATATTTGCTCTAACCTGTAGTTTTGAATATGCTGATCATCATGAGATAATTTGCTTTGGCCAAAAAGAAGCGAAAGATATCTTTTTCAACCGTTCAAATCAAAAATTTTACACAAAACCATGTCCGGGCCCTGGTACCGAGTGAAATGGATTGATGATGTCACTGGTTTTGTTCACTCCAATAGCGTGGTTTATTTCACTCACTGTTTGTTTGTATTCGTGGGCGAAGGAGATGGCAGATATTGAAGTTTTGTCAAGTGAATCTTCTTCTGAACGAAGCAAAGTTGTCTCCAGTAGCGAAGAGGAAGATGGTGGCGTAAAATGGGGTTGACAGGCCTACATGACTCCCGAGCGTGTGTTTAGAGTAGCCTATTCGACATTTAGCCCTCACGAGTATGTCTTTGAGTGACTGCCCTCTTTTGTAGGATATGAGTGGTGGATTTTTGCATAGTTTGCTCAGTAGTGGTTGTGTTTCTATTAAATGCCAGTTTTTCATGAGAATTTGCTTTATGTGTGGCACTGAGTCCGCACATCAGGGATTGCGTCTTTTTCGAATCGTTCGCCTTTGTAGATGTACAGCTATTTTTTTGACTGTCTTGATTGTTGAGTTGTCTTGATTGCTTTCAGCTTACGTTACGTGCGCTGATTCGATCGTAATACAGTTCTTAGTGTTCAGTGTTCCAGCCGTTTTGCCTCGTTTTCTTTTCTTTATTTTGGTATTAAAACGACCGATTTCACGTTCATAGAAGCACATGATCGCCTTCACTGTTTCTTGCTCCGCGTTGTTAAGGATTTGCTTTATCTCATTTTTAAAATCCTCGTCTGCTCTTATTTTGGCCCTCGCCCTATATTGTAGGGATTCTGGGGATGTTCTGCTAGGCATTTGGTACAGAGGGATTTGTTTGTTATCCTCAGACTTGCCGAGTAGATCATCTTCAGTGGCGGTGTCGTATGAGGCTTCCATGTTTTCTTCATTCTCTGAATGGCATTGCTTTGGCCCGGGGCGTTTAGTAGCCCATCTGCCGTTATAACATCTTTCGACATTTTCTGTAGATGGTCAAGCAAGACCGCGGTTTCGATCCTAATCTTGTGGATCTCGTCAGTTGCTGATTAACTAAATAGACAGGTAGAGATTCGTTCTCGGTATCAGTCGGTATTTTGCTCCCTATCCAAGCGAACCTCTCGCAGATAGCCAAGATGCCGATGTGGCCGCCGATGAATAAGACGAGGATGGCATTTTGCCCGAAATCCTCTTTTTCGGCCTCCCAACATGCAAGCCACACTCCATGCTTTTACCCTTCTTTCACAGAAGTACACAACCAGTGACGTCACAGGGCTGTTTTGGCCGCGCCAAGATGGCCGCCAATTTTGATCTCAGCCGGTCAACTTCGNTTTTTGAAATCCTCGTCTGCTCTTATTTTGGCCCTCGCCCTATATTGTAGGGATTCTGGGCATGTTCTGCTAGGCATTTGGTACAGAGGGATTTGTTCGTTATCCTCAGACTTGCCGAGTAGATCATCTTCAGTGGCGGTGTCGTATGAGGCTTCCATGTTTTCTTCATTCTCTGAATGGCATTGCTTTGGCCCGGGGCGTTTAGTAGCCCATCTGCCGTTATAACATCTTTCGACATTTTCTGTAGATGGTCAAGCAAGACCGCGGTTTCGATCCTAATCTTGTGGATCTCGTCAGTTGCTGATTAACTAAATAGACAGGTAGAGATTCGTTCTCGGTATCAGTCGGTATTTTGCTCCCTATCCAAGCGAACCTCTCGCAGATAGCCAAGATGCCGATGTGGCCGCCGATGAATAAGACGAGGATGGCATTTTGCCCGAAATCCTCTTTTTCGGCCTCCCAACATGCAAGCCACACTCCATGCTTTTACCCTTCTTTCACAAAAGTACACAACCAGTGACGTCACAGGACTGTTTTGGCTGCGCCAAGATGGCCGCCAATTTTGATCTCAGCTGGTCAACTTCGAATGATTAAAAATGTACTTTCCGCTATGCGTTGGCCCAAAAAAAGTACACAGCGTTTGCAAATGACGTTCGAACTCTATTATATTGCAAAAATCTCGGATATGAAAATTACGTTTCAGTAGCACTTTAACACGTTAGATTAATAAAGATTACTCATTCCTTGTGTGTCTGTTGTGTATTTTGGTGATTTCTGCTGTTTTGGGCTTGCTTTGCCATCACTGCTTTTCCTGTTATCAGACGAAGTCAAGGCTGAAAACTACGATTTCAACCCATTGTCCATGTGGAGGTGGTTGTGCCCAGAAAATCCATCTATTCTGCAACTTTTTTATCCACAGCTTACGATCCAAGATTATTGCACCCTAGAAAGTGTCTCAATTCCAAAAATCTCCGTGCATTACACTGTAAATGAATGTTTTCTACTATCATTTCCAAGTTTGTTTCTTCCTGCCAATGCCTTGACACGTAAGTGGGCATGGCCATGCAAGAAGCTTGGGTCTACATTAATTTTATTTCTACTGGAAGTGGTACGGTCAATTTATGTAGATCAGGACAATGAATCAAAGCGAGGTATCACTGTGGGGATGGGGTAAGTATTGTACATAAATTGACCGTACCACTCAAACGCAAGCCCAAAACAGCAGAAATCACCAAAAAACACGATGGACACACAAGGAATTAGTAAGTTTTATTACTCTAACGTGTATTTCGGAATATTAAATGTTTTAAATGGACCATATTTTGTTCCCCATACTATTCTTTAAAACGCATTTGAATTCTCAAAGGTTGCTTGCATAACTTAACACCACATCACACAACACGTGACGCTTTCATGAAATAATCCTTCACTTTTGCTCAAGATGTGAGCTTGGGATGCCTGTGGTTACAGTTGGCCCTTTTGAACCATACAGTTTGTTTTTATGCCTCACATGCCTTGCATGCCTCTCATGCCTTGTCTCCTTGCATATTAGTAATGAAGTGAATTTCTTCTCATGGACTAACTGGAACATGACTGATTTATCTGAAGCTCACCTGTGTTGAAACTATTTTAGGTTGATCCATCTCCCACAAAATTCCTCAAATATTACATAACATTGTACAACTTGCCTTGAAATTAGAGAGATCAGGCAAAACTGACTGTATTTTGACTCGGGCATCCTTGGTTCCCTTTACTTGGAAGCAGGTTTTCACATTGAACTCAGTCTCAGTAGTCTCTGGACAAACCCTGTAACTTAAACCGAACATCCCAACATCTCCTCGCTGAATTGTAACATCCAACCCTTGGAAAAGGAAAACAATTCCCCTCAATATTTCTATTGTTACCCAAGATTGCTAAAAGCCTATGGTCTGATTTAAAATGGAGCTCCAGTATGTAAAATTTTACAGCACTCAAATTTATCAGAACCCCTCACAGGCTTTTGCAATGTTGACATATATTTATCGAGTGGCCAGGCATTATTCATGTTGGAGGTGGTATGGGATTCAAGTATTATTTAATAATAGCAAGAAGCAATAAGCCTACAGGTCTTGAAAATGGGCTGGGTCTATGAAAAGTCCACGCCAAGGTACTATCACTGTCTCTAAGACCTTTGAGGCAGTTGTTCTACAAAGCTTGTCTATGGACAACGGAATATGAACTATGGAATCACAAGTCCCAAAACACTGTGACCGCGGGTTGTCTTAGAACCGAGTCTGCATTTTACCCCTGGTCTGCAGTCTGCAGTCTGCGTTTTACGCTGACCGTCTTTTAGATAAAACAAAACAGTTTATTTAGAGACGGAATTTGAATTTAGATACAAAGAAATAATATTTGGTCGCGCGTCCTAAGCAGTGAACCTAAAGTGAAGAATTAACTCTCATCTGTGAGCAAACAGGGCGGACCTTACTCCCCAAAACATCGTAGTATAAAATATAAAGGATACAGAAGAGAAAGACGATAACTTGGCGACGTTTCCTGCCTCTGCTGGTCTCACCTGAATAATAATCGATCCTGCTTCTGCCATTCTCACCGTCAAACCATACCTCCATTGGTTCCACGATTTCCGCGTAAGGCAAGCGCAGCACGCCAGAGACAGTTTAAGCGTTGGACCATTGCGGAGGAGTTTCCGACAATGGCTTTGCAACAACTTCAGATAGGAAAAGCAAAGAGATAACGAAAGTCAAAGCCATTTCGTCGAGGGCGATCTTCGACTCACCGTAAGATCTCGTGATTATCACGACATATTGAGTTACAAGGCGTACGGAGAGTTAAACTTGAACCCAGGAAGCTACTCGGTACTTGGATAATACATCCTAACTAACAAATTCTGGTTAGAGGCCTGAAAGGTACAACTAAGACTCGAATTTGCCTTTTTCCACTGGGATTGGAATTAAAAAACAACAAGAATGATTACTGGACTGGGATCTAGAAAAAAAAAAACAGGTTGGAAAATCTTCACAGAGTTAGCACAAAATTTAGGCTAGCGCTTGGGATAGGATTTGAACCCTCCCTCCCCTCCTCCGTTAGGACTTTCCTTACTACATCCCGTAAAAGGAACTCCCATAAAATGGACTACCGCCGTAGGTCTAGCTCCTTAGTTAGAAAAAAAAAAAACCCCGGAATTTCCTAAATTTCATTCAGTTTTCCCTAACCTTTCCCATTCGGCTGGTGTATTCCTCTCCTTGGCTCGGCTCTTCCGTATCATTCTTTGCTTTCCGATTATTTGTTCTAGTCCATATTATAATAGTGTCATTACCCAAGTACTGGGAGTCAAAAGGGCAGACAACACTATAATTCATTAGCATGGATATCTAAGTCCGTTTTTGTGGTGTTTGAAAACCATCACATCTGGTAATGGTTTGAACTTGAACCCAGGATTACTTACAAAAGACGGAGCAATAAGTAAGATCCTCAGTCTCTTCAGATATTATAAAATAATACACACAGTAACTTCAAATAGCCTTTATTAAATCTTTTTTCTTTTACATTTTAGTTTTTTAAAACAAAGAAAACGTTTTTTTCGTATCAAGATATTTAACATATACACAATATTATATCATTTTATATACAATAAAGCATTTCAAAAACACTTTGCATGCCTAACAAACTGACACACAAGCAATCAATCAAACGCGATGGTGATGAGGTAAGACAAACAAAACACACAGTTTGTCTGAACCTTTTGGAGACTTGATTTCTACTTCTGTTACTGAAATAAAAAAATTTTGCCTTTGGGATAACAAGTTATTTATGACGAGACTCGTTTGTCTTTTTAAGTGCTTGAAGTACAAATGATTTACTTCTCTTAAACTTAAAGTTTTGCACGCGTCTGTCAGTCTGTGGAAAGTAGGAGGTCTTTTATTAAAGAAAACAAAACGTTTTGTTTTTTAATGGCCTGGTTTTAGTCATGTTCTTCCTAGGCGACAACGGCGTCACTCGTCGGTGTTTGCGCGATTTTTGCAGCTTCCATCGAGATTACATCATGTGCGGCATTGTTGGCTTCCAGAAAACGGTTTATATGTTCGATGACCCTCATCATTTCAGACTGCAAGGTTGTAAGTTTATCTCCATTTTCGATACATCTCAATTCGAAATCGGCTATGTCCGCTTTACTTTGTAAGCCACGAAGACGGTAGAAGTACTCTAAGGCTTGGCGCATGCGGCCTTGTAGAACAGACAGCTGAAATGAGAAGAATAATTATTGTCAGGAAATGGAGCAATGAGGTTTTGTTCAAGACTGAGGAATGCTATTGTATTCTTGTACACACTTTATTGTTATGGTATTCAAAGTGTTACGTCAAATAAATTGAGCATTTTCAGGGCCCGACACCAACTTTTCAATTTATTAGCCATATGGCTATTGACATCTTAGATGTTACAACAATTTTAGTTTGTTTACTGGCCAAACTGCCGAGCTAATGGAAATCGAAAACCACAAGCCAAAACTGAATCTCTACTAGTCTGTGGCTAGTGGGCTCCCGTTACTGTCGAGCCCTAATTTCTAGGATAACCGCCGGTTCGTAAAAGCTAACGTATATTATTATACATTCTCTTACGTCATACCTAAGGAGAATAGATTTAAATATGTAGAAGTGACGTCATACCTACAGACAATAGTTTTATGCGCTCTTGTCTTTACAAGTGCAGCTCAGGAATATGTTTAATAAAATAATTATTGGATTCGGTTTGGCCTTGATAATTAACGCTATTATGCTCAACCTCGTCAAAAATTGTTAAGTATACGGCATCATCACTCGCTCTGACGAAGGACTAACGCTCAAAACGTCAGCTTTGGAAACTCTTTACGGTGGCCAATTTACATTATCAACTCAGTTGATAAAACCTAATGATCTTGTAACACCCCCTACCCACGCACACCACAGTCTCCTTAGAAACTTACCCCCTGTATACGGTATAGCCAGTCTCAAGGTGTCTTTCAATTGTTCCATGACCCCTCTCCTACTCTTATACTCGACCGAAAAATCTAATCTACTTCATTTGACACGATTATCATTGAAATGCGATATAATCTCCCCAATCCTTAGTTTATCCTTGGTGTATCACAGCTTCCGCACTACCTATCTATCTTGTTAAGCCACTAAAAAATAACACAAAACATCTTCACGCAAAGATAGCTTCATAAATAAATAAATAATTTAGCAATGGACATCCACTGGGTGGCTATTCTTGTCCACTGTTCAAGATCGAATTGGAATTTGGAACGTTGGTTTTTGCGGAGGGAGGAAAACCGGAGGACCCGGAGAAAAACCCTCGGATGCTTCATTACGGGAAGCTTCATTACAAAAAAGTAATGGTACTTTGAGGAACTTTACTCAAACTTAAAGCTAACCTCTCTGTGATCTTTCAAGCTGTCTTCATTGATAACTCTTCTCTCGACAAGCCTCAGCAAAGCAGCTCTGTTATTCAACAAGGTGTTTTGGGACCTTTGGTAAACTATTGCCAGTTTCTTGTTTTCACCCAGGGCTGATCTTACACCTCTCTAAGGAAAAAATGTTGAAAATCTTTTATGAGTTCGATTGGGCAGCCAGGGCTTACTCAATGCAGTGATGGACTCAGCTTTAAAAACTCTTGTCTTGTTGTTAAGTTTTCACCTCTTGCTAGATTTATATCAAAACAAGTAATTCGCTCTCCTCATCTGCGAGTGACAATTAATTACGGCTTTGCCCCCATCAACTATCACGCCCCAGAAATGGCGAGCTTATAATCTCACTGTTAAATTGCTACATGTCATTCATTTGAAGAGGAGCTTACATCTCTCTTCAGCATCTTGTTTCCATAAATTGTAAGATATTATGTTTCGATGTGGTTCTTCCGCCACATTACAAAAATCATTACCTGATTGGTTGTTAGCAACTGCTTCCTTTCTTCCATATGCTTCTCGTGACTATCTTTGCTTCGATTGATCCTCCCTACAAGTCAAATCACATGCAAAGTTCTTCACTATAAACATAAAGCTCTGCGCAAGTTTTGCTTGGTAAAACAAGCGTCAATGGTAAGTAGCGTGACCTAACTTTTATTCATTAAGTCTTTAGGAGCTCAGGAGCCCTTGCTTGAGAGATAATTTTGTAATAAATATGTGCCGGTTAAATCCCTTGTAGGGAAAACGAAATGGATGATGCGGGTCTTGTCGATTTCCACTGTTTTTAAAAAAAGGCGAGAATTGTTCCCATCTCGGCTATGCGTGCGCAAGATACTTCTACGATAATCTTCACACCACACCAAAATGCTAAGAAACAGAGAGAGAGAGAGAGAGAGAGAGACGCAGATATTCTCACAACTGTACATAGTTCGCATTTATAAGCAAAATACCTTCAAGTTGTTGGAGTGATTTCTTTAAGTCTTGCTCAGTTTCAAATCCTGTCTCTATTTGAATCTTTAATTCAGTCATTTCCTCGCTAACAATAACAAAATTTTCATTATTATTTCTAGTGCTGGTATGGTTTGTGCGCGCGAGGAAGATAAAGAAGTGTTAAAAAGATGAACAAGTAATGATGTGAAGACAAAGAGACGTGCAGTGAGCGTGAAGAGGAATACTTCAAAGCATACGCTGATGAAATTGTTGAAGTGCTGAGGGACTAGAACTCCTTTCTCCATTTCAATCGTGAATTACTTACGACACTCATTTTGCAATTGCTCCTAGCTTGCTTGCAGGCGGTAGTTTGTGTTTGAAAGCGGCGAATAACACTCTCCTTCCCCCCTCCCCCTCGCTTTGTCACTCGTCCCAAACGTTCCACCCGTCTAATATGGCGATCGAATATTCGCCGCCCTGAATCTCACTCTTTAAAACACAAACTACCGCCTGCAAACAGGCTACAATTGCTCCATGAACTTTGGAATCCTGAGAAAGCGCACCTTTATCCATGAAAGCCACTGAATAGCTGAGTGAGTCAGAAAACAAGAAGAAAGCGGCCAAACAGTGTCTGACCAGTTACTCACTTCAGATCATTTATATTCTCTTGAGTTGTGGCGATAACTTTGTTCATCATTTGTGAGGACGACTCCATGTCCGCCATTTTCTTCTCCATCATCTCGGATTTCCAAGTGATGTGATCCAAACGTTTGGTTAATTCCATGGTTTCTTTCTGCAAGAAATCAATCAAATGTGAGGGGAAAGTATCCTACTCATGGATGGTACCTCTGAGTGTAACTGCCCATGTCATCACACGTGAAACACAAAAAATTCATCTAATCAAACCTTCAATTCCTCTTCTTTCGGGCGCAACTCAGAGATTTCACCCTGGAGTTTCGATTCCATATCGTTGTGTTGTTGTTTCACTTTGTCCAAAATCTTGTTAAGTTGTGCAATGGTCTGAAACAGTGAAGAAACAGAATGAAAAATGGGAAGTTTCTGATAGAACTGAAAATCTTATCTGATCATGAAAAGTAAATCAGAGAAAATGAGTTTTTCGATAGCTAACCTCTAGTCTCTCATTATGAATCTTTTCCAGTTTTGAAACCTGAGGAAATCAATAATCAAACGATCAAGTCCAGCATTCAGTGGGTCTGTCCGTCCGTTCGTCCGTCCGTCCGTCCGCCCATAAATCAATCACTCAATCGGTTGGTGATTTGATTAGTTACTAAAACCATTAATCACTTTGCCTGTCAACTTCTCGATTTCTGAATAAAGGGGCTATGGTTCCATTGGAACTGTGATGGTGCGTCGGTGGGCGTTATCACAAGATGATTTGATTTTACCAAGTGAGTTTTTTAAGTTAATGGCAACTGTTGAGACTTTTTAAAGCTGGTGTTTCGAGCGTTAGCCCCTCGTCAGGATGAATCGATTAGTGGGCTAGTCAGTGAGTCCGTCGGCGACTATTTTCATTTCTTCAAAGAACACGAGCATTTAATTGAAAAAATAATACCTCACAATTAGAACACACAAAAAAAAATACCAACCTGGTCTCTCACGTGATCAACAAGCATTACCATTTCCTCTGCCCGCTGAGTAGCCTAAAAGAGGTTAAAATATCACCTCTCAGTTGCTGACAGGTACCTGACAAAAATATCTTATTGTATGGTAAACCTTAAGAAAGATTATTTCAAAGACTTTTAAAACGATTTATGAAAGTAGACAAAACTTACTTTTTCCCGTTTCTTTTTGGAGTCAACGTGTGTCTTGGCAAGGTCCTGTGAGTCTGATGTGATTCTTGCCTGGCGGGAGTAGAGAAAGAGAACATGAACTCTACATTGGCATGGTTCTACTCGTTCAAGTCGTTATTGCTCTTCAAATGGCGCACAATCATCCTTCTGCCCTGAAGTCTTTTGAGACGACTAGAATGATTCCAACAACCATGTAGAACACTCAGAGTGCTGTATTATCTTCACTGACCTGTAGAACGGTCCTTGCATGAGCTTCGTCCTTAAGTTGTTTCTTGAGCGCATCAGCAGTAGTCTTTAGTGATTCTTCAACACCCATGACCTCTTCTTTCTTTACAACCAGACTTTCAGAAAGGTTCTCATGAAGTACTTCAACTTTATTTGTCTCTTCCTTGGAAACCTGAGCAATAATAACACCACATCAGTAAAGCGTTCAGTAAAAAACAAGCATGCCAACTGAGATGTGAAAAATCACACAATCGTTCATAGACTACGGCTTTGGAAAAGATCGTGGGGGTAACTCAACAGCCCTCATGAGTTTTGGAAAGTCGACTTTCCAGCCCTTGGCTCTTCGTTGGACATATTATGGACTACGTCATCAAAGTATTTCATTTGTCCACTAAAGAAGCACACTGCGATCGTCTTTTTTATAGAAACAAAGAACTTTGTTTTGTTACAAAATCTGTCCTTAAGTTTATTTGTTTCTTCCAAGTGTTGACGTTGATTTTAAGAAAAAAAAGTTGGTTACTCAAACCCTTTAGAAAGGTATCACCATCACGGTTATTTTTAGCATCGTAATTTACAAAATAATTTATCAACAATTCGCCCCTCACGGAAATGCACCTTCTGCATTCCAAATTCCAATGTAGAACGCTGTATAATTTTAAGGTCAATACAAGCTACACACAGGATTACAAATATCTCATTAACCAAGCGCGAGGGCCGTACTGGGAGAATATCGGGCCGAGGTCTTGACAGTACGGACCGAGCGCAGCTCGGTCCGTACAAAAAAGACCGAGGGCCGATATTCTTCCAGTACGGTCCCGAGCAAGCTTGGTTAATAAGAGATTTATTATACGACTGAAGTTCAAAGGGACACAAGTGCGGTATCATTCGGGACCATTCGGGACCATTCGCGACAGTGCCAGGTCCAATACTGAGAGAATATTGAGCGGCAATAGAGCATTTTGATTGGTTGATTTTAGTTCTCGGCCCTCTGACTGCCCGAGTCGTGTAATAATGAATACTACTGCATGTACACATGCACATACCTCCATCTGCTCTTCAATTTTCTCCATTTCTTGTTGTGCTCTCATCACAGCCTTTTCATCCGCAATTTTTTGTTTCGCGCTGACAGGAAAAAAAAGAGATCACCACTTGAGAAAAACGTACTTTGATAAACACCTTTGTGGGTTTGAAAACCTAATCGAGTTACTGACGCGCAGCTTTCAGAAGTTTTACGTAGCCATTTTCCTCTTTTGTTGTGCATTATACAACCTACAGAACAAGCTTTAGATTCTGCGTTTTTCAGAATAGCAAAGGAAAGCGCGAGACACTTGCGAACAGCAAGGTCAAGCACGATGATAAGTCATTTTCTCGCGCTCCGACCAAACGCAACTCTTCTACTGTAAGCTATGGATTCAATCAAATCTTTAATTGCTAATTTACAAAACTCTTGAAATACTATTCCATCGCATACCATTTGTCCAGCTTCACGTTCAGCTTGTTATTTTCAGCTTTGGTTTCTTTGATTCTTGTCGTTAAGTCCTTCAGTTGTTTGGAAGCATTCTTGATTTCAAGCTCCAACTTGCTGTTTTCGCTTTCCATAGACGCTTGCTTAAAGAGCCACAACAATATCAGAAATAAATGAGGGCGTCAAAAATTGTAAAATTGCCTAGGTACAAATGGCTATCGGTCCATCGCCCAGAATGCTCTTGTCTTTCGCGACATGTACTTGCAGTACCCATTTAATCAGCGGGCGTCATAATAATTTACATATCTTGAACTAGTCAGCGTTACTCAAAAGAGCTGTTGTATGCGCATTACGGATTTTTTGAATGAAAGAAAACCTTTGATTTGCGCATTTGGAAAAGTTAATCATAAAAATTTTCAAATTGGTCTTCGCTATCAGGGTAAATCCTATACATCCTCAATCATTCTTTCCATCTTTGGCTTTCTGTTTACTCTTAGAAAAAAGCATATCCCGAGAAACGATAATTTCCGATATTCCTCCGATGTAAGTGTCATTGTAACCATGAATCTTGTAAATGCTTAAACAATCGCGTAAGAACTGCATGCGAGTGCGAAAGCAAGAAGTAGGTGTTGGCATTGTCCTTACTCGGCATTCTCCCAACCGTTACTTCACCTTCACACTTTTAGACTATTTCACTTCTGTAGACCTGAAACTTAGATCTCAACCAGTTACCAGGTTTACGTCTCTTAATTCTCGTCACCCGTCTGCTTTGACAGTTTAATAAAATTGTAACGAGAATTCATATATTGATTTCTCATGCTCCAACACACGGCCATGGAAGTCTCAGCTGTCAACAAATTGCTTACTGTTAATTGCTTCTCTGTCTTCAAGTTATTATTCTCCTCCACAAGCTTTATATGCTCTGCTTCTTGTTCTACAATTTTCTCTCGAAGTCTTTGAACCTAAAAATGTAACAACTCGGTTACTTTCTGCAAAGGAAGTGAAGTGTATAAATGGCATGTACATATAAAACGTCTGTCACGCATGCTCAGTGGCCCAAATTGCCACATAGCAGAGGTTTTTAACATTTCCCATACGCAGCTCCTGCTAGTTTGAGTGTAATAGCTGACTGTGCCATAAGACGGACCCAAATACGAGAGCCTGCGGGGAGGCTCAACAGACGGCCATAAGAAGTCCAACAGGCGACGGTAGACCGCAGTTTGTCCCGCATCGTATTTGTGTGGCGAGAAGTACTCGTTTTAAGCAATTACCTCTATTAACTGTATTTTAAGTTATATTGGAACTCCCACAGAATTGACAAGAGACTAAAGTTACGAAAGCTCAGGGTACGGGTCAAGCTGATTTTTCACGGAAATGCTTATTACCTTATCTTGCTGAGTTGCTTCCAAGGCCTTAATTCTTTCTTCTCTTCCCCCTGAAAAAGAAAGCAAAATAATGCCTTGCTCTTGACGTACAATAAAAAACAGAAGTGACCAATTTGATAGTAAGAACACTGAGTCAAATGGACAAAAAAATAAAACATGACTGCTATAACCTGTTGGAATTTGGCCTTCGTTTAATTTTGGAGGTTCTAATAAAGCACTAAATTTCGAAAAAACTGAACTTTTAAACAATTATTTGATTGGACAAAAAACACCCAAGAGTTGAGAGTAAATGGAAAAGCTAGGGAGGGTTAAGATGGAAATGGAATGCAAATAATGCTCTTAACATTTTATGCATGCTGATTTGTTTTTCAAGGTGGACAGTACTTGACATAGTTTCTCTGGTAACAATAACTTAACCCACTCAACTCTTGCAATCAAAGCTATAAATTTGTTAAATTTACATGCACACATACTATAAAAACTCACCCAGGACTACAAGCTGCTCTGCATTTTCTGCAAGGGTGTTTCTCATGTCATTCATGGTATGTGTGTTGGACGTATAGTACATCTTTAACTGAGCCAGTTTATCACTGTTAAATAAATGAGAACATTTATTGTAACAGTTGTAATAATTGTCAATGGTTGTGGATCGGTTGTACTCTGGCAGTGTGTAAATAGCACAGAGAAACCTCTGGCATTAATTTGATCACCACTGTAACATGAAAGGGACTTTCAACGTACATGGGACACAAGGGAGCAGTTAATGTCAACTGGATAATTTTAGGACAGGTTCCAACTATACAAGCTATCAGTTCCAAATGCCTGCACAACTAACTAGGGAGAGGATTAAATATAATATGTTGCAGTCTCATTTTTTATTTTGTCATTTTCATTCCACCCAAAATTGGAAGAAAATCACTCATGTGCACATTGTCCAGATTGTTTTTCAAAAATTAATTTACTTTCAAATGTTGGCCTCATGCATTGCTCTTTACTCTCTTACAAACTGCACCATTACAGTTACTATCACATTAAATTTGAATAATCAATTGTAATTCAGAAAAATAAAATAGCCTGTGACATTAGCAGACTTGTGGGTGCAACATGAAAACAAAATTAATGCAAAAGTTAGAGTAACAAGAACAAATAGTGATCTTTTTCATTTCTTTGTTACCCTCAAAGTGCAATGGCTGCTCTAGCACTTAAAACTCTTATAAAACTGCCAGCTTACAGGCTTAACAAGCAGAGGGAGAAACCCAGAACTAGTTTCAGAATGAGTTATTTAAAATGTTTAATAAAACAGTTGAATACCTGACCACATTGAGTTCATTACGTACGACATCAACCTCTTGTTTTATTAGAGCTCTTTCTTGTGTAGCTTTTCCTTGTGCTTCTGCTGTTTTTCTTTCTGTAGCTTCAAGTCTATCAAGAGTGTTACTTAATTCTTCATCGGTTTCATCTTGTTTAAGTTGTATACTCGACATTGCTTCACCTTCTAGATCAAGTTTCTCTTCAACCAAAGGACTGAAAATGCAAATTCATTCATTCATTACATCAAGCCATTAGACAATACAATATATTGTCCCAAATATATCCAACCATGATGATATGTAGAAGTTTAAAATGTGACCAGATTTGAGAAACAAATTTCAAGAACTTTTTATACAGTTTTCAGGTGTAAATGGTAAAATTCACTGTAGCTAGTAGTATCTCTTATTACCTCCTCAAATTGCCTGGAATCTTTTAAAATTTAACAGGTCAACAGATTACTCTACCGCTTTGAATTTTTTTTTTTACTTGTTGTACTTGAAATAATGGAGAACAATGTTATTATTTTAGCATCTACATCGAAAAACATGCTATCAGCTTCTACAAAAATTCTAATTCTAGTATTTTGTTCAATTTTTAAGACTGTTGTTCAGTGTGCAAGAATTCCAAGGAGAAGTTGTACACAACCAACAAATAAAACAAACATGATGAACCTTGTTTACTCACCAGTGTTTCTGTATATTGCTCAGATCTTGCAAAACCTTTGTATGTCTAACTTCTACAAAGCAACACGTAATCTGATTACCTCGCTACAAATAATTTACTAGGTTTTATCTTAACAACCTAATCAAAATTAATTGAGTGGTAGGACACTTAAAAGCAGTAACATTCAGTGTAATATTGGTATTACATGAAAAGAAAGGAGACTCCAGTAAATCAAAATCACACCTGCATGATGCACCCTTTCTTTTATCCTGGCTTCAATTCTGCCTTGATAAGCACAATGCCATCTTAGCTCATTTATATCAATGGCACAGGCTTCATGCTCTATAAAAGAAGGAAAAGACTAAGCAAACCCCTTTTTGTCAAGATCATCAATGACATAATAAATCTGAGTCAGTAAAACACATCCATAGCAAACCTGTGTTAGGCTATTAGGGAAAACATTGAGAGGTAATGCAAAACTATGTTTGCAAAGTGAAGTTTTCTTTAGTATGTTTCGCAAGTTCAGTTTGTGACTTAGGAAACATCACAAATGCCCATAAATTCTTTTAAGCTTACCCCTTTGTACAGCCAAAGGAAGATCATGCATTCGCTTGTATGCCTGGGCATCAATCTCATTTCTTAGGAATTGCACTCGTTCTCTTTCTTTCACTAAGCCATCTTGAGTTGAAAGTCTGTCACTTTCCATCCTCCCTAGTAATGTTATAACCTCTTCAATGACATCATATTCCTTAGTAACAATCTCACCAGCAGCAGACTTTGGACTTGACACCTTACTTCTTACTATTCCAGCACTTCTTCCTCTTACCTGTAGAACAAAACATTGAGATACCTGACTTTTTGGCCCAAGGTAACAAGAGAGCAGATGATAACGGGCAACAAAACAAAATATTATTGTGCGGAATATTTTTGAATATCCCCTTGAATGAAAACTTTGTGAGACAAACTCTTCCCATCTGCATTTTGAATTTCACCCACTGCCTAATCACTCATTCATGTTTGCAAATTTTAACATTAAAAATTGAACCATTCTTGAAATTACTAAATCGATGAAAATTGTTGGTATCCTTGTCATGAATGTGCTCAAACTTTCTTATGATATACATGTATTCCTGACCTCTAGAGTAGCACCACTGGCGGAAGACTCCAGCCTTGGTTCTACAGATGTCATTTCCTCCCCAACGTTACCAAGGGATGCTGAGCTGAGCAGCCAGCGAATGCGTCTACCATGGCTACTGGCTGAGGATAAATGGGTTGAATCCTCAGGAAGACCCTGACTTTCTAAGAGTTCTTCTTTATCCTTAGCATCTAGGTCTAGAGAGAAAATATATAAAATGTGAACAGTTACATTGGAACAGAAAAGCGTGAGGGTGTCTTCTTGAAGTAATACCAAAATTTTCTGTCTAATTTACAAGGAAAAGAGGAAAAGTATGACAGTGGTAGAGTAGGTGACATGTATGGAACGCCAAGTGTGACAAAAATGTTGAAAACTAAAATATAGGTGGTATCACTAGATATATGTTGTCCTGTGTAATAAATGGGTTGAATAGTGCTTATATATAGCTTATGTTGAGACAAATACAGGTTGTAAAGTTCAACATATATATGTGTCACTTGAAAGTACAGCCTCTTACATATAGGTTGAAAATATCAATCTTCTGGGCTTTTCCGAAAATCTTCGGAACGAGACCGACACGCGCGTCACGAGCCTATTTCGCCTTGTAAAGGCGATGCCATAATGGACGCTGCCTACATTGGCGATTTTCTTGACAGAATTCCTGGCATTATCTCACAGGCCCGTCGACATCTTCACGACACTCAGCAGGAAGGGAATGTATTCACAGGAGACTAGGGGACAGTCTTTTTTTAGTGAACCATCTTGCAAGTCGGGCGTGTAATTCATCGAGTGCGATCGATGCGGACAGACAAGGTGATTTGTATTCTCTTATGGCAGCGGTGCGATCATTCTACGATGCATACTCAAGTGAAATAGCCGTGGATGATTCATGGGACGATGGCCTAGCTGCAGTTTGTTATCAGCTTGAAACGACTTGTAGTATTCGTGGAAGACCCAGGTTTGTTATCACTGGTCGTCAGCTTGATGCACTCCAAGAAAGGCACTACAGTTGGAGGTCAATGGCAAGAACTTTGAGAGTGTCTTATTGCACTATTTTGAGACACCGAGGTGAATTGGGTATGGCAATGGGTGAACGATTTAGTCGCGTTTCAGAGATGGAGTTAGACGAAACAGTATCAAATATTTTGCTGAGAACACCTGACGCTGGAGAGGTTATGATTATGGGAGCGGTTCGCTCGAGGGGGTTGCGAATTCAGAGACAAAGGATTAGCGATTCAATTCTGCGCGTTTATCCAGTCAGTCGAACACTACGAAGAGCAGCTGCAGTTGTTAGACGCGTTTACAACGTGCCCTGCCCAAAAATAGGCTCCCTGCTGTTTTGTCTGAAATGTGAACTCTATGCAAAATAGGCTCGTGACGTGCGCGTCAGTCTCATTCCGAAGATTTTCGGAAAAGCCCAGAAAATTGATATTTTCAACCTATATATAAGAGGCTGTACTTTCAACTGACACATATATATGTTGAACTTTACAACCTGTATTTGTCTCAACGTAAGCTATATATAAGCAATATTCAACCCATTTATTACACAGAATAACATATATTTAGTGATACAACCTATACTTTAGTTTTCAACATTTTTGTCATGCTTGCAGGCGTTCCATAGACATGCACAATTTCTAGAGCTATTCTTTATCACAAAAATAATGCATAGAGCCAGGTACATTTTTATACCCTTTCTCTGAGAGCATTTCTGTATTACCTGATAATACAAAGGATCTTTGCTTGCTAAATTTATCCTTTTCATTTTGAAGATCACTCATGTAGACAGCATCAATCAGGTCTTGCAGTTTATGTAGATGGGAAACTGCTTTCCTAACACATGAAGATGTGCTTTTCACAAGCTCACAGCTTCTGCGTCGCCATGATCTGTTTGTAAATTGTGGCCATCCCTCTGAGAGTGAAGGTACAATGTCTGGAGATGTGTTTTTGAGTATTAATACATTGCAAAAAATATCAGTGTATGAATAATGAAAAACATACAAAATGGGACCCAGGGAGTACTATTTATTACATTCTTATATGCATCAATATTGACTAGCACAAGTTAATAGCTATTATCTTGAACTTGAGCCTGTCATATCCTGGATTAAACCATAGAATAAGATGAAGTATGTTGACCATTTTTTGCTTTCCTGAGGCCATGCATTGCCATAGTCCACACATTTAGATTTTAAAAGATTAAGTGCACAGGGGCTATTGTATGAAACACTTGCTCCAGAGGTCATAATCAAGCAAGATGACAGAATCACTCTAACAAATATGTTTGCTCAAAGGGTCAACAACTGCTTCAGCACTAATAACAGCAAATTTAAGGCTTACTTTCACTGGGGAGAGCACTCTTGTAAGTTCATTTAGGCTTACATGTGCACAATGGAACCTCCATTCAAAGGATCTCCAGCTAGTGTCCATGTAAAAAAAAAAAACATCCCGTATAGAGAGGTAACCCTTCCACAAAGGTAACGAAAATTAAGATAATAGGAGCATTTTTTAAAAATATTGTTCGTGTTGCTTGAATGATGGTAGCTCTGAAAGAGATATGTCATTTAATAAAAACACGCCATTCAAATAAAGGATGTTTAATTAAGAGACTTGTACCTTTTCCTTCATGTTCCAATTTGTCCTTGTCATGATCCTCTGCTGAAACTGCTTCATGATGAACAGGGACAAGATCTTGTCCACTCTCTTGAGAAATGAAACTTCTGCCATCAAAATAAGGTACAATGGCCAGACCAGAGCCTCCACTAATTTCTGATCTTGAGTCCTCGAATAGGGGAACATCTAACCTTGCCAGCTCTATATCGCTTTCGGAATAATGACTCGCAACTTTTCCTTTAGCAGAAATACCTTCCTCTTTTGCAGCCAGTTTTTCTTTTAGATCTGTTTCGCTGAACGCCGACCTCTCTATCGACGACTTTTTCAGACACCAGCTGACATTTTGACCACTTTGTGGTTCAGATGTCATCTCATTGTTTACCTCTCTTTCTTGTCTATCTACCTCATATTTCCCTTGTTTATCAACAGTCGGCATTCCTATGATCTTTTAGTTTTAGTTTCCACTCTCTAAGTTCAATTTTAACGATGAGATCAATGATAACTTGAAAGGGCTGTCAGAATTAGCACAGCCGCCATCATAAGGCGAAATTTGACTTTGATTGCTAGGCGACGGAGGAAGCAGACGGTGCAAAAACGAGGCTACCCTTGACGTCACTCTGTTATTCCGTGATACAGATTGAGTTCAAGATGGGGGGACAGCACTCTCAATTTACGGAAGAAGAACTGAAAGATTATCAGGTAAAACTTCTTTCTCCGAACAAACTATTCACCCCATCCAATTGGGCATCTTTTTACTGGTATTATTTGGGTTTCTGGTGGGGAAAACGTAAACTTGAACGCTTACATTTGAATGTGTTTTCATTTTGTAGGAACTGACGTACTTTACTCAAAAGGAAATCTTACAGTAAGTTTCCTACTTAGCTATACATGATTTACGAGAAAGTTATTTGGTATTATGTTATTACCTATGAATTCAAGAGTTAGTATGTTTTATGACTCAAATAACTAAGGTTTGTTTTGAAAAGCTTTAGCCTGAGTGAGCTTAAGCAAGATTTAGCTTGATTCAAGACGACTTGATCACATCAATTTCGTGTTTTCAAACAACAATGGGTCTTTGCACGTCTAGGGTAAACCTTCACTTTTTTTTCATTCTCGCTAACAAAATGTCAGCCATCTTCGTTAAAAGGTTGTTGCTGCAGGATTACATTTTGAATTATTCAGAGCGAGTCAGTTACACGATGATTGCGAAATGATTGTCAAACATTTATATGTAACATTGTTCATGCAAATCGTAAGTTGCGTATTTAGCGGAAAAAAAAAAAACAGCAACAACAATAGGAAAAATATGCCCCCTAGCTTTAGAGATGATCTTCAGAGGTCAAATTCAATTCTTTTGGATCTGGGTTTGCCTGACTTTCTCGTGGATTTTTCCCTGTTGGAATTCTTTTGCTTGGAATATTGACCATTACACATTTGTTCCCCTCACTTCACTATATCCTTCACTTCACCTTTTACCTTTCTTCACTATTTTTTTGTTTTTATGGTTATTCAATACGGTTTCGTTATTTTTTTTTTTTAATTTTTCGAAGGATCTATCCTATCACACTTTTGTTTCCTTAGCTTAAGGAAGCACTGTAAAGTAATGCACTTGTAATTATTTTCTCATTAAATTGTATTTACCTTAATATGACATACAGGATTACCTTAGCAATGCAACAGTCATCCTGAAAGCGTTTGATAAGAAAAATGAGTTTACTGACTCTCGTTTCCTATTGCTGAATTGTAATAAGCTCATCATTTAAAAACATCATCAGATAAAGTTGAGAGCCACCCCATTTTTTGGTATTTTAATGGTTCTTTCAAATTGTTTTAAATCTTTGCAAAAGTTGATTGCAATTCAGCATTAACAAATTGGGGTGTCAAACTTATTTTTCATATAGAGGCTTATTAAGTGAAAATTTTAGGTTTTTCCAAGAGTTGGTAGTGTTAGTCTGAGAACTACTTCTGAAAAAAGGTTACATACAACTAGTTGAAAAAATTTAAGTCCTACCTATTTCCTAAGGAGCGACTTTGGTAAAAATCTTTGTATACCCATGGCCATGCATCCATAACATGATGTGTGCAGTTTCACTTTGGCTGAAAGTTCTCTTCAAGTTTGGACATAATGTTTCCAAACTTTCAAGATTGGTTTTCTTTTCCATCCTCATGGAGATAGACCTTTTGGAGCTCAAAGTGAAAGAAAATATGCTACATAATATTTTTCGTAAAAAAAAGCAGTGAGCATGAATGAACAAGGGGACTCTTTCCAGCATTAGTTTTGGAGTTTAGGATACTTCATTCCTAAATGTAATGTGAATTATGGATGAAAACAAAACTGAGTTTTTTTATTTCAACTGCAATGTTGGGGACTCAATTACTTTCACTAGGACAGTAAATATAATTTTTAAGTGTTGATATGTCCCAAAAGCGTTGTTCAGTAGAAGATTTTGTTTTGAAATTGTATAATTTTCAGAATTTTCAACACAGAGCTACACAATTTTCTGGTTGTAAATTCTTTTACACACAATTCAAGCAGGGTAAATTTACCACATGGGTCCCATGAAGGCAGGGAATTTGTATGTTATTTGCTTCATTTTTCAAATGGTTTATATTAATTTTGAGTGTTGTATATCTCTTAAAAGTATTGTTCAGAAGGAGATTTTTATTTCACAACCCTACTTAAATTTTCAGAATTTCAAAATTTTTACACAAACCTAAAAAAAAATTATGCAATTTTCTGGCTGCAGATTCAGGTAAACAATGATTCAAGCATGCTGAATCTACTATGCAGATTTTTTGCTGCTGAGAATAAAGATTTGGTCTGGAAATATTTCTTGTTTTTGTCTGCCTTTCACATATTCCTAGTTTTCAGGTTTTTTCGTGCACAAAGCCACATTTAGGTGCAGAGTTGAACTAAATCTTCTGTCAGAAAATGTTATCCCATTCTCCCTTAAGGGAGATCAATAACCATTACTTGTCCATTGCTTCCTAATAAAGATTATGGCTTAGTCTTTGTTTCTTGTGAGCATTTCAATGCCTCCTTGTAATCAATTGTGAGTTTTTATGAACTTCAAGGAAAACACTGTTTGACCCTCTAATTCCATATTTGGGCCAAAATTGGCTTGCTTTTGAATGGGTGGCTATAAATAAACCTCAGCTTGTTTTTAGACAATATAGAGGCATCAAGGTCACAAGTTTCTTTTATAAAATAATCACCATTGTATCAATACCTTATTTTACTCACATAGTTGTCATAAAAGATTTTCACAACTTGACCCAGATACTGTGAGGACTGACAAAAATGCAAAACTTTCATCAAGAAAGATCATGACCTTACCAGAGCTCAGGGTAGGTTCTACTGACATTATTTTTTTCAATATAATAATAATAATAATAATAATGATATTTATCCAGGGAGCCCACTCGCCCTGGTGGTTTTCAGAGGGGCCCTGCAAATAATAAAATAAAGTTACCAGCTACTAGGAAAAAAATTGATATTTAACCATTATTCCACGAGCGTGCATTAGATATGAGATGATAGATAGCCAACGAGGCGCGTAGCACCGAGTTCACTATAATCACCTCATATCCAACAAGCGCGAGTGGAATAATTGTTTTATTAAAAACGCCCCCAAGAAATTATTATTTTGTAAGAAACTGGATTTTTTAGCTCCCTTTTGATTTAAAGCTGACGCGTACACTTACCATATTTGTAGATTATGGTATATTGGCTCATATACCATAATGGCTAAGCCAATAAAAAAGTCTAGAATTGCTTTATCCAATGATCTAGTTTTTAATAATATCCATTATAGTAGCAGTCAGCTTTGAATAACAGGGCTCGACACTACTGTAACAGTAGCCCACTAGCCACAGACTAGTAGAAATTCAGTTTTGGCTAATGGTTTTCTATTTCCACCAGCCAGTTTGGCAACAGACTGAAATTGTCGTAACATCTAAGATGTCACTATAGCAACTTGGCTAGTAAGTTGAAAAGTTAGTGTCAAGCCCTGAATAATTATTTGAAAACACTTAATCAAGATTTGAACATGTTCAACAATTAGTTCTAGAAGCGTTCCTAATTGGCTACTACTCACAATATTGACAAGTCAAAACATGAATACACAAAACCATCCTTGTATGAAGCCTAACACCACAGGCTACTTTCTTAAGCTTATATGCATTGAATAGATTGGTGACCTGTGCAAACTTTATCAACAGATATAAGACTAACCTTTCCACTTTATCATCTAGC